GCAGTATGTGTTACAGCATTCTGCTGTGTGTAGATTTTATAGAAACCACTTCCTTACAACATAAGTATGACATTTATTGTAATATGCTCTGAAAAGGCTTTTTTCCTTGTTGCCACCATTCAAGTCTCTTTTGGAGGTGGCAATTAGAGAAAGGCCCCAGAACTTGGTTACAGTGTCCAGGTAGATAAAGGTTGGGAGAGGCATTCCATCAGGTATCATGGTTTCAAGCTGTGTAGGGCTTTATAGGTCAAAATCAGAATCTTGAATTGGGCTTGGAAACATACAGACAGCCACAAGCAGGCCAGAATTGGTGTCGTATGATCAGACTTGTTCTCCCTGATCCGTTATCCCTGTTAATCTGGCTGCCACATTTTGCACAAGCTGCAGCTTCCAAACAGTCTTCAAAGGCAACCCCACATAGAGTGCATTACAGTAGGTTAGCTTTGAGATTACCAGAACATATAGATCACTGATAGCAGACTATCTCTGTCCAGACAGGGGCATAGCTACCAGAAAAAGCTGGTAGAAGGCACTCCAACCTCCGAAATCACCTGGGCCCCAAGTGATAAAGCTGGCTCAAGCTATGACCCTGCTCCTTCAAGGGAAGTGCAACCCCATCTAGAACAGGCTGGATTACCTCCATCTGGTCAGAACTACCCACCAATAGCATCTCAACTGTTATACGTCTGCAACACCTATTTTGTCATTCTGTGCAGCATTGTTTTCAAGGTCTCTTTATTTGCCTCCAACCAAATCAGTAAATATAACTATGCCTAAGGTGTAGCTGCTCAAACGTTTACCATGATAAAGATAAATCCTTCCTAAATCTGCCATCAGATGCAACAAACAGCCCAATAAGAGAAGAAAGCATGATTGTTCTGGAAACAATATACAATGTAAAGCAAGCTGCATAGAAACAGGTACGAAACATGCACTAGGAAACAAAACAGTAAAGTTTGTAAAGGAGGCACATCAAGAGGGATACAACTTTAGGATGAGGTTTACTGCTTAGCTGGCCAGAAGAGCTGAACTGTCCCACAGCTTCTCTTTAAAAGCAAGAAGAAAGGAATGCAAAATTACCAGCCTGAATTAGGTACATTTGAACTACCATAGCCAAGATTTTAATTAAAAGCAGGAAGGCAAGAACAATCTCTTGCCAGGTGGTCTGGCAATACCCCACTAGCAGTTTTAATCTAGTACAATGTAAAACATAATCATTAGATAAACTCTATCTCACATTTTCTAAATACTGAAAGAGGAAATTGCTCTCATAATAAAATAAATAAAATCCAATATAGAATTATACGTTATAACAAAAAACAACTTTTTATAGAAGTATATCATTTAAAAAAAATAAAAAAATGCTATAGACCAGTGGCATTTGCAGTAGTTGATTTCTTCTTGTGTAGCTGCCAGTACCAAGATATTTGCAAATAGCAATTAAAACGCCTGGCATGAGGTCTATCTCTTATTTGAATGCAGTATTGCAGTTGCAATGATTTCTATTGTATGTAGTTAGGAAGTCACAAACCCAGCTTCATATGCTCACAATTAGCAATTTTGCCTTTCTTTTGAAGGCATTATTTCTGTGTTTGCATGTATTTTGCTTCTGTGCCCTTTGGATGGATCACAATACTGCCAAGGGTCTTGCTCTAATTGCAAGAATTACAGTCAAAGTTCATAGAGATCTAGTAAATAATCTAAGCCAAGGGTAACCAACTTGTAGCCCACCAGATGTTTTGGATTACAACTCCCATAAGCACTGACACTTGGCTATACTGATTAGGAAAGATGTATACTGTAGTCAAAAACATCTGAAAGGCCTCCTACCTGGGCAATCTGCATTCCCAAATTAAAACAAGTTCAATCTTGTCTAATACTTATTAATTATTTGTAACCTCTTAAGCCAGTCTTGGGCCACTTTTAGATCACTTCTGAACTGCTGTTACATTTAGGTTGTTTTTTAAAATAGCTTTAACCTGAATTTGCCTTCTAGCTGATCTTATTCTCATCTCTGTTGATGGATTGAACAATTGTTTTTCTTCATTCTGATACATTTTGAAAAATTTCAGGGCATTTCCACCTTTGAACTATATATAACTTTCCTCCACATCCAATTGAATGATTAAGTTGAATACATGAAACTGAAAAGCAAGAAGACACTTAATGTAGAATAGTGAACCTTGGTACAAGGCAAAGAGGTCTAAACTCAGTTTTCCCTTTAAGCTCAGCTGACTGATACACAACTGCACTTTCACAAAAAATTGAATGGAAATTCCAAGCCAAAATACAATTTTCTTTTGTGGTGGGACCAGTTAGTGGTGTGGCCACTCCCAATGCCTGAACCTTTAACAACAGTCTGAAGGTTTACCTGGAATGGAATCAGATGTTTGTAGCCTTCTCAGAAGTATTTGTCTAGCTAGAGTTGCAAGCAGGCACATAGACCTATTTGTCTGATCCAGCAAATGTCATAATACAAGTGCAGAGAAAACTATAACCTGCTAAAATCTGGGCATCCACTATAAAAGGCACAGAAACTGAACTAATTTTTAAATAATGCAAAATATTAATCATTCTTAAGCATGATCACTGGGGGTCTAGGGAGAGGACAGCTCCACTTGACAATTAATCCTAACCCATTTTTTCTTCTAGAAATCTAACATGTGAGACAACAGTCACCTGCTCAGAAAGCTATTGTGAACTTTGTCCTGTTCCTCCAATATTTTCTGGGGTGCTACTACTGCTCTTGGTTTGCCTCCAACCAAAGCATAATGTTTTCAGAATCCTGAATTAAGTTCATTTAATGAACTTGATCACAAATTCTGTTCTGTTTCTCAAGGAAGCCAACTCCTTTTGCAGTCTGCAATCCTATTCACATTTATGTGGGTGCAAGTCTATTGAAGTGAGGAGGATTTGGGACAAAATGGCATATTAATTTAGACAGGCCACGTTGTTTTCGAAGAAAGCAGGCCATCAGCAGCTGCTCCGTATGAGTACATGAGTTATAAGACAGAAGCAGCCAATAGTAACCTCCCTCTCCCTATCTACACCAGCCAGTTAACCCTCTGGATTCCATGAGCTCTGCCTTTGGAGAGGAAGCATGCAAGCAAGATAAGGCATTGGCTGTGCCTCTCTCTTCCCCATTTTTTCAGAATACTGCAGAAAATTAAGTACCAGCGCCACTTCTGCCCACTGAGTGGTGCGGCATAGACAGTAGTGGACGGGGTAGCCGCCTCATCTTCCTACACACAAAACCACCATTAGGCTTCAGTCCTGCAGCTGTTCATGCAACTCATCTTTTGTTCACCAGGGAGGGATCAAATTGTCAGTAGATGAGAGGACGAAGACGCTGCTTTCTTCATTCCACCTGTACCTCCATCTAGGGTGAGACCTCAGTTCCAAAATCGAGACCCTTGCAGCCCAGTCCTTTCCCTCCCATCATGAACACCTAGAGAGTAGCAAATGCAAATGGCATGTTATTCTTGTAGTCACAGTATGATTTATGGGAGTTTAACATGTGGAACTGCATATGGTCAGAGATGTTGGTTCCCATCAGGATTGGCATTTTTTTGCTTTTCTTATCAGATATGTAGAAGTAGCTACAAAGCATAGGAAGAATCATAAAATCATAGAATAGTAGAGTTGGAAGGGACCATGAAAGCCAACAGGTCCAACCCTCTGCTGTTGCAGGACACTAAGTTAAAATATATGATCTGGCCAGGGCAATTCTCCTCCTATATTCTTTATTTACTTATTTTATACTGTTAATTTTAATTTTATATTATTATGTTTGTATCTCAGTGTATTTTTTGTATTTTGTATTTAGTGGTAATTTATTATGTTCTATCGGCGAATGGGGCAGCATAAAATGTTTTAATAAATAAAATAATAAAAATGTATTTTATTGTGTTGTAAGCCGCCCCGAGGCTTCGGCAAGGGGCGGCATAGAAATGTTATAATAATAATAATAATAATGTTACACCATCCCACTCAGATGAGAATCCAGCTTGAATGTCTCTAGTGTGGGAGAGCCCACCACCTCTCTAGGCAGCTGGTTCCACTGTCATATTGCTCTGTCAGTGAGGAAGCTTTTCCTGGTATCTAGCCTGAATCTGGGTTGCGGCACCTTGGATTGATTATTCCATGTCCTACACTCTGGTATCAGCAAGAAGAGATCTTGACCTTCCTCTTGGTGATAGCCTTTGAGATACTTATCGTGTGCTTCACAACTAAATACATATGGCAATCTAAGGGAAGCCCCCATAAGACCGCTTAGACCAGGGTCTAAAATTGCCTAGGTGCACCAGAGTATGGTGTACTGCCCAAAGAGGGCAGGCAAAGGCTTCCGCCCCTGCTTTCTATCTAGGCAGCACCACCGGCCCACTCCCTTCTGCGCTGCCCAGAGAGGGCGAGGAAAAAGCGAAGGGCTGCCACTCCCTCCTCTGCTTGCACGCTATTCCCCAGGCGCAGAGCTCGGAGGAGGCTGCGCTAACGGGAGCCTCCAGCTTGGGGCGGGCACTGTTTGCTCCCCTTTTCCTTTGCAGCCTCTGCCTCGGGGAAGGGAAAGGGCGAGGTTGCCATCTACGAGTCGTGCTCCTTTCCTCACAAGAAAGAGCTACTGACAGATTGCTTTTCCTTACCAACAAAGTGACAGCTGTTTTGTGTGTTTTAAAACCGTGCTTAACGTAACGTGCGGCTTGGCCTTCCCTGCTGAGGAAACACGTACTGCGGAATCGAGTTGCAACAACGTTCCCCCCATGAAGCGATTTCCATTATCTGGCAGCCGAGCAGTGGAAAAAGGAGGGAGGGATGACTCACGAAGCGCATGCTCATTTGTGAAATTGAAGCCTTAGGCGGAGCTCCAGCGGGCAAGTGCCACGCCAGCTTTTGCATGCTCGTTCTTCATTGGACTGCAAGGGTCACGTGGCAAGGGAGGTTGTTTGTTTCCTTCTGCCATCTCGTGCGTAGCGCCGAGCGTAAGTTTGAGGAGGTGGGGAAGACCTTTTCGCGGCGCCGAGATAGTTCCGCGTAGCGTGGATTGAGGGCCCCCCTTTTCCCATCGTCTCTCCGCCTTCAGGAGGAGGGAGGACGCGCGATTCAGCGGAGGAGTCCGGTCAGACCTACTCTTCACCGAGGGCCCTCCCCTCCGGTCTCCGCTACGGTGTATGTTTGAGGCTGATCATAAAAGTGTTCTCAGGGGACAGAGTTGGGCCCGATCAACTAGAGGTTTTCAAACACAGCGAGACTGGGCAGGAGCGACTGCGTTGCGCTTTTTCTTACATTTTCTCTCGTCTGCTTCACTTTCCTTGCTTCCTTAGATTCGGATCTTTCTTGTAGGCTGCGATCCCCCTTATCCGGCAGTAAGTCTCAGTGAACGCTGCCTTGTGCTGTTAACCCTCCTAGTACGCATAGCAGGGGTGGACAACGTGTGCCCCTTCAGGTGTTTCGGCATAGACATGTGAAAAACGATGGGGCATGCAAGCTGAACGGGGCTGCAAGTCGTCTACCTCTGACTTTGCTATCAGGAAGAGTGAAAACAGGTGCATTCCTTAATGCACTCGGAGTCAGGACATTCAGAACAAAGACTAAATTCTTTGCCCCATGCTCTTTTATTTTTTTCCTCAACATTATTCGAATATTGCATTTCTGTCCCCATTTTTCCTCTGATGAAGAGTCCAAGCATCTTACATAGCTCTATTTTATCCTCAACAACTCTGAGGTAGGTTAGGGTGCAAGTGACTGGCACTTAGTGAGTTTCATGGCCAGTGGTGACTGGAATCTGGCTCTCTCAGGGACCCAGTCCAGCACACTAACCACTATACCAGCTCTCAAAAGTTAGCCCAAATAGAAAAACCTAGTAGGGCTTCTGAAATACATTCAGGTTTTTGGGCTTTGGTGGTTTTGCATGGTGAGTGAATTCAATAGACTTCTGTTGGCTTCCCTTACCATTATACCATAGGTGCCTAAACTTGGGTTAGGTTAACTTTTGCTTCCAAACAGAGAAGGCCTAGTGCTCATAGAAGGTGTTGGACTATTACTCCACCTTTTTCTCCGTAATCGACTTTCTGTGGTATAAAATAAAATGAGGAAAATAGTGTGAAAACAAAGGCACATTATGGTGGAAAATGACATCATCTGCACCTTCCCATAACATTCCTAAAATGAGGCAGGATGGTGGTGTGATAAAAGCCTTCTCTGGAGCCACCTTTTGCTTCTGCTATAATTGTTACTCCCAATAATATCTCATTGTTGCACAGTGTATGTTTATTCCTGGGTGGAAATGATGTGCATAGGAGTGACTTTAAATTAGGAAAGTAGTGTCAAGAACAGAGTTGACCACTCATTGGCCCCCAAGTGAATTGATCTCTCCTCATCCCCTTCTTGCCATTGCTGCTTTTTCAGTTAAACAACTAGAGATTCCATTCACAGATCTCCAACATCATGTCTGTTTCAGTCTTTCAGTATAACTCATAAGTCTCACCTTCCCACTCAGAATAATAAAAGGGTCCAACATTCAGTCAACTGTATTCATGCAAATTGGGAAGAATTGAAAATATGCAAATATCATACAGCCTTAATACAAATCTGTGGCATGACCATACTTTGAATACTGTGTGTAATTCTGGTTGCTGCACCTTAAAAAAGGACACTATAGAGTTGTAGAAAATGGAGAAGGGGCAGCTTCAATGATGAACAATCCGGAGCGGTTCCCTTATTGAGGAAAAGTTACAACAGCTGGGATTGTTTCACTTAGGAAAAAGACAAGAAAGGGGAGACATGATAAGAGATGTACAAAATTGTGCATGGTGTGAAGAAAGTGAGTAGGGACACATTTTTTTGTACCTTTCTCATAATAGTGGAAAGGAAGTATTTCTTCATGGTGCATAGGTGAACAATAGAAGATGTAGTAATGGCCACCATTTTGGACAGTTTTAAAAGGGAATTGAATAGATTTATGGAGGAGATCAATTGATAATAGTCCTGATGGCTATTTGCAACCTCTAGATCAGGAGCATATATCTCAGATGTCAGGTGCTTGCCTTCAGAGAAGTGGAAAGGTGAGCATTCCAGTGGGAGGGTAAGAGAACAGTATTTTATGATGCTGTGTAAGCCATCTTGAGCTCCTTGGAAAGAAAACGGTCAGGATATACATAAATTAATACTCTTAAATTATATCCTGTCCAGAGCTGGTCTAACATTCATAGTGATGTGACAGTTGTGCAACATCACATCAAGTGTTGTGCCATAAACAACACTTGATGAATACTGCTGTTTAGGGCACAGCATATATGGTGGAATTCTGAGGTAATAAGTCATAAATCAGGCTTTTGAGAAACTTTTGCATGTCATGGCTTATGGCTATTATTCTTTCTGCTTAAATACCTTGTGCATAATCTCTTGTGCTTGTGCAGTAAAAAATGTAGGATAAAATTATTCAAGGAGTTAACTGCCAGTTATCACCAATAGATATTTGTTTTTAACAAGGCAAGGTATAGTGTTCATTAAAGTATATCTTTTAATGACTAGGTCCTAAAACCAGCATACTGGTTTTCCAAATGTGGAGAACCTGATTTAGAAAATGATCCTTGTTTAGTATTTAATACTTCTGCTTAAGTGAATTTCACCCTTAATAATTCAACTCCTGGAAGTAAAAATATGGTTACAAATTATTTACATAATTTACCTTGGAAGATTTCTTTTGAACTACTTCATTTCTTTTCCACTGCAAGTTATGACATGCACAGTTCCAAAAAGCAAGTGAATCTTAATAAGCCATCAAATAGCATTATTAATGAAAAATCTAAGATAAAAGGAAATGAAGTGTCAGACTACAGCACAGAGCTGTGTAATACTCATGGTTCCATAGCCACAGCACTGTAGAGGATGAGACTCTTTAACTCTTTCACTGAATTAGTGTGAGAAAGCATTCTGTTGTTCTCTCTTCCTAGAATATGAATCAAGATTACCGGTAAAAACAATGGTTATGCATTCAAATACCATGATAATGGTTTATTGTGATGGAAACAAGCTGGGGTTGCCTGCTTTCCCTCCCTGCTCTTCTGATATGGAAGCTTTCAGTTTCATCCAAACCCATCAGGCTGGGGTTAATCTTAATTATGGTTTTTCTGAAATAATATCAAGTTATGGGTTATAAAATGGTTTGTTTCAGGAACAGGTATAATGCTAAATTTGTGTTTAATGAAAAACAAGTACGGCTTCTAATCATGCAGCTGTTCTTAAGGAGAGGGGAGTATGCAAGCCCTAGGCTGATTTCTGTTATAGTAAACTGGTTTATCATAAAATCTGAATCTGGCAAATTAACATGCTTCTTATGTAATCCCGTTATTTCCTATGTTATGGTTTTTATATAAAAAATGAAGTGCTCTTAGATTTGTCCATCAGACTTTTGATTAGCATTGTGCTCTCTGTAACAAACTTCAGACTCAGTTTGTTCTCCAGTATCAGGTGAACTGATACTATAGTGTGGTTAGAATTGTGATTTCAGGACTCAGACTTATGCACATCTAGGATTAAATGTAGTGGATTTTATTTTAAAGCAAGTGATTGGACTGCAGTTGTAATTAGTTTATTATTTTGCTGTGTAGATTAGGGTCAGTTGCTGGAGAATCAGGAGAGATAGCCACATATCTTAAACTAATTCATATAATATCTAGACTTCACAGACACAACTTCTTCCTAAAGCAAGTCTTACTGGTTGCTTCTGATCTGTGTGGAATTTTAGTTTCAAGCATAATGTCCGAGTACTGAAAAAGACCCACAAGGATTATCTTGTGCTAATAAATTTTGCTTTTAGTACTTGAATTCTTCAGTTCTTACATTTTTTGGCATATTTGGAAGTGGGATCAGTTCTACATGTCTCTCAGTGCTGAGGAGTTTAAGGTACTGGATAAATCCAACATGGTCATTTTATTTTTCAGGGCATGCTACCCTATTTTTCTGGTATGGTAGTGTGTCCTTGCACACTATTTGGGAATTACTTGGGAAGTGTTGTTCTTCAGTGCTATTCAAAGAGCCCTTTCTTAGGGTCTCATTGTTTGTAGAAGGGTGAATCATAGTTGCTAGATCTTGGACACTGTGTGGGGAAATCCTCACTTTGGATTCTCAGAAAATTCAGTGGGAGTTTAGAAGAATGACAAAGACTTTGTTTTACATGAATGTGTGGTTATAGTATTCAATTCTGCATTATTTTAATTTTAAGGGATTTGTGGCATATACATCTAAAAGTAAATAAATACAAATAAATAACTGCTAGGCCATGACTCACAAATGTCATAGCCTTGTTGCACATGTTTTGCAGGACCACGGGAAACACACACACACACACACAGATTAATATATGGCCAAAAATTGTCCATTATGGCAGATAAAATGTGGATGCTGGGTGTGTAACCATTGAAGACTACTGCTTTAGAAGTCTGTGATTAAAAAGCCTTTCTAGCAAAGTCAATTCAAACCAATGAGCCTTACAGTTGTGCTGGGACAGGGACAATGTAACTGGCAGTTAATGTTTTACCTTTGAATTGTATGCAGATTTGACTCTAGTTCATCTTATATGGTGGCTTTCCACATTGTGTTTTCATTCTTCTGTTAGTAAAAAAAAGTATTTCCACTTCCAAATAGGATTTGTTTGTTAACCAATGGAAAAGGCATACTTTTGTTCAATTTAAACATACATCTTTAATTACTTTTTGCAACTTTATATAGAACAATAAAATTCCTAGCATATGTAGTTGCAGGCATTTATCTTGTGTAGGTGACAAAAAATGTAGGCATGTGGCAGTTTGACGTTAAAGACAAAAATCCACTTCAAGATTATTCTGTAACTATGTACATTTTCAACGCTGTTGCATGTTTTGGAAATCATTGGAGGAAACAGAATAAGTCCAGCATTGTCTAAAACTTCATTAGCCTTTTAATAAACATAGCAGAGGTTGGAAGAAGAATGTTTTGAACAGCTGAAAAAGTTGTATTGACAATACATTGCATTCCAAAACTACCAAAGAGGTGTTCCAGAATAACTATTTTGCTTTGTTTGTAGTTTAGATTTTATAACAGAGACCAAGGGCTAATTACACTTTATGTGCAAGAGTATGGAGAAACAGCCTGGTGCATACCCATTTTCCTCCAGCTTCTCACTACAAATCATTAATAGGATTGTGGCTCTAGGGTGGGTCAGTTTGGAAAGAAGTAGTGACAGCATCCTCCCCCAGTGTTTTGCTCCAAATATGACCCTGCTCTTATTTAAAAACTCTTTGGCACCAGGACTATTAACATGTGCTTTTGCTTGGTGTGTGTAACATAATATATATTAATAGGCATTCTAACTTTGCTCATCTAACTTTAACTCTGCAAAGCCAAAAGAAGGCTGTTGAGGCACAAAGGTATTAACATGCTTGGGAGGAACTCCCAAGGCTTGTAAAACTAGAATGAATCTTTTAAACTTCTTCCAAAATATCTCTCTGGGAAATAAACATATTTACCAGCCACAGAAAACTAAGTATCATGGGGTGGGGGTGTCATAATATGGTAGGTAAATGGTTAGTCCAGCTGTAACACTGAAGAGACACATACTGCAACATTTTTTCAGGTCCCACTTTTTGGCTCACATATGTGAACTTTATTTGATGCTAAAGACATTAGTCATCTTAATGCCAGAAAGTATTTTAACTTTCCCACCGAATTAAGTGGGACTTCTCCAATTTAGTCCTATTCATATTACTTAGAGTAAATTCTGTTGTACTCAATGATGCTTACTCCTGAGTAAGTCTGTTTAGAAGTGCACACTTAAGATTGTAAATTAACATGTCATGCAATCCTAAATATGTTTAATCAGACCCAAGCCTGCTATATTTGAAGTAAGTAGTGTGCATAGGCATTCAACCTAAGGAAAGAGAGTCTGGTAGTTTTTAACATTGTAACTCAAATTGGTTACCTCATGCAATATCCAGACTGTTATATATGCAGTGTTTAATAATTTATCTTAATTGATTACAATTTAAATTAATTAAATTGATAACCTGTACAGCTTTTTCTGCCTAAACTTTTTAGGACTGCACCCTTAGAAGGTTTCCCATCTAATTTGGCACCAGCTATTTTTTTTTAAATTAAGGTGCCAAGGTACAGCTTAAACAGGCATTTCTAATTTTCTCTCACAAAAGGGAATGTGTTTTCTAAGTTATTTACTGTTAGACATGCCATTATGGCTTTGAAAAAGTATTACCATTTTAAAAATATTTTATCGACCTGTAAAAGACTAAAAATTGAGTGGATTTCAGCTCTAGAAAATCAATAAATATTAAAAACTGTTAAGAAAAAATGCTCATTGTATGTCATGGGTAAGAGACAGTGGAATTCAATTACTATTGTGGTATCCTTTGTTATACTGAATCTTCTTAGAAGCAGCTAGACAGTATATAGAATGCAATTTTTTTTCCCCCTGGATAAAAATGGCCACTGTTGATTTCCCATCCTTACACTTATATTTATGTTGCAGATGTTTAGCTGTGAGTTGTATAAATGGTAAGCCTTACTGATATGCTTAACTAAAGCACATTATTATTTTTCAGAGTCTGTATTCAGTGCAACATAATTCAGCTTGCAATTTTTTGAACAAAGGAAGCAGCTATGCAACGAAGACACAAAGGTTTACATTCTGGATTACTTCTTTTATTTTCTCAGATTGCTCATGTTGGAATTAACAACATTCCACCTGTCACACTTGCAACTTTGGCGGTGAACATTTTCCTTTTTTTACAACCCCTGGATTCACTAAATGAAGCATGTGTCAGTGTTAACAAGGTTCTTTACAAGGGGGATTGGCATCCATTGTATCTTTCGGTGGTTCATCACATAGATGACTGGCATCTATATTTTAATATGGTATCCCTGCTTTGGAAGGGAATGAAGTTGGAGAAGAGACTTGGAAGCCTGTGGTTTGGATATATAATTACATTGTTTTCACTGCTAGTAGGAGTTGTGTACATCCTTCTGGAACTAATAGTTGCAGAACTTTTACATGATCCCCTCTATAAACAGAGCTGTGCTGTTGGTTTTTCTGGTAAGATATCCCTTATTTTTTTAATAATTTTTATTGAAATTGCTAGTTTTTGTATTAAAATACAATAAACTAGAGCAGGAATGAGGTGCAGAGACCCTTTCTCATTCTTTTTCATTCTGAAATGTCTTCTAAATTTTATTGGTGTGCAGCAATGAATAGCCATATTTCTTTTTCCTTTAAAGGAAAGTGCATGGGGAGTGCATATTTTGTTTAATGCAAAATTGTACACCCCACATCTCCCAAATGAGACATTTTGCAGTGAAACAAGGAACACTCCCAGGATGATTTGTTGTAAAGGGAAAAACATCTGTATGCTGCCTCATAGCGGAGGCTCTCTGCTTGCTTCTTGCCATGGAATATTGCTGAAATCCAATGCCAAGTGAAGTGTTGGGAGAGTGGCTTCTGGGAGACTCTGAGGAATGAAAATTGGCCTCTGGGCCCTCCAAAATTGCTCATCCCTTTAAGGGGGTCTTGGAAGTAAAATGTTGTTGAAATGTGTAATGAACAGAAGATAGTTATGAACAGATTAATTTACAAAAACTTACAAAAATAATTTTGTTAGAGCAGTTAGGTCAATTCTGCTTTGTGACCAAGGTTTTGATGGAAATTTGTCACTTTTGCATATTTTCAGAAGCTTTCAATAATGGAGATTTAATTAGACAGATGAAAGCACTCAGACAACAAACCTGAAGCTGCAAAATTGGTCACAAGAGTTCTAAACTTTTAGCTTCAAAAGTTCATTCTAGGTATTTTGGTTCAGACATAACTCCAAGCCAGGACTGGCAGAGTGAGGCAGGTATATAATGGCATACAAACCATGGGTAGGTTTGTATGTCATAGGTTTGTATGGCATGAGACCCGAAGATAAGTTTATTGCGTGCTCTGGATAGACTTGCATTCTCCCTGAAAAAGCAGGTTCGTGGTCTGGGGTTACTTCTAGATCCATCACTAACACTATCATCAACAGTCCAGGCACAACAAAAGAGAGGAAAATCTGAAATGTTGCATGTGTATATTATTATTAGACTATTCAGTAAAATATTGCAGAACATAAACATACTGTTCTAGTGATTTGAATGATCTTGAAGTGAATGGCATGATTCTGATCTTAATTTTCAGAACTCCGAATGGTACTGGAATATTTTTAGAGTGTGCACTGGATTTTCATAATCTAGTCATTGCAGCCTATACTGAAACTATTTACAGGGAATTATGGGACTTAAATTTGTCCCCCCCCCCAATTTGGAGTGTGAAGATAGCTCATAATGCACAGAAGGATGTGTGTTCTTTGTGTTTCTTATTATTTGACAAGTGTTCCTGATGTTTCTGTTTTGTTCTGATTTAGGAGTGTTATTTGCTTTGAAAGTTCTTAACAACTATTATCATCCTGGCGGATCCAGCAACATCCTGGGAGTGAATGTGTCCAATAAATTTGCTTGTTGGGTTGAACTTGTAGCAATTCATTTTCTGAACCCAGGGTAAGTTGCTCAGGCGTGTTTATAACATAACCTAATCTGTATGATATTGAGTACGATATGTCAACAACGGGTCTGCATTCTCCTGGTTTTATTTGTTTAATTTCTTTTATAATGTCAAAATTGTCCATCAATAAGGGACAGTGCACATAACATAATGAAGGGGCAAATACCTTATAATAACAATAAATTTAGAAATTAAGAGTCACAATACTGTGGTGGTACCCAGCACACACCACAGTGAATCCTGGGTTAATAAACCCAAGGTTTACTGCCATTATATGTAAACAGTGCCACTCAGTCAACACTTTCACTGAGCTGTACACCACAACCTTGCAACTCTTTTTCTGATCAGTCACAGTAACTGTAACTCAGTAGTCTGTAACTCAGACCCCATCATTGTATATTTAAAGTGGGAGGGGGTTAGCTAACTCTGCATCACTTGAACGTTACTTATATTGTACCATACATGCCATCTTAATGCCCATTCATCAGTGTGGAAAAATCCTTTTACAGCTCTTTCCAATCTGTTTTGTTGCATCACCTTAAATAACTGCCTCCCTGCTCATCCAAACCCCAGTTCATGATCAAGTAAAAAGGAGAGGTCTTGCTTCAGGTGCGATGAACCCTTTTGCAAGCCATCCCTCTAGCATCCACAGATTTCCTTTTACACTTGGCCCAGCCCTGCAAAGCAATGTGAGGCAAGAGGAAGTCTGCAAATGCTCACAGACTCCTGGTTGTGCAACCAGCAAATTCTCCATCAGGAGTGGCTTCAGGATGAGGAAGAGTGATGCTGTGAGCTGGCATGTCAGGCAACCAACTTTTCCATTCACTGCTGCTGGTGGTGGTGGTGGCAGCAACACACAGGGCAAAGAGGTACTGCTACACAGCACATGGGGCTCAATTCTTGGCAAGCATCCCATGAATGCTGGGTGCATTCACCAGGAACTTGGACTCTAGTTTGCTGCAAAAAGAACCAGAGTCCAGGAAGCCAAGCCCAGGGATCTGATGGATTTCCACCCCAAACAGATTCTTCACACATTCCTAGTCTTAGTATGGACGCTTCAACTGATATACAAGACAACCTATCTGCTTATCCCATAGATACTATGTTTGTCCAAGAATCTGTGACCAAGGATTTTGTTTTGAAAGTCCATGTAAACAATATGTAGCAGATCATCACCTAACCACTTGTTTGTTGACAATTTCAAGGATTTATAAAAGGTTTGACAAACTAGACTTTGTAGGAGGTCTGTTAATGGTTGTTCAGCATGACTTGTCAGAACTTTACCGGGGTGCAATCCTCCAGTGTGGCTACTGCCCCCCACTGATTTTGGGGTTATCTGAAATCTTTTATTTTTTATATTTTTAGAAATACAAACAAAACAGTGTCTGGAGAGTCCCAGATGGGTCAAAATTAGCTTATATATACTTTCACAAGTTTTACAGGGCAAGAAAAAAAAATCATTATTTATGAAAGTGGTACCTGTACATTTTCCCACTTGTGCAGTGGGAATAACTTAATTTTTAGAGATTCACAAATTTTCTTGGTGATTTTCAAAACTCCTGGTTATGAATGAAGAAACATTCATACATATAATGCAGAAAGCCAGTTTCTTTAGCTATTTCTTCTTTAGTCAAATTTTGCTGATACATTCTTATACAATGCTTCAGATTTATTCAAGAGCTGGAAATGGGGACACTTGCTAATAGAAAGAAGCATTAGAGGTTTTGTACTGTACAGCTTTAAATCAACAGGGTTTTTTGTTGTTTAATTTGGGCCCATTTGCATTCAAATGCTGTCTCGACTCTATTACTACACTGTCTAGTTTCTAATGTTTTAGTTTAGCAGTAAAGAACATAAAAGTGCAATTGGCTCTCTCTGTTATCATTTTATTTCTAAATAAACCTTAACATGCAATTTAGCTTTGCCTTTTCTTGTCTTGAAGATTGGTAGACTTATTCTGTCTATAAATTTGCCACTCCTCTCTTTCTACTTCTTTAGTCTTAAGAATGCTTTATTTAGTCTGACCTCTCGGTAAAAAGGAGATAAAATAATGACATGGTGAGCCAGTTGACATGTAATAACATGTCAGGGCTTAAACCTCCATGGGCTGTGGTGCACATATAGGAGATTGTGAGCATGTTGCTTCCCTCATCTCTCCATTTCCCTTTTTAAGCAACAACCCTATAAAAAGTCATGGGCCAGTGCTGTGTTATTCAGTCCCTAAACTATTCAGCACTTCAGGTTCTCTTCAGCACATATAATGTTCAGCAACTTAGGAACAGGCCCATTGTTGGTTGTTGAGTAACAGTGGATATGGTGGATGTTCAGGAGACAGTGCATTCTCTCTTGCCCAATTATCCCTGTGCAAGCCAGGTCATAATTCTTGCACTTTGTGAGACTTTTGTTCCTTCCTGATTGGCATCTAGATCACTAAAACAGCAGTGTCTCAGAGACCAGATCCTTAAGATTCATAATTTTCCCATTTTCAAGGTTCCTGTATACTTCATTACAGTCTCAGGTGCCATGAAAATTACAGGATTCTATTACTATAATGCTGTTACCTCAGGATGTCTATATTTCTCTAAAATTTGTTACTCGAAATTAAGTTAGAGAATAGTCAGCTTGCAATTTGAGAATAAATTTTCAGTTTCATTCTTTCAGGTTTTTAACTTTTAGTTGATTAGAATGAAATATATATGATGTCTAGCTAGCCTTTTCTGCTTAAAATAGTTTTAACTACTTTGTATCAAGCTTCAGTCTTCTTGGTTCTGGAAATTTTGAGACACCAGTCAGGGAGTAAGTGGGTCTGAAAGTCCTTATACAGACAGGTTTTCATTCATCCCTTTCTCTGTCTTTTTTATATGATTTTTCTGTGTTAGCATCTAGAAAATGAATTCTCTCTATGTTTTAACTGTGCAAGATAATGTCAGGAGCCCTATTCAATACTAAATCTATAAATACCGCCCCATTTTTTAAGATCACTGTTATTCTCCCACTTTTTTGGTTGCACTGAAATTCACACTGTTCCTTTTGCTTATGTTAAACTTTTAAAATGCATCAAGTAGAACAAAGGCAGCAATCTAATAAGAAACATTACAATATCTCACAAAGTATTGCTTTCTTTTTAGGACTTCTTTTGCAGGACATCTGGCAGGTATTCTTGTTGGACTAATGTACACCATGGGACCCCTGAAGATGATCATGAAAGCATGTGCAGGTACAGAATGATAAGCCTGGTACTTACTGGGAACCTGCACTTCAGTGCAATTTTGAATTGAAAGGGAATTTTCTCTCAGTGAATTCCTGTTCTTTATATTTTAAAACATGTTTTATACGTTTGGGTTGCCCCTCCATCTGGACAGCAATCAGAATTGGGTAGCATTTAATCCTCCCCAGGAGCAGGTGGCTGAGTTTACAAGAGCTGAGCAGGGCTGTCAAGAACAGAACATTTTCTGAACAGAGGGCATTCATTCTTTGTTGTTGTTGTTGTTAGTTGTGAAGTCGTGTCCGACTCATCACGACCCCATGGACAACACTCCTCCAGGCCTTCCTGTCCTCCACCATCTCCCGGAGTCCACCCAAGCTCACACCAACCACCTCAGTGACTCCATCTAGCCACCTCATCCTCTGCCGTCCCCTTCTTCTTTTGCCATCTATTGTTCCCAGCATTAGGTTCTTCTCCAGGGAGTCCTTCCTTCTCATTAGGTGGCCAAAGTATTTGAGTTTCATCTTCAGGATCTGGCCTTCTAAAGAGCAGTCAGGGTTGATCTCCCCTAGGACTGACTGGTTTGATCGCCTTGCAGTCCAAGGGACTCGCAGGAGTCTCCTCCAGCACCACAATTCAAAGGCCTCAATCCTTTTGCGCTCATTCTTAGGGTCTCCATAAGTCACAGATAATTTCATGCCACATAACAACAACAACAGAAGGTAGAGTGATCATACTGTCTTCCCAGACTGACACTGGCATCTCTAGAACAACCTGTACAGTCCAGCAAATCTTCAAAAGAACATGATTATCTAAGACTTAACTATGGAGCATTATATACTAGCATGGAAGCAAGTATATCATGCTTATTCCCAGCAACTGGGACTTCGACTAGAACAGAAAAGATTTTGCTATGGAAAACTTAACCAGTGGCACCTTTCTTCCAAATATAGCATCTTCAAAGAAGACATCAACTTTTAAGAACTTAACAAAATTATTCAAAGGGAGTACTGTGGCTGTCTTGTATCTTCTCTAAAGTTGTTTAACCTCAGAAAGCAGCTACTTTGCTACTCCTTTGCCACCTTCTCCAAAGATTGATAAGCTAGGACACTATATTTTCTCAGCCATCTGGAGATTGTTGAAGTTGAAATATCTCCCAAACAACAATTTCTAAAGGAAATAAGCAAAATAGCCAGCAGGTCAAAGGGAAGAAACTTGAGAACTAACAGATTCCAAATTCCATGAAGGAAATCTGTGACCGGTAGGAGATTTTAACAAGACAGTCCCTGGAAGAAAGCTCTGAATGTGAGGGTGACTAGCAAGGAAACCTCTCTCCTGACAGCCCAAAGTGCTGTTCAAGGCTAGAGTCAAGAAAGAGTGTTTAAGACTTCCCTACCTGCTTCAGCCACTGAAACTCAGCCTCCAGGCTGTTAGCAAGAAAGAGGTCTGTTTTGGGATGTACAAAAAGTACTAGGTCATTTTTTAATCTCATTCAGTATTCCTGTTCCCTTTGTCTTCATCTTCATTATCACTATACAACTTGTAAAAAAGAAAATGGTAAAAAATAAATACATGCATTACCAGGATAGAAGAATCACAACAAATATATTTTAGATACATGATTCTGTTCTAAAATAAAGAACAAGTTCATCTTTTGAATGTTTTTAAATATTAATTGCATTCTTGCTAGGTGGCTTTATCTCTCCAACCAGATTTTCAGAACACAGAAATGGCTACAATCCAGGTAAGTAAGGTTACAGTCCTATGCACATTTACCTGATAGTAGTCCCTATGAGACATAGTGGCCTACATTGCATGACATTGTAAGCAGTAATGGGTAGTCACCATGGATTATTTCAGGGTGGCGTGTGCTGTACAAATGCAGAACAGCTTTTTCATGATAGTTATTTTCCATAAACAAAGCTTTTTATTGTTGGGTTGTTCTGGGTAGACAGACTGAATCTGGCATGACAGCTTCATTGTAGGTTGTCAGGAATAGCTCTAGAGCTACCTGACAAGAGTTGTGAAATCCCCTGCTGCTCTTTGTAATCTCACTAGTGCCAGTGCCATCCTCTCTTCTCTCTTGTCCTTGCTTTCCACCTCATGCTCCTAAATCAAGAATGAAGCTCACCAGAGTCCTGAACACATTCTTAGCCTTTTCATTGAAAAAAGTTTTGCCTTTGTCCAAGTACACAGCCCGCAACTATTAAATTTGTGTAATTTCCTTCCTGCTGTATCCCCCTGTCATGAATTTATGTAACTTTACACTGAAATTTTCATTTGTCCTAATCCTTGTAACTGCTTTATAAGCCATCAGTATACCAGACAGCCAGCCTGCCTGCCTGCCTGCCTGCCTTCCTGCCTGCTTGCTTGGAGACTAGTTGAGAGAAGCAACAATGAGAAAAAGAAGTATGGGCGAGTGGTACATGAAATAGCCTTTTAAAGAAGGGTGCTAGCTAGCTAGGCAAGCATGGAACTGGAGCACAAAGTTAACAGTTTTGGTATCAGTGTGCTGGACTGAACAGCAGACAGAGCTGCTACACAATTACACAAACCCTGAATAAATAAAGTTTGTGCAGTACTGCATTCATAAGAGCATGCATGCATGCATATAATGATGATGATGATGATGATGATGATGATGATGATGATGATGATGATATCTGGTGATCTGATGTAGGGAATGGGGTTAGTTTTCCTCATGAGCTGGCAACCTCAATAGACCAATTGCAGAAAGGCTGGTAATGTAGGAAATAAGGAAACAAGGCTTTCTGTTGCAAAGGATATCTGGGATATGTGCCAGGAGAGAGTGGGAAGACTGAGCAGGAAACAATTTACCATAAGCCACAGTGCCACCAATTGTCAGGAATAATGTGGGTTATCAAGTGAATAAACGCACAAAGGCTTATCTTTAGGGTGACTTAGGATGATATGCAAACTTACACAATGGGGGCTTCATTTGAGTAAATATGTAGGATAGTGATGTTTATAATTTGTTATAAGAACTTTTTATGTTAAATAATTTTTAGGGAAATATGTGACAAATGCCAAATTTCCTTCTTTGATTACTTGATGCATTAGGGCTGGTTGGCTTTCTCTCATGAGTGGGAATTGTGTTCTACAGGAGTACATACCTCTTAAGAGCTGTTGTCCAACTTACCAGAAGATGGTATGTTGTGGTTTGTTTTAAGCATAGGTGATACTTCTGGAGTGACTTGGCAATATCAGGAGAAAGTATCTGAGGCTATAAAAAGGAAAGGCTTAAAAACCTTTGTTCTGGTTAGAATTTTCGCTCACAATCAGTATAAAGGGTGGCTTTCAGCTATCAGCAAGCATGTGCAATTTATGTTTTAATTCTTGAGACTATGCAATCTAAGAAAATCTGCATAGTAATAGCATGCTCATTTACTTTTCTCTGCATAACTATGGTTTGGGATACAATTTCTTTTTTTAAAAATGGCTTTTCAATCTATTTGCATTAGGTTTTACCTTAGTCTAATTTTAAACCTAAGATTCTAAGAAGATACTTGCTTTGTGCCTTTTTTCAGGGCCCGAGGTCACAAATTCACCACACCCAGCTATTCTTACGGAGTTTCTGGAGTGACTTTGTTACCCCAGGCATTTTTCTTTTATTTTTTTAAAAGAGAACATTTTAGACCAGGCACTCTATGAGAACATTGTAAAAGAAAGAGTCTTTAGGACTAGGATAAAGAATGTATGTCTGAGGTACTAAAGGCACCCCACAATGCAAGATGACCCCTACTAAAAGAGCAAATAAAATATTCATACAGGCCATGATGAAGGTGAGCACACACAGCAGCTGAACAACAGAAGCTAGAATTCCATTGATCAGCTATTGGTAAAGAAAGGCAATGGGGCAAGGACTGAAGTCAACCATCTTCACACACCTCTAAATAGTTAATAGGAAAGAACTGCACAGGATGCTTGTCCAGGCGCACAAAAGTCACCTTCTCCTACCTGTTTGTGCACATTTCATATGTAAGATATATATTCATATTTTCATATAGCCAACAGTGTTCCACACTAGCACTCACAACATTCCACATGGGTAAACCAATGTTTGTGCAGCATAACCTACAACACAATTTGCTACTCAAATGCAGCAGCATCCAACAGAAAAAAGGGTTTCTTTAAAAAGAAGTGTGCAGGATTCTTGTAATCATTTTCATTATCCATATATTGATTTTATTTTCTCTTACTTATACAGAGAATTTTAGCTATTCAGGCTACCAGTTCTATCCTCAAAGAGACTACAACTTGTTCACTGGTGGACTAAGTGAAGAAGAACAGCTTAGGAGGGCAGTAATAAACAGCCTGAATGACAGAGGTAAGATTCTACTCTTGCAGAGGAATTTCTGGAAGGTGCATTGCATGTTGATGCATAATTGATCATATTTTTAGGGTGACATTTGAAATAAAATGAAGGAAAACCTTTAGCATTTTCCTTTTTTTAGCATTTTTTTTCCTGTCATTTTCCAAGTTTACATTTCTTTGTAGCTGATACCAGAAAATTCCTGACCTGATTACTTTCAAGATTCAATTTAATATTGTTCTTGTTATGAGGAAAAGCACTAAAAATATCAAACATGAATGGCATAGTTGTACACCCTTAACAGCAACTGGTATGTTGCTTCATCTTTAGAGAACTTGGTGTCTATACAGAGACTTGAGTTCACACAATCACAAACAACCCTGACACCCATGACTTCTTCTAGGGCTTGGGGTGGTTTGTTAATGACACCTATGCTTCTTTGTGGTCTCTATGCATCATACATACTGATTCTGGGCTGGTGGGGCTTGTTGAGAATATTTTCCTAGCTAAACTTGTTTTGGCAGGAGCCCTGTCCCCCCTTCCACCTCCACCTCCCCCAGTCAGCCCAGTACTGAATTCCATATCCTAGGGCAAAGTAACATCCTCCCTGGTACCCAATTTTTGGAGGGAAACTAAGTTTATGCAGCCCCATTTTTTACAAAAGGAATGTAGGTCATTGAAGCAGAAGATTGTTGGAGCCAAATATTTTTCACATGTTAGGAAGAACTGATCCCAACTAAGCAAACAAAATATGGATATACATCACTGCTGCTGTTGAATGTAATGTAAGGTTTTTGTTGGCATTTTTGCCTGCTGGTAAATGTTAAATTGCTCCTTGTATGAGACCTCCTTCCTAATATTTATCACAATTCTTTAAAACATACTTTCAGCGATGGAAGGACTGTTGGCTGGTGCAACAGTATCTTGAAACAGTTGGGTAGTTTTGGGAATCCTACCTGAAAGACACACTAGGACAACATATGTGAAAATAAGGGGCCCTGAACTTAAATTAACAATTGGGTCCTAAATACAAAAAAATCTCAAAATATGATTTTTTGTGTTGTAAATCACTAAAATGATCATTCGGGGAATTTTGAGGTCTTCCGTCTCTAAGGATAGTGCTTGGTCATAAGGATTGTTAGGCTAAGGAAAACATGTATTTATTTATTACATTTATCCCGCCTTTTTTCCTCAAGAAACTAAATTCCTTAATTTTCCTTCTCTCAGCCCCAATTCACTCAGTTATTTTATTTTTGTGATTTTGTGGTTTTATTTTAGTGATCAGAAAGCTAACCCCTCCCCTAAAAATCAGCAGGAGTCAGGGTTGTTGAGTGAGATGGAAGCAACATTTTCTTTTAGATAGACTCTGTGAGTATGTTTTGCTTTACCCTTAAAATCTGATTGTTAAAATGGTCCAACACTAAAACTACCACACCACCCTGGCTCTCTAGATTGGCTTTCATTTCTAGAGAGGTTTGTTTGTCTGTTTGTTTAAAACATTTCTATCCCATCCTTTGCATAGCCTCAGGATGGCTTACGGTTTTAAACATCTAACACACCTTTCTTCTAAGATTGGCCTTCAAGGCAACTTAAAATAAATCTTTTAACATACATGTTAAAGGAAGCTTAAAACAATACAACCTACAACTCAAATAGAGAGATGAAATCATAAGCAGATCCATAATACTTGCTAACAAAGGCTCAGAAGAACAGGACGATTTAAACTTGGTATTTTAAAGATAACAATCTTGGTAGTGATGCCAGGTAAATATAGCTGGAAAAGAAGTTCCATATTATGGATGTCAACATAGAAGAGGCCCTATCTTTGGCCATTTGAAAACTATCCATCTTAAATAACTAGATCTGATTCATACTTGTAAATCTGTCTTGCACATATTGAGTCCATACTGTTTCAGCAGCTTTGTAGTGTCTTTGTAGCTTACAGCCTATTAGAACACAAGCATTTTAAAAATGCAAATATCCTCCAGTTCTTAGGCAGGTTGCAGAGACTGCCAAGCACTGCCTCTTATATCATGTTCAGTAATGGTTTTAAATAACTGGATGTTTATTATTTTGTGTCCCATAAAATGGAGTAGCTTATGATTGGCTTTTGTTTACAAAGCCACAGCTGTGGTGTTTACTTCCCACCCAAAAATTACCACAAAAAGTTGGTAAATAGAGTTACTAATAATACACATTGAAATCACTAATGAAAGAAATGATGTCACACTGATAGAGTCTCACAGAACATGACACAAATGTTGCAGACACAAGTCTGTAAGACCCATTAAATTACATTGCATTCCCAACATATACATATTCTAATGGATACTTCTAACAGTTCCTGAAATGATTCTTCATGCCACATAGGTGCTAATGTGCTTTAACAATGTATGACTTTTAGGATTAGTAGCACACATACAGTATGTAGAAAGCAGTAAGTAATACTTGATCATGCCTGACACTGCTGGACTATGTTTTTTTTTTTTTTAAAGATTTCTCACCCAAACCATAATTAGCTGATTGATGTGGACTTCTTAAATATGCCTAAATACTAACATAAGTGAGCTGATTATTTATGACTGTGGGTCATCTTGGAAGATCAGTGAAGTACTGAAAAACATGACCTCACTGTTTTGACTGCCTAATATAATTGTCTAAGCCAGGTGTTAATGATGAGGTATTGGTCTGAGCTGGAACTGTTTACATGGTAGAGGATCCCCAGCCCAGAAGGGTTTATTGCAGGTAACATCACTGTGCTGGCTAATTTGGTGGTGTAAGTAAATTACTCACGGGTGTACTGTTCAGTGTTTGGCAGCCTACTTCTTCAGAAAAGGAGAATGGGCTTGGGAAAATGGAGAGTTGTGTCTTCTGAAGTTTGGAGATAGGAGACTTCTGGAGGAGAAGCTGTTCAGCACGCCTAGGTAGTATGATAATGTTACTTTTCCATCAAAATTGAATTAGAGGCTATTGGAATTATATCCTCCTCGCATAGACTCACAAGTTAGAAAATATGAACTCTCAGGAGTTTGTCTCAGGACAAGCGAATAAAATTCAGTGCTCTGATGTTATTAGGTCTTTTAAAATCTTCTCAAAGATTGTATCAGATGAAACTATAATTTGATATAATTTGTGCCTGTTCACATGCTTTGTCCAGCAATTAATGATCTCAGCCCTGAATTCTTAATGTTCTTGGCCCATTAGTTTTGAAATCTTTACACTTGCCTTTCATTAAAAAACAGGTACACTACCATGCTCCTAGTAGCATAGACCTGACTTTTCTCAGCAAAAGTGTACAGGATTTGACTGCTAATGGTGGTGAATGTTGGAAGTCATAACATGGCAATACTTAATAACATCCATAGAAAATCTAAATGTTTCTCTCAAATTTGGAATAAAAGCCATAGAATAAGCATAGCTTATGGATGTAGGCATTTTGTTTGTATGCAGTTAAACTTTTGTCTTAGTATTTGCCAGAGCAGTTTCCAGGCCTGAGCTGTAATACATTTATTCACACGGTAACTGTATACAAATAATAGCTTTTCAAAAACATGGAAATTATTATAATGTTGCAGAGCAGTCATTGCCCATGGTACACTAATTTGTCCACCATTGTCTCAGGTCAAACCAGTTTTGCAGGTTTCCATCATGCTTTTAGCTGGGAAATCCAAAAATAGTCCCAAAGAATGTGCTTAGCGCTGACACTCCACTGAGTAGGTTTTGGTGTGGCTGCTATGAATGCGTCTTAGATGATGTCTGTGATGAGTTACATTTTTGCACAAACATCCATCATACTCAAAGATTATGGGAATCGCTCCCCTCCCTCTCTTTAGAGCAAACTATAGTGTAAGTTCTGTGCAAGCTAAATATAAGCTTCACTACTGATGAGACCAGAAGCTGCTTGTGTCAATCTTGCAGTTGATTGTATTGTTTTGGATTTAGGAAGAAGCTATAATGGAGGGCAGGACTATTAAGGGGCCTTTCCCCTCTGCAGTAAGTGTCATTTTGCACAAACACAGAGCAAGAGAGAGTTTGTATACTCAGAACTACTGATGCTGAATCAGTGTTAATTTTAGGGATTGTGTTGAGTGTAGTGAGACAGAGAAAATGATTCTTTGCATGACATGAACAGTTTTACAGTGTGCCTTTTTGCACTTCTGGCTTATGCAGGCTACCATTTATATATGTAATTCTGTCACTGTAGTTGTTTATTAGAGCTAGTAATTCAGAGATTCCTCATTTAGTATTCTCTGAAGATCTTGGGAACCGTTTGCTCATCCTCGAAGTCTCTTTGAACTTTCCTTGCCCCACACAGACTGCACTCTATGTAATTGCCCCTGTAGTGCTTTCCTCTTGACATGCTTACAGTTTACACTTCAAGAGGGAGAGTTTTTCTTCAGAGAGCATCCACAGAGGAAACAAGGGGCCCATGGACATGGAATGGTTGCCTATATAAAATGTTCCCCATGGTAGCTGTTTCCTGTAGGCTGCTCACCATGCCACTGGAAACCTTCCTTTTTGACATGTGTAGTGGTGGAAAGAAATCACTGATCCACATGCCCGGATAATGTCTGGGCAGTACATTTGCCCTTACTCCCTACGCCTTCCAAAAGAGGACTCTGCATGGCGCAGAAGCATGTTTTTGCTTGAAAACCACCAGCAGAGATACACTGGGATAGTATCCCTATGCTAATCCTTTATTTTCATTCTTTGGGATGAAAGTCATAGTGATGTTGAAATTGGTAAGGAAAGAAATGGAAGGGTCATATGTACAGCAAAGTTCTTTCCCTGACTTTGTATCCTTGTTTCATGTGTATTTGAAATGGCTGTTGTATTTTTGTGGTAAAAGTTCTTTTTTCACTCGCATCTAGTGAAACTGGGTCTCCTATGGAGTGTTACAATGCAGCATTGCTGTTCTGTGTGTGGAAAAACAAAGCAACCACACTGCAAGTAGAAAGACTGCTAGATAATGCATATACTGGACTCAGAAGCTCTTTGTGAACTTTGGGCGCACATGAAATAGTGTCCTGGCATTACAACATAATTGGCAAGACTGAACAGTGTTGTTAGGGAAGAAACAGTCTGTCATCTGTGGTGAATTAAAGCCAAACATGAAGCTAATGTTTGGTGCCAGATCAGATGTTACTCAAATAGATTATTAATCCACTTGATAAAAAGTAGGAAATGCTGGTTGTCCTCCAATAAAATATGAAATTATATTCATATCTCAGTCACATGTTCAAAGAGAATGTTTGCCCTACTTCTTTATCGGTTTTACACAGGTAAATTTTAATATTCTGAATTGATATTTTCATGCAGATAGTAATTGCTCTTACCGTTTACGGGTATGCTCATAAGAGACCTCCAAAGGTCACTTTTCTTTGGACTCTGAAAGTGCTTGGTTAGATATTTCCATAATAAAACACACATAGCAATAAAGTAAGCTGTTGACAAATGAAGGAAAACTTCCTAGGTAGACCTTTTTTCAGATTTTTGTGTTTAATTTTTTTGTTACCAAAAGAAAATATTTGTTTACTTCCAGTGCTTGCTTCTAGCCTGAATTTATAACTCAGCATCTATTGTAGGTTTTAAATGATGCCTAAAATAGTTGGTTTGGATTTTCATATACAAGCAAAGAATTGAATATGAAAATAACAGCAATAAAGCTTATGTTTAGCTGTCAGGATTTTCCTGGGTTCATCCTTTTCCAGTCATACGATGACTTTGTGGGGTTTAGGTTCTTTCTTGCTTGTTTAGTTAGTAACAACAAAGGGGAAGATCTAGAACAAAGATTGCTATAACTTTCCATAGGACTACCTAGTTCCTGATGACTCTAAGAAGTGGGATTAGAGTTCAAGCAGGAAGATGCTCTTGCATTCCTTCTGGATTTCCATAGCATCTAGTTCACCACTGTGTAGACAGAATACTGGGAAAAAATGGAACCTTGCTCAGATCTGCTATGAGTTTTATGATTTTAGAGATAGGGAACCTAGAGTTTTTCAAATGCTGAATTGCACCTTCCATCAGCCCCAACCACTATGGCAAATGGTCAGGAATGATGAATGTTGTAGTCTAGCAACATCTGGTGGATTGTAGGTTCATTACTGCTATGCTAAAATGTGAAATGCTTCTTAGGTCAAAGACTTCTAGCATCCCTATTCGTGGCCCCAGCAAACAGCATGAATTTAAAGAAATAATAAGAAATCACGGAGTTACTTTCCAGGACATTGTCAATACCATAGAACTTCTCTGCCAAAAAGATAAGCATTTGTCCATCATTCTGAATAGACTAATTAATGAGAGGGAAGATATGTTAGATAAAATAATTTACATTTGTCTAGCAATCAGTGGCTTCGTTTTTGAGGTTTCTAAAGAATCCCATTGTGAGAATCAGATTGAAACCTCAAAGCATTGGATTTTTGTATCCCTGGCACTTGGTAGATTCCTGAATTAGCATTACTAAACTGGATGGGATATGGGAGCTACAGGCAAGCTGGCCTTCCTTTTCCCATAATGGCCTCACCACACTGCCAAAGGGTAGGAATGGATGGCAATGGGGGAAGAGAAGAGAAACTAGACTAAATTCCAGATTGCCAGTTCATGCCCTCAGTGCAGTCTTGTGTCTTCTGAACCTAGCTAAGGAGACTTGTTTAGGTGCTTAACAAACTACACTTCATGGGTTCTGGGTTGTTAATTAACCACCCCAACAAGCCACTCTCACTGGGTTTGGATGTAACAGCAATGCATGCCTAGCAAGGATAATTAGGAAAATGAGCCAGTAGTGTTTAGCAAGCCACTGTAGCTGTTCACCACTTTTGTGTTTTTGTGGCTTCAAATCAGTCTTCAGAAGTTACATCTATAGTTGATTAGTTGTGTGTTCTTTATGTTCATCCCTGGCATATGTTAACTGCATCCCTTAAATTCAGTCAAATATTCTCTTCCCATTCATGACAGGGAGAGATGCTGATTGCTTTAAGGTTCAGGGAGAAATCCTATGGCCCTTAATCAGGCCATACAATGGTTCAAGCTCCCAACTCTGAAGTTGGAGATAACACTCTGACCTTCAAGCTGAGAACTGGAGCTCTGACCTCCTTCTCCCTTGCAGATGGCATGCAAGTAACTGGGCCAGCTGCCTCTCTTGTGTAAAGGAAAGAGCATTACTTCAGTGAGGAGTAAAAGGGGGCATTTCAGGGAGAGGGGAGGAGACCTGGGGAGGCTAGGGTACAAATCATCCAGAGGCCTCACCAGTCTTATTCCCTCCCGCTCCAAAAATCTTTCTCCCTAGATGGGGGGAAAAAAGCAAATCTAGCAAAATTACAGGATGAAGATCTCCTCTACTGCTCTTCTCACTCTGCATAGGATGCCTGTAAACCCCTGACATGGGGGCTTATGAAGGTGCAACCAGTAGAACTGTGTCCTTGATAAACAGGTTCTACACTATGACTATTCCATAAAGTCCTTAAAAGTCCAAGAAAATGCCTTTTTTGTTGTTGAGTGTACTATGTTAAAGTGAAACTTTCCAAACAAGTAACAAAGTTGTAAATATGATTCATTTCAAAACAAACAACAAGTAAGTAGTATTTCTGTGCTCTTCCCAGCTGACTAAATCTGTTATCTAGCCATTATGCTCAGGGTTAGGATTTTGGTTATGCTACTGATCTTTCCAGAAAAACAATCCTGTGCTGAATAGACCACACAATAGCAAGTTTAAGTTCTGAATTCAGCCATGGATTAGTACAAAAAAATGTATATCTATATATCTCAGTGGGCTTTCACTTTATTCTGCTTTAGATGAAACCCAATGTGACACAGAAAGTGCTAGATGCAGGCAAATAATCCCTAGGTTTCAGACCAGCCAGACAATAAACAACTCTGTAATATTCAGTACTGCAGCTTCTGTAGAGCCCATCTGTTTCAAAATAACCCTAATTCTGCTTACTATGCGGAATGCTTTGTTGACTGGGGTTTGTCCTACTTTCCTTTTAAGGTGTTGCCTGTGAGCCTCTGGTGCCCTCTGCTGGGAGATCTGAAGCATCAACTGGGGGCTCAGTTCATCTTATTCATTGGAACAGTGACTGTTAATCCTTGATTATTTAGGGGCAATAGAAAACTCTTAGATACACCAAAATGCAGGATAGTTTGGATGTCTTGCTTTTTTAATTTATTCCAAGCACAATGCACTCTATTGTGAGAAACCAGAGTGCTTCTGAAAAATTTATTAGCATCCTTACACTAGGGATAAGTTTTTTAGAGGTTATTTTGATGTTCTTGCTCAGTCAGTACCAGAGTGAAGCTGATAATACAGAGAGTAAATATTATAATTGATTATCACTAGTAACTTCCCATTTTAAAAGACCATAAAATAACACTTCAGAGAACCCATTAGATATAACATCTTTGAAAACTGTCAGGCATACAAAAACTATAGAGGTGCCTGAGTTTGACATCACAGTAACTTGATGTCAAACAAGCAACTAAAACACATCCTATTTGTAATTAGGACAAAGACAACATAGACACTCAACCTGGCACTGCTAACTTCTCATTCTCAGCCTGGGAATGAGCAGATAAACAGGAAACAGAGTGTTTATTTTGAGCATTTTCAGGTTTTTGAGTTAAAAAAGGAACCCCAAGAGATTGGGGCACACAATAACTGTTGTTCATCTCTCTCCTTGCTTGCATTCTAATATATTGGGGTTGGTGGCCCTCAAGTCTATCCAGCCATTATCCAAAGAAGTGATTTCTGTGTATCTCTATTAATAGTGTTTGCAACTAGAGCTCTGCTTCATGTTTTTGCTCCTTCAGTTCCTTACAGCCACTGCTCCATTTAAAAAGCTTCCTGCCTCTTCAGCTGTAAAAGAGATGTGCCAACAAGCATAAAAATTTCCCTACTGGATCAGGCTAAAGGAGCACCCAGTTCACGCCTGCATTTGCAATAGTGGCTGGCTAGATGCTTCTGGGAGGCTGAAGCAGTGCATAAAGATAGCAGCTCTCCTTGACCTTTTGTCTCCAGAATCTACTATTCAGGGTAGTGCTGCTTTTGACCAAGGAATTTTCTTTTACCTGTCAGACCTCTTTTTCCTATTAACTGCATTTTCTACAGATTTGTTTCGTTCTTTTTAACGCCACCTAAGCTATTGACCATCAGCAAATCTCAAGCTAGGGAATTCAAAGGTACCAAATACAGGTCCCCATCACCACTCAGAAGCCCACTCCAAATAAACCGTGCTTAACCACTAAGCCCCACTTTTCTACACATAACGTCTTTGGGTGATGGCTACAGTTTATACTGCTTCAGGGATGTGTGCTACTACATTATGCTTGCCAACAGTTCCTGTTTGTTCCTTTTTCCAAAACTGAACAAAAACCGTTCTAATTTCTAGTCAGCCCATTTTGACCACAAATGCAGCTTTAAATGTTCCAATGGAAGTTCCTTGTACCAATAGAAGAAATTGCTTTTGAAAGAGGGCACTTGCTTTCTCCCCCCAAGATAAAATATTTGGGGGTTGACTTTTCTATTACACAGAAAGAGAACATTGGCAGAGAATGAGATACAGGAGTGTGCATATTCATACCTGATTGGATTATGGTCAAAGTAGGGAAGTTAAAGTTGATGTACGTATTTTCAGTGTAAGAAATTGTGTGTGTGGGGGGGGTCATAGCAACAGCAAACTGCAGACAGTCAAGACTGCTTTGATTCAAAGTTAAACTTGCTGTAAAGGTCAGCATATAATATTAGCCACAAAAATAGATTTGGATCTGATATAATGTTAAAAGTCTTTGGACATCTGCTTTGTTGTAAAGTATTACATTAATTGTTGTTTGCTTCTCATTGCAGGTGGCAGAACAAGACATTACCTTAATGAGTGGAGATCTTAATGCTTCTGGCTTCCACAAGAAGAACCATCAACTGAGGGAATTAGAAGGCAAAGATTTAATTGATTTGAGAGGTGGTAACATTCTTGAGACTAACCTAAAATATATGAAGAGCTGCACGAGTGCCAAAACATTGGTTGTAGCTTCTGATTTTAAGTAGTTTAAAATTTCAGAACAGATGGTTTTCTTCAAGCCTTCTAACAAAGTGCATAGAGAATTTGTAATTTTTTTGTGTATAGCACTTCAAACTTGAAAAGGGTTGCTGAAAACCCTTAAAGGATTTGATATTCTAGGACAGTTTTGAGGCAGATTTGTGCAACTTCTATTCATTTTGGCAAGTCTCAGGAAATTTGCATTGTCAGCCCTTACACTTTAATACAACCTCAAAACATGTTGAATCATGAAGCTTAAACACATGGTCAGTGATTTCACTTTTCCTCTGGGATCTTAAATATATAAGTATTTATTGTTGAGACTATGGTGCTTTCCTATGCAACTAATATTCCTCCTTAATGCATATCAAGCAGAAAAGCAATGTAAAAATTCATCTGAACTTTGCAAGAGTTTTCTTTGAGATTTAGGGCAACAGGATGTGATAGTAAGTTCTAGATGTAGTTTAATTCTAAGTGACCATTTTTATTGGCTCTGGCTTGCCATCTTTAGAGTTGGTAGCTGGAAAGGTCCATTGTCACTTTGTGTAGAGTTTTGCTTCACTTTAGCTCTGGGCTGGCAACATTTCTTTTATCTTTCCTTTTTTTTAATTTGGCAATAAAGTAATAGTCATTGTGTGTGTGTATGTGTATGTGTGTGTATGCACGCAAATATGCAGCAACAGTACTTCATCCTCTTTGTACACCAGGAGCCCTGAACTTTGTATTATTAAACTATAAACAAGTCCAAGTAGGGAAACTTATGCTACCTTTGATCTTTTATCTCTCATTTGAAACACATTTTGATTATATTGCATAAAAACTATTGCGAATGTTTAAGAGTTGATTTATGCATCTTTCTATCTGTACATAAATATGCACACACATACATATGCACATGGTATCATAAGAAACAGCTGGTGTTAATGTGGCAGAAGTATAGTTGACGTAATCTGTTTGTCTTCTGGATTTCATCAGATCCTCAGACATTCAGCATGAACAGGATATTGTTTGGCTAGTCTTCAGTTTTGCATTTGCAATTTCCTTTCTCAATTTTATCTCAGGAGCAGCAAAATTCAAGATAATTTGGGGCTTTTCAAGTGCTGAGAAGCCTAAACTTTGTGATTTCAGACAATTAATAGCATTGTGTTTTGAACCTCTTGAGTCTGTGGCAGATTTGCAACCTGCCTACCTTAGGAAAACTGATGCTGTCCATAGTAATACAAAGCTGTTTTTGATCTGCCTTAAATATCACATGGTGAAGCAGATATACAAATTTTGCACTCTTGTGTATTCTTAAGAGCAGATAGTTCTTCATGCTGCTAGCTGTTTGTTTTTCCCATCTCACTCTTTGAGCCAAACCAGGTATGGCAGTAAATGCATCCACATATCGAATATGCACATCTTAAAAAGTGCAAGTAGCAGGTGCTGACTAGTTAGTAAACACTGAAATTATAGCAAATTTAATGGTGAATTTAACCCTTTGTTCTCTGCTGTGGTATTGATGAAAATTGCACCTTCAAAGCTGCAGTAGCATGAATGGGAAAGGTGCATTGAATGTCTAGTTTGTGACCAGATTCTGACTGTGTTTTGCACTTGCATTAATCAGTTTTTCCCCTACTAATTTTTAATGTTCTAAAATGAATACTTGAATAGAACCAGGTGCTTTCTATTTTTAGTAATATATCTTTTTAGTAAAAAGATTCTTTTTAAAAACCTTCTCATAAATAATTTGATACTTTGGTGTGTTTCTAGGAAGTAGAATTTTAGCTGTTTATCAATATCCATGAAACATCCCAGTTTAAAAGTACCTTGTCCTCAGTAATCGTGGTATGTGTATTAAATAGCATTCTATTTGAAATACAGAATAATTACACTCATTAAGGATGTTTTTGTGCCTCAAAAGTTTTTGTTAGCTTTTCTAACTGGGACATTGGCTATGTCATTCCTTAAGGTCTAGGGAGGTAATAAAACAAAAGTTAAAAATTATTTATATGTGATATTTGCATGCTACTAAAATGAAATCTCTAGGTGTTTCACATTAAAACATTCAAATTAGATTTAAAAAACAAATATTTAAAAATAATGTCAGCAGTGAGAATACAGAGCAGTACATAAGCAGTAAAAGATGAAGCAGCATTGTTAATTTAGTTTATAAGCCAAGGAAAGCGTAGGTAAGTAAGTGGGGGTTTTTAGGAGGCATTTGAAACATGTATCATTTTCTGACTTCAAGACTGCACAAGGAGGGTTTCTAGAGGATGGGTTCCACTACTGAAAAAAACCCACTGTTGAATATGAGATATGGTGACATCACATTAATTATAGAGATATCAGCAAGACTTGGTCTGCTGATCGTCAGTGATGTCTGGAAAGGGGGTCTGCTAGATATCCTAGTTCCAACTTGTTTAGTGTTTGTTATGACAATAGTATTGCAGTGACCCTAACCCTGACCGAATTCGTTAAATCTCCTGAGCCTGCAGATCATGGAGTACTCCCAGACTACATACCTGCTCCCTCAGAGGAAGTGCAACCCCATCAATGATAAGCAAGCAGTCCAGTTCCTAGATATCGGAACTGCCAACCCATAGTGCCTCACTCTTACTGGGATTTAGCTCATCCAAGCTGAAATTGCATGTAGGCACCAGTTCAAAGCATGCAAGCTTCAGATGTCACAGAGAAGTAAATTTGCATATCAGCACAGTGGTGGCACTTTGCCACAATCCTACTGACAGCCTCTCCCAGTGGCTTCAGTAGGTATTACCACTGGGGACAATGTGATCCCCTGTGGTCGTCCTCACTTTAGCTGTCATGGGGCCGAGGTACAGTCATTGACTGCTATTCTCTGAACCCTTCCCTGCAAGTTCAGTTGAATCACTGTAGAATAGTGCCTAAAATTCATTCATGGAGGCCATCCAGGAGGATACCATGGACAATGGTATCAAAAACTGCGGAATATCAAGAAGTAAAAGGATCATACTGCTCTCGTTCCTTCCTTCATTTAGTATATGTGTTTGTATTGTGTACCAAAGTGAAAGCCAAAATGCTATTCGCCTTGTGTGGATGAACTCCTTGGACTTCAGTTATTGGACTGTAGGTTAAGATTGGTCTTTGCAGTTTACCACCCTCACACCTGAACAATATGCCAAGGAAGCCCTGTCGGCACCATCAGTCCCTCAGCCTATGAGCCTTGGCATTAGCCAGTCTGTGCCATTTCTGTTGCTAAGCCATGAGAGGTTGGTTTGTCTAATCCACACTGCTCTGGTGCCTTTGGATTATTCTGGAGTGACTGCTGTGTCTCCTCTTCTTTTCAGCATACATCAGAATTGCCACTAGATGAGACTAGTGTGTGCATGTCAGCTATGGCACCTGTGCTTAGATTTCAGTGTTAGATCTTAGTGCATACCACTAGAAATTATTCCAGACAGTTCCACACAGGCCACAGAAAACTGGCATGAAAAAACATGGCCCTAGTTAACACTGTGGCTTCTTACTGTGCTCTGCCTGAAAGATTCTGGAGCAAATCTAAAACTATACCCTCTAGAGGGAGGACCAACAGACCTTTCCATACAAGGTCTGGGAGATTTTTCTCATTACAATAATCTCAGCTGTAGCCTGAGGGGGGAAAAACAGGTGACCTAGAGCTGCGCAGTGGCCTGCATCTGGTGGCTCTCAGAAGTATTTAAAACCTCCTTTAACCTCCACTGAAGTATTTGAATATCCAGAATATTATTTGAGGCTTTGCTCTGGGTACCTTGTTCTGAGACTTTCTGCACTAGCTTACAATGTGTATATGTACATTAGGTTGCCAATAGCAACACACAGACCCACTGTCAAAAGAGCATTGCCAAATTCTGGAATTAGTATTTTTTTGGCTATAGGTATCCTAGATTCTGTGTTTGTTACAAACACTTGGAAATAGCCAAAATCATATTTTCAGATTCTTAATGGTTGGTCTGTATCCCTTGTGCAGCATTGAGGCAAACACTTTTTTAAAATCACCTTTTGATCCTCAAGTGAGAATGAAAGACTGATTAGTTTGGAGCAAAAACAGGCATAATAGGAGAGAATGGTACTCATGGATGGTATGGGTGCCCCTCCATTTACTAGGTAACATTGCATTTTTAAAATGTAGTATGACATGTTGTTCCTTTAAAGTGGAGGATAGTGTTTCAATGATAATGTAAACACTGATTGTGAAAGTTACCATGGTAACAGCCCATTTGTCATGACAGCACAGCAAATTGGCATATAAAGCCAGACTAAACTGTCAAAGCACAAGAAGTTAGGAATGCGCAGACATCCATGCTCATTTTATTTTGTATGAAAACAAAATACATAATCTGTAGTTTTTCCTGTGCTGTTTGTTAGCCCCAAGGTCTCTGGCATGCTTCTATCTGTAACATTCAGAAGGCCGAGTGTGAAGAATTCATCATCTTCCCTATTGAAGGCAAGAGATGAACAACTGTTTTTTTCCTCATGACAATTTTGTGGAAACTCACTCACTTTAGAGTTCTGTTTGTAGATTAGTATTCTGCTAACAAGGGTCTTGTAGAATGCAAATGTTAAGAACTGTTAATAGGAAAATATAGAGAGCCAGTGCAGCACGGTGGTTAGAGCACTGGACTGGGACCTGGAAGATCCAGGTTCTAGTCCCCTAGTCCCCAGTCAACCATGGTGGTTTCTCTAGGTGGCTTTGTGCCAGTCACAGACTCTCAGCACAAGGTTACTCTTGTGAGGATACCGTGGACAGGAGGACAACTGTGTAAGCCACCTTGGGTTCCTTGCGAATGGAAGACAGGTGGGCTATAAATATAAAGCAGTAATAAAAAAATAAGAATAGTGGTCCTGTGGGTTGAACCAATTCCTGCTGCTGGTCAAGCAATTAATAAAAAGTGTAGGAGTCTTGGCATCACTCCAAAACTAGTATGCCTGAGTCCATTCCTCCCTGTTTGTGCATTTATTTAAAGTGTGTACTCTCTCATAATCCCCATTTGCAGAAACAAAGGGGAAAGAAAATTTACCCAGAAGAATCCAAAAGGAATTTCTGCACAGTGTAACTGCATGTTCACTTGCATCTCTTTACTCTGCATGGTGCTTTCCACTATGCTTAGTGATGTGAGGTACAACAACATTTTAGGTATCATAAGATTTTGAAAACCTATCTACAAGAGATTGAAAAGGAACCACAACCCCACCTACTTCACATATTTCATCTCAGTAGAATGGGTCAGGGGCGAGAGGTTCCATATTGGTGAAAGATATGCAAAGCTACCCTTACTGACTCATCCTCTTACATTGCATTATTCCTAACACATGCTGCCCTTAGCCTGTTAAAAAAACAACATCAAGGGATCAGTAAAATATTTTGTATTCAAAAATATATTTTTGCCTCAAGATTGAGTTCTGCACCTTCCCTCCTTTAGGCAGCATTTCAATTACTGCACCATCACTGAATTTCAAAGTGGAGATAAATTCCTTCCTGGAGGAGGCAATCAAGCACTCTCTCCGCTCATCAGATCCACCATGGTTTCTAGCGCCAAAATTTCATGATACCAGAAAAGGATGAATGGCTCCAACCAATCCTGGATTTCAGTGACAACCATTTCTACATTATACCAAGGAAGTTCTGGATGGTTACATCGGCACCAATTTTTCCTTTACTACGAATAAGAGGTTGGTTTACTTCAGTCAATATCAAGGATGCATACTTTCATATAAGAATCAAACACAGATGCCAGAGACATCCTCGTTTCATTGTCAGATCGATGGCTTTGCCGTTTCAAGTTCCTTGGTGCCTAATGGTGCCACAACTGTTCACAAAGTATATGGTCATAGTCTGCACTCTCCTTCATATGCTTTGGACCCAAGATACTGTGATTATTACCTGTATTGTGTATTGTATTTTATGTATTGTTTTAAACCACCCAGAAAACTTCAGCTATCAAGCAGTATAGAGAATGAATGAATGATCCAAGCCTTTTCATACTTGGACAAGTGGGTGATTACAGCACGTGCAATCCAGGTGAACTCCAACATGCAATAAGGACCCCTCCCAAGCTGAGAGATGACCTTGGTTTCCATGTCCTTCAGGAAAAACAGATGTTGATGCCAACCCAAATCCTCCAATATGTTGGCTTGGCCTGAATTTTGCTGTGGGTTGCGACAAAATGCAGCACAGGAAATTTCTGGAGCCTTCACCATGATGACCTATGCCATCCAGAGACTGCTAGGGCTTATGGCAGCAGCTAATTTCCCTATTCTTGAGTCTCTTCCAGAACTCATGGTTATTCATTCCTTTGATACTGACATCAATGCCTATCAGACACTCCTGCATTTTCCCTCCAGAGTTTTCTTTCTAGTGGTGGACATGACCTGCCAATCTTCAACAGGGTACTCCATTACACTGCTTGAAACCAATTAAGGTCCTTACTACTGACATCTCTATGCTTGGCTGAATAGTGCACTGCAGGACCCTGCCAGTACAAGGTATTTGGACAGCAAATCCAAACATATACATTTTCTGGAAAGCCTCACAGTCTGCAAGGCACTTCAGGATTTTGAGACCACTCTCAGGCCATCATGTTCAGGTTGTCACAGACAATATGACAGTCTATTATCTGAACAAATGGGGAGGAATTATATTGATGTGACTTGTCATTTTTACTAGTGATACTGTTGATCGGTCAGTTCTGTGCAATGTCTAGCTAACCCCCATGCACATTGTAGAGAGGGGCTCCAGCTCTCTCACATTATAATCTGCTTAGATTTGCCCAAGTTTTGAGGATGAAGTGGAAGGACAAAGGTAGACAGAAGACTTGGCAGTTTCCAGGTTAACTAGTGAAGATTCTCAGGCACAGTGTGAAAAGGATTTGTTTCAGAACTGCAGGAGGAGGCAATTGAGGAGAAGTCCCTTGACCCAGTTGGGAGAGGACAAGTGAAGTGAGCAGACCAATTACAAAGTGTCAGGCATGTCCATCATCTATCCCTCAAGCAGCAAGAGTCACCCTGAGGGTGGAGCTATAAGGAGGGGAAGTTACAGTTTGGATCAACTCTTTACAGGGTCAGATGTGTCTCCCACATTTCAAGGGGAATGTTCCTGTAACTCATGGGTCCTCAAACTACGGCCTGGGGGCTGGATCCGGCCCACCATGCCCATTCGGACCCCCCACCACCCACCTTGCCCCACGTGCGGGAGGCAGCGGTTTGCTCACTCAGAGAAAATGATCTCCAAGCAAGCAAGCCGCTGCCTCACGTGCCCACCTCATGGCGCGTGCCCGCCCCTGCCTTGCCTCCCCTCGCCGCACATGCCTCGCCACGTGCCCTGCCCCCACGCCAACCTGCACGCACAACCACGCACAACCTTCCTGGCCCACACCCAGCACTGGCAGCTTTCAACTGGCCCCCTCGTAAAAACATTTGAGGACCCCTGCTGTAACTTATGCTAGTTTGTAACCTACTAGGTTTTAATAAAACAATTGTTCTTCCAAAGTTTCTTTTGAGTCTACTGGAGAGGGAGAGGAGGAAGAGACCTCCTCACAATACCCATCACCAGTACTGACAAGACTGACAAGACTTGCTCAGCAGGTTTCTCATGAGTGGGACCTGGCTTTGCCAATGCACCGAACCCTTTTTCAATAATAGGATATTTGGCTCTTTCACACACAAGGAAGAAATCTCTTACCTGTGCATTCATGTGCTGGACTTCACTTCCTCCATGCAGCCATTTACACACTTCTGAACCAGCTTCTTGGAAATGATTAGTATATATAGCTCTTTGTTTCTGGTTAGGCTATGTAGGTTTGCGAGTAGATTACTGTGAAACTGATGGTTTCTATTGGCTCAGAGTAGAAATAATTAGCTAAAAAATAATTTTCCCTTTCTGGTTCAGAAGCACACAGCAGCAAAGATGGTTGCCATTTCTATCCTCTTGATTAAGCTGTGATGCTAGTTAAGCCCAAATGCTGAAGGTGTCTCTTTGGTACCTGATTATCTGCACCTATGGTAGTTTGGGGCAGAGCTCAACTGACAGTTATCTTACTGGCATGTTTAGAATCGAAGCTGAAACATTATGCACCTAGAAAAAAACAAATAGAATTAAAGCACTGGTTCCACGAGAATTATTGAAAACAACACCTGGTAATTTTATTGTCATATGTATCTACAGAAAAAAGATTTGTGGTCTCACCCCCTGACAAACTGACCTAATGTAGAAGTGATTATGCTTGACTCCCGTAAAGCATGAGAACATCTGGAAAAAATTCAAGAGGGACACAGGTCCCTGCAAATGAAGAGACAACCGCACAATAAATACATTAAAATTGAATATAAGGAACACTTGGATGCTAAAATGTTCTGAATTGAGCCAGTTCATAAAACCCCACTGTTCAATATCATAAGAAAGTATAGAAGATTTGTTTAATTCACTAGAACTGACATTGTCTTTGACCTGTGTCATAGTTGGCGTCATGTAACATAAGGGAGACTGTGTTACGATATTTATTCCTTTGTAGCAATATGCCAAAGCACTCATCTCAAGACTTTTTGGTGCTACCAAATTCAATCCACAGAAAGTTGTTGGAAATGAATAACAAAAGGAATTATTGGTCATATTGTCACCTATTCAGTGTTTCTGCCAAGCTGAGAAACCTCAGAATACTCTCACACAAGACTGTTCTCTGTGACAGCACTAAGATTGAACCTCCTCATTCTAAATCAAATTCTAAAATGAACAGATGTCATGTGTGGTCCCCCATATATTTTCCGTTGTGTCCCACTAAAGAATGGCCAGTAATTTAATGCAGGAAAAATGCTTTCCTTTCCCTCTTAAAATATGCTGCTATTATAGCAATGTATCTCACGGAGACCCAGTGTGCTGTGATAGGTTGAAAGAAAAGCAGTGTACTAAAAGTGGTTTGCACTAAACTGAAACACAGAAAACGCCAATACTACAATGCAGTGAAATATAGAAGCATCATCTTTCGTGTTAAGAACCCCCTTCTAAGAGCAAAACTGGATTCATATAAAACTTTATTGTCAAAACATTATTGGTTTAGCTTTCTTAAATATATTAAACAAAACTCACTCTGCTACTTTAATTAAGAAGTATTTGTCCCATCTTCCTGTTGAACATACTCCATGACACCTTTTGCTCATAGATGCTTTCTCTTGAATAAATGAAACACTAGTTGGGGTCAACTTCAGTAGAGTGCTCACCATAACACGCCTAGCATTCCTTGAAGCTGGTATCATTTCCTTTCACTTGGCACTATTGTGGAATATGTATAAGCAAGAATAATTCTTTTGTCTCAGCATGTCACTGCTATTCTAAAGAATTTTCCCCACTTATTTGCATAGCTGAGAGATGGTCAGTTTGTGGCTCCAAAGATATTTTGACCAACAACTTCTATCAGACCTAACTGGCATCCCAATTATTGGGAGGTGTAGGTCAAAACATTTTGGGGGAGCACAGGCTCCCCACCTGACTCAAATACACTTCCTCTGTGCTGAAGAGAGATAAACAGTGGAACATAGTGCTTTCTCTGCCTCTTTTCACTGCAGCAGCAAAACACAAAACCACGAACTGTGTAGCCAGGAGCTGTGGCCCTTTCCATATAGTTAGCTGTAACAAGTTTGCTTGTAATGGTAGGCGGAGAAAGAATCAGGCTGCAATAGAATGCTGAGTTTTTGCCTAGCACAGACAATGCCTGTAAATTTGGCTGCAGAGAAGACAGGGAAAAGAGTGGTACAGTTTCTCTGGCTTATACAGATAAGGTGTTATGTAGATATGGCCAAAGTCTTGACCGGTGTTCCATAATTTTCAAATGAAACACAAGAATTAGCACCATTTGCAACAGGGATATGGAACCTCGGGTCCACAATCCCAACCCAACCCTCCTTCGTTCCCTAGAAGGCCAGGAACTTTGCTGTGGTCTGTCTTACTGTCCCTCAAACTCTTGAGCAGTTTTCCCACATTCTAAAAGTTTGAAGTACCTCTCCTAAGGCTTAGTTACTTGAAATGAGATCTTTAAGCTAAAATATGCTGATTTTTGGCCCTGTCCATCACAGGTTTACAGCCCTGAGAGCATCTCCAAAATTGAGTTCAGCTCCCAGACTGAAAAATGTTCTGCACCCCTGATGTATAACTATAGCACAATGTACTGCATTACCTCATTTTATTTTGATAAATGTTCAAATTGCCCTTAGCCCTCTTTCATGCAGACTTGACATCTGCCTACATTTCGGCGTTGTTCTTGCTCATCTTTGAGAGTCCCTGAGAAAGAGGTTGATGTAAATTGTAACTCTGGATTCACTGTTGTTAACCAGAAGCTGTATTCATTGGTAAAAAACTGGCATGTTCCTCTTTGGCCCTGGCATTCGATAAAGGGTGCTGATCTGAAGTCTTCAAGGCAGCTTCCAGTAGACATGAGAGACTGTCCACCTCCCTGATCACCAGACCCAGTGTGCTGAAAGGAACAGGCAAGAAAGATGTAAGATACCACACATGTAAGTTGATAAAAAATTCCACTGGGTTCACTAGGACTCTCACTGGATCATAGCTTCAAGGTACAGTCCTAGCCACTGTTATACAGATACAGGTGAAAGTAATACAACTTCTTAGAAGAAGAAAAATTGTTTTGGATTGTAGTGCTACCCTCTGGTTTTAACAGTTATCGTAAGATAAAATATTCCTTTTCCATGCTTTTGGCTTGAACTTAGCATCTATAAGCATTATATGCATTATACAAAGACTGGCTGAAGGAAAACTATTAAGAATATGGCATCTGTGTAAATAGAAAGAGATAAGGAACATGGAGGAAAAAAATGGGTTCCCCCAGATATGCAACTCCTTCCTCTGATCAGAAAGACAAAGCTACTCTTAAAACAAATCTGGGCTAATATTCTATAAGAGAGTTTTAAGAGGTATGGAACTGAGTCTTCAATTATCAGTAGGAGACAGAGTGAGAGAAAGGTAATTTATTGTAGCCTGTGCTTAATATCCAAATAACTATTGTTAGTTCCCAGTTTGGATCCTGTTTATGGGATAACTATACAACAGAAGGGACCACAACATCATCAAATGATAATCTGAAAGAATGAAAAATCTTCAGTGAAGTAGCAAGTAAAAACTTCAGTTATTGTTTGAACAATGTGTGAGCTCATACTTAGTCACTTTGTTGATACAGCATTCCATAGCAGACCTAATTAGTGTTCAGTCTTACCATTAAGAAAGAATAACCTATCCAAAGACTTCTCCAGTTCAACGGACAGGGAGGAATGGATTGATCTTGGCTATGAACTGCTACAGCTTGGGCTGGAGCCTCACATACAGCGCATCTGCTAATGTAGGGTTTTATTTCTTCATCAGAGAGTGGCATCATGGGCAAAGGAGCTGCACTTGATAGCCAGTAAGTTTTATCATTTCGACTTGCATAGTAGCAGACCTGGTTGATATTGCAATAGGCAAATGGCATGGTGCTGAACACTGGGAGGCAAGATCCAGCCAGACCTTGAAAAAAGAGAAGAGCCAGCAATGTTTACCAATCCAAATAACAAGACATTTCTTTAAGAAGAGGTAACAGCTAGTCTTCGATTTTATCTCATCTCTTCAGCACCAGGGAAATACTTGATGGATACGGGCATTTGGGTTTACTGGGTCAACAGGGAACATTCTTAGAGCTTCATAGAAATGTTAGAGTGAGAGGTCCAGGGCCCTTTTTGCCCTCCATACTCACCTGCAAGCACTGCAAATGGAGTGGAGAAAAGAAAAGAAACACAGAACAAAATGGTATCTAGTGCTACTACGCAGCACCAAAATAAAGCAAGCTAATATTTATTCTTTTGGTGCTCCCTAGCAACTCCATATGGCATCAAATTGAGGGGAGTGAGACAGTAGGGCTTAGATTTTTGGAATTTTGTGTGGGTGCCAAGGAGGGCTGGATGCTGCCCACAGGCTGTACATTGCCCATTCCTGCTTTAAATTGAAATGGGAAGTGTCACAGCTCATTAGTAGAACACATAAGGTTTCATGTTCTATTTCTGGCAACTCCAGACAGGGCTGGAAAAGATTTCTGTCTGAAATGTTGGCAAGTCATTTTAGACAGTATTTGAGCTAGGGAAGCTGCCATTAACAGCCTGAGAATTTGCTGGCACCTCCTATATTTAGTTGGTGGCACCCTGGGGTTTTACAACTTAGTTTCTTCAGAGGATGCATTAAGGATGTTAATACTTAATATACACACATTTTAAAATACTAATTTTAAACTATTGCAGTCACACTATGGTTTTAGGATGCTCTCCATTTCTTTGATAAAACAACACTTGCTTAAGAACTAGCAAAAAGAGAAACAAACACAGATATGCTCACGCGTATAAAACAACAACAACCCACCACCTCTACAAACAGCAAGATGCCTATGGCACCCATCCTTCAGGAGAAGAGTTGAAACAAGTGCCCTGGAAGGACATAGTGATGGGAGTTTTCAAAGATGGTCCATAGTCCCATTTCCCATATTCCTCTAACTTGGTAAAACAACACAGGCTCAGCTGGCCAGAAGGGCCCCAGCTAGTCACATTTGGCATCTGTTTTGCAGATGTCAGTTTCTAAAGGTGCCATTCTATGTGGCTGCCTGTGACTTTCTGAACTTGGAAGGTCATGGGCATACAATCGAGTGCGGAAGGAGTGTAGAGGCAGAGATCGCATCTGTGCTTCCCTTGTCCTCAAAAACAGACTGAGGAATAGTCTCCAGCACCTGTCCCAAAGACTGTCTTCCTTAGCAGTTGCAGAAAGAGCCCAGGTTGCAGCATGGACTCTGCCATTACTTATAGCCAGCCAGTCTGCCAGCCATAGGGTTATGCCCTGAGTGTATTTTACAGATTAGAAATTGAATGGATTGTTAATTCAAGAATTAGGTCTCACTAAACCATCAGAAAATAAGCAGCGCTGGTGTGTTTAATCCCCTGCTAAGCTGCTGGTGACAGGTGATTAGAGGTTCTCTAGCTTGCCATGGATTGTTTCCATCTTTTTTCTTCTGCCCATCCTTAGTCCTGCACTCTCTTTATCCTTCCTAACAGTCTTTGTGGCACACCTCCTCTATCCTCCTTCCCCTTCTGCCTTTCTTGCCTCATGGAGCACCTGTATTGAGGTGTGTGCATGTGCCCGCACCTTATCTGCAGGCTTTGCAGGGGCTTACCTTACTTTTTAGCACAAAATAGTTGAAGGGTTTATTCATTTTCTTTAACACTTGGCTGCTCCTCATAAGTGGGCAGAGAGATGGTCTTCTTCACAGCTATGCATGATAATGTTTGGGTGGGCATGCACAGCCCATTCCGCACCATTGTGATCCAGGATGTAGCCATTTTAAGCATTTCCTTGCCTGTTTTGTGCAAAAATTCCCTTCCCCTCCATGGGAAGAAGGAGGTAGGAAAGCTTACATCTCCCCCTTCCCAGTAGCCACAGTTCTGAATTGGGTTTTTGACAAGGATAATCAGTGTTTTTTGACCAGGACATATGTAGCCCTGAAAGCTGTATATGTGCCTATCAAAAAGCATTTTAAAAGGAAGCCTGAGTTTTGACAGGTCTTAAAACTCCATGCTGTTATAAATGGCTTCGATTACATTTTTATCCTCTCCTGAGTGCCTAGAATCTCAAGAAAGAGTAGAAAAGTGGAGGACACTGAGAACAGTCAGGTACAGAGAAACTCCCTGGGAAGGGAGTAATCACTCACCACCCATTTCTGCCAGCAAAGATCAATTCAACAGCTTTGTTTTTCACTCAACAGTTTACCATTTGACTACTGTCAAATGAGACAGAAAGGAACAAATTAGCCTGTTTATAACCTTACTTTGTCAATGTCCATGGATGGTACCTCCAGTACCTTGACAGGAGACACGGCGTATAAGGCAATTTTGAGTAATTGGCATAGTCAGAGTTCAGACTTGCACAACTCCAAGCTATTGTGTGCAAAACTCAGGCACAAGTTTTTAAAAAGAAAAACTAAACAGATGGTGATCCAATGTGGTGCTTTGGCACTTTCAAGGTTCTGTCATCGGCTGTCACTTCAGAATAAAAAGGAAAAAAAGTTGCACAAACTGCAAAAGCTGTAGCCATCACAGTGGGGAAGACTGAGCCAAGCTGAGCCATCTCCAAGTGCTGCTTGGGCACTTGGTTTAGTGCTTATCAGTGGCAGTGGACTGGGTAAGCTCAGCAAGAGGGGCAAACAATTTTTGCTGCCTCTGTTGAGTGGCTCACTTGCCACTTTCCTTTACCCACAATGGGGTCAATCATCTGGGTTCAGATGATATGACAACCCACAGAACGAGCTATCAGTTAGAGTCAGGACCTGGTCAAGATTCAGATGATACGACAAGCCACCATGTCCAGTCATCTGTCAGGGGTTGCCATGTTGTGTGCACCCTGTCACTATCTTCTTACACCTACCTCCTCAGAATGCTCTATGGGGGTGTAAGACTCACCAAGGTCTTGATTATGAGCCTTCTCCTGCCCTTCAAGATACAGCAGGCTGTATCCAGTCCATAATGTTGGCATTCCCTCTGGGCAAAGTGGTTCTGCATCTGACTGACTATGAAGAACAATCAGGAACCCACCAACAATTCTGGTTTCTGGTCCTGGTGGTCCTGGCATCCCAGCTGGGCCTGGAAGACCTTATGGGATAAAGAAAAGATAAACACATTATATCCCATTTTATAGCGGGACTCAATTTGGTTTGTCAGAATAGGATTTACTGATGTCAAATTAGGCTTCATATTAAACAAATAAAAAAAGCTCATTTGAGTATGGTAGTGAATGGGATGGCAGATTATGTACTCAACTTCAGATTTCGTTGGTCAGAAATCTAAAGGTGTTAGGTGCCTTGACATCATGTTTTAGAGACACAAACTGGGCTTCTAGAAGCAGCTTCAACGAATGGCTTTAGCTATAGGGGTCAACAACTGGTGTAAAAGGCTAATGCAATGATTTGCAAATGATTATCTTCCTAAAAGGACAAGCAATGATTTTTCATTGTAGAAAACTTACCTTGTAGCCCAGTGTATCCTTTTTCTCCCATGTCACCTTGATCACCAAAAGGTCCTGGTGGCCCAGGCAAGCCACCCTGACCTGGCTGACCTAAAATCCCTTCTTCGCCTTTCTTTCCTGAAATATAATACATTTGCCTATAAAGATAACTGTAGTTCAGTTCTATGTATACATAGCAAGTACATTAAAAATAAAATATTAAAAAGGTGGGAATGAATTCCTGTAAAGTAATAGCATCATTCTTCTAGAAATTATTCAGAACAATTGTGTCATTTTTCTTGATGGATACTGATTTTTTAAAAGTTTCTCAACCCATTATCTAGAGCTCTCCAATTTGATCTGGCAATTTGAAAATCAAAAATCTTATAACCTGTTGGTGAAAAAAAGTAAAGCATGACCAATACTCTTAAGAATGATAGTTCTATGTTATGCTGAGGACTGACTCAAACCAGAGTAACTGGGTCTTTCTATGCAATTGTATGCAAAAATTTATTTTTTTTTATTAAAACATTTCTATGCCGCCCCATTCGCCGAAGCCTCGGGGCGGCTCACAACATAAAATAAAATACAAAAATAACAATATAAAATAAATATTTTATTTTATATATTTCTTCATTTAAATATTTTAAAACAATATAAAATATGATGGTAACAATATTTTTGGTATGGATTAAAAGCACAATAAGAATGCAATCCTTAGGGATTGTCACTCAATAGAAAGAGGTGTCTGAGCATAGAACCCTCCATATATTTTATGCCCTGCCAACAGGAACCAAGCAGGGTGAGAGGGAATAGAGGTGAAAATGCCTCTTATTCTTTGTTTTCTTTATATTTGCAGCTAGACAAACTTCTTGGCTCATCTAGGTGACTTGCCTCTTGGTAGGCAAGATCCCTGCCCACCAACATGTCTCATTCTCCCTCTTCAACTTATAAGGTTGCATTTCTTTCTGTGGCAGTTGTGGGGACAGATCCCCGACTGGATCTTCTCCTCCACAGCCCAATGAAAATGTATCACATCGCTGGAAACTTTAAAGTGGGCACAAATGGTATGACTAATACAAAATGTGGTAATATGAAAGAAGTTAGTTCATGACATGTGTGACACAAACCTTCCCTAGGAATGATGATCTAAGAGTCTTAGAATGGTCCATAATAGCTTTCCTGGAGCCTTTACCTCTTCCTACACACATTCCAGAGTCACAAAATCTTTACCTGGCGGGCCAGGAAAGCCTACTGGCCCTCTTAATCCTGTGAGACCAGGTGATCCTCTTGGACCTAGAACTCCAGGAGGCCCTGGAATCTTAGGACATGAGTAATCGACTGTTCCAGCTTCACCTGGCTCACCTGTAATGTGTAACAGCATACAAATAGGGTTTAAACAGGAGAAAGGATGGAGCCCAAAAAGAACAAAATTTGCAGCAGAAAATTCAAATAGATTCTAATTTATTTGGGCAAGTATTCTTCTAAGTAAAATTTGACAAACTAGCTCTTTATGTTATTGCTATATTTTTTAGAGGAATGGGGACCATAGAATCAGGATATAGTGGGCTGTGACATCCACATGATCAGTATGGGAACTGCAGAAGGTTTCAGCAGGGATTTAGATAAGAATTCCCTAACCCGCTGTTCCCCAGATGTCTTGGACTTCAGCTTCCATTATTTCTGTTCATTGGCCATTCTGGCTGGGACTAATAGGAGATAAAATTCAAAACTTCTAGGATGGGGGTGGGCATCGAGTTGGTGAAGGGTGATTTTGAATGTTATTACCTTCTTTGACATAGGAGTATAGATTCCAAAGCATGGTTGTATCGGGTATGTTGTTATTAGCAACTTTAAGGCACATGAGGACAAAGAGATCTGAGCGTAAAGCAAAATAAACAGGTACGCAGAGAAAATACTTTTTAAAAGGCACCCATCCTTCCGTAGCTTACCTCTGCAACCTGATGGATTGAATGCCGAATATCAGATCATGACAGCCATTTCCCATATAGGACGGAAACACACATCATGCAGATAGGTTAGTAAGATCATGGAACATGAACTGTAAAAGCATTTGCACATGCAGAGCTGACATTTTGCTGCCTGGGGCAGAGGAGCAAAGAGTGTCCTCCCCAAAGCATAATGGGTTTGATCTGGATGCCATTAAACTTCGAGTAGACACCTTGAAATCAGTGGGAAGGGTAAATAATGACCACTTAAGTACCATCAATTTAAATGTGCCTGCTTTAAATTTTATTTCATTTGGCTCAAACCCCATAATAATAAATCCTTTGGCAGCAACATCCAGTGGCTGGCAATAGCTCTCCAAACTTGGATAATGGTGGGCATCCTATTGAGGACTGAAGAAATGCAGATGTGAAGGCTACCTCCACACTTCTTCCCTACAAAAGACGTAGACAGCTGATTGTGGCTCTCTAAGGGTTCTGCACCTCCTGATGAGGACTGGCTGAGGTGTTACAGGATAGATTGTAACCCACAGACCTTCACTCCACCCCTGGAACGCACATGCAGCTCCTGATCCATCTGGGCCTTCCAACCTCAGAGGCATGGCTGGCACAGAAAGGACCGCAAGAGCTGCAAGGACAGGCAGAAGCTGTTCCAAGGTTGGAGTCACAGCTCCAATGTGTTTCCAAGTTCCACCTCAGTCTGCCCAGTGGCAAGGCCAGCCCAGGACCTGCTATACTATTTATTATTTGTTATTATATCCTGCTTTTTTTCTTATAACAAACTCAAAACAGCTGACATCATTCTTGGCCTCCTGATTTCAGTCATATCCCCATAACAACAACCCTGTGAGGTAGATTGGGCTGAGAATCTGTGACTAGCCCAACGTCACCCAGTTGGCCCCTTGACTGTGTGGGGACTAGAACCCGGATCGCCTCACTACCAGTCCCGCGCTCTTCAACACTACACCACACTGCTCCTGCTGGCTTGCATCCTAACATGCTTTTGACGAAATATACAAGCCTTGTGTTTACACTCAGTGAATGACTTGGAGCAGCCCCATGCACATAATCCTACTTCTATTTTTATTTTCTGCTATTTTCACCTAATTTACCACAAGCATTTATTTTCACTATCTTCTAAATTTTCTGCTCTCCCTTACCTAGAAGGAAAATCTATTACAAAATTGCTGGATTAAACATTATATCAGAAATTTGCTTTCCATACAGTGTTCCTGTGTGGAAAGTACATGAAAAACAAGCAAATGTCAATAGCTAAATGCATTATTATTCTTTTCAGATTTTCACTAGTTTCATATTCTGTTTATGAAACATAACTGGCAGTTTTTCTTTTTTTAAATCTCAATATTTCATTAATTGGTCCATCTGCTTAGATTAATTCTAAAACTCTGGCCCAGGACCTCATAATTAAAGAAAAGAAATATAAAACTATAAAGAAAACTATAAAGAAATATAAAACTAACTAAAAATATAAAACTATGAGTGAAAAATAACTGCCAAACATAACTGTTGCCTTAATCATTACTTACTATATAAGCAATGGCTAAAACAGCATGGCCTATTCATCTTTTCAGCTATGTAATATCCCTTTGCAAGTGATATATCTAAAGACAAAGTTATTAAAAGTCTAAGAATGAGCTGAAACGGAGTACATTTCATGAACGTTTTCTGGTCTTCCCCATATCTCTTTAACTCATCAGGGCAGTAAACAGCAAAGAAACCATGGAAAAAGTTAAGGCAACTTTTTGTGGGGGAATGTGTTTTTCAAGCATCTTTCTGGTCCTACTGATGTCCTTTCTTAATGCTGGAAAATGTGTTGTCATTCCCATGTGCATCCAGTCTCCAGTTCACTCTATCATATTCTTCATACAAATATCTGCAAGAACTACGTTGCAAAATAGTGCAAGTAGAAGTTTTTTGTTTTCCATTGAGAAACAATTCCTTATATCTGCATCCAATACTATACAACACATATTGTTCTTCTGGAAATTAAAAGAACTGAATTAACACAAGGGCTGCTCCATCAGTACGTATAACATATGAATGGGTACTGCTGTCCCAATGCCATCAGCCGACTGGGATGCTACAAGGGAACAGTATCAAACCTCAGCACTACTGGCAGAGAATTCAGTAGATGTGGCATATGTAAAGGTCTCGTGTGAGCAGAGATGGATTCAGCAGCTAGAACTGCGGATTTAACATACTATCTGTCAAATGTGATTTGCAGAATAGGCCTGTCTCACTCACCCTGCCCAGCAAGATGCTTGCTCTTTTGGCCAGCCACAGTCAAGCTGGACTCGCATGCTCCCTCACCCTAGATGTATGGCTGGACAGAATTTTACAACACTGTCATGAAGTCTGTAAGTAAAAGCTTAATAGTTACCCACCTTTTGCAAGGGATAGTGGCATGTGATTGTGAATTCAAAATATTTAGTGCATGCAAGAGGCTGTGAAAAATACTATGAATTACCTTTGGGACCCACAGGCCCAATTGCTCCTTGATATCCTTGATCCCCAAACTCACCAGGGGCACCAGGGGGCCCTTGAGGGCCAGGGTTTCCTACTGGACCTTAACAATGAGATAATTTGTATCAGCATCCCTCTTCCATTAAAAGAAATCAAGGACGTTATATTACAGGAGTAACACATGCTAAACCAGTACCCTCAAGCCATACCTTTTAAGCCTTCTCTTCCTTGCTTTCCTGGAATACCTTTAGGCCCAAGTTTCCCAGGTGGACCAGGAATCCCAGGTGGGCCAAATGTCCCACAGTCACCTGGATCGCCTTTAACAAGAATAGTAGTTCCTGAAGTGCCTGGTTTGCCAGGAAGACCTGCAATATGAATGTACCAGGGTGTCTTAACTGTGTATGACAGAGCATAGAATAACCACAAGCACCCATATCCAGCAACGGAAGTGTGCAAAACTCAGAAGCAGGCCTTTGCATACACAACCTGGTTCTCTGAGTTGGTAGGTAGATGGGCAGGTGAGCAGGGAGGCATGCATTATTGATTGGGATGATCACAGAGACATAGGAAACTGTCTTATACTGAGTCAGTGTTTACTGACTTGTAGCAGTTCTCCAGGGTTTCAGATAAAGGTGTTTCCCAACTCCACATAAGATGCCAGGAAATTTAGCATGGTCATATTTTATAGACAGCAATCCTCTGTTTCGGAGAGCTGGCAGAGAGGAGTCCTCTATGTGAAGATACCCTCTATTTGATAGGCTGCCCACTCCAAGTCTATTTAAATTCAAAGAATCCTAAGGACCAAGCGCATAAAGGGCCTTGAACTTACCCATCAACAGTTAGCATCCTTTATGGTTGGCCTGGAGTGGGGCACTCAGCAAGACCATACTGACACAATCTTACCCAGGTCCAAGTGAGAGAAACCTCCATTTTGCCTAGGGTTACAAGTGTCTGCTGAAGCTAAAGAGCAGGTCAACTGGGTGCTGGCATTGCAATGCAGAGGCCCTGGCTGAGGTTATCTCAAGACCAAGTGCCTCTGCTTATCCATTCTACTGAGTAATAAACTGCCCGGGTGCCTAAACCATGAATAATCTCGGAGCCAGATGAGCAATCCCTTGGTGGTGGCAAGCGTACCAGTTTCAGCACTCCTCCACTTGACCTGGGCCTGTAACACAGGTGCCAAGCAGGCACATGGGCCACTAGTCAGTCTTCTCCAGGATGGTAAGATGCATGGTGTTTCAGTTTAAATTAGCAATTATTTTTGAATTTGCACCTATGCATATACATTTGCACATGCCCATGTTATGCAATTTGGTGTTTTTTTTTAGTCCTCTTTTTTGGTGATGCATTTCCTCTTTGTTTGAACCTAGGGTGTTGTGAATGCAGATTGCATTCTTTATCCTTAAATCTGGATCTTTAGTTCCTCCTTTCTAGGTAGAGGTGGAATGAGAAGATTACACCTGATTTTTTAACAGTTTATTTTTCTGCAAAGACCTTTGCAGCAGCATGCAAAGTAAAAGTGCAGTGAAAGATAATTATCTGATTACCTATTCCAGCTGTACTGGGAAAGCCTAGCACTGCAGAAAAGTTTCTCAGGAATGGGACTAGCATATTTGGAAGGGGCTACCTTTTATTTTTGTTAATTCATTATTGAAATTATCAAAACATTAAAAAGTACCTCTAGCGCCATTTAAGCCAGCAGGGCCTTGGTCACCTGGAGGCCCAGGAAGCTGAATTTCAGAAGGCAGACCTATTGGACCAACAGGCCCAGGAGCACCTGGCCTGCCTGTAAGAATAAAAATAATCATGCTATTTTATATTTCAAGCATAAGATATAAATATTCTAATACTGACCAACATGATACACTATCAGATTCCAGCAGAAGTTTCTCTTACCAAATATTATAAGATAGCTTCAGCTTATATTTGTAGTGTGGGGCCATTACCAAGCACTATAGTTACCTAAGAGATGCATTTTATAACATAGAAACAAAGCTAGATTGCTCTGTTGTTATACTTTATCTATTTATTCTATTTCTTTTCTATAGTGCCCCATAGCCAAAGATCTATGGGAGGTTACAAGAACCCATTAAAAACAAAATAATAAAAATAACAAACACAAAATTAAAAAAATTAAACAACTAAAACATACAGCAACATGACCCTGTAAAAAACAACTGGAATGAGTAATCTGGGTGACCTCATGCCCCTGGGTGACCAGGTAAATCTTTAAAAGGCTCAGCACAAAAGGCTGTCTTAACCTGGCACTGAAAAGATGAGGTGGGGAGGTTGTCCTAGAGAAGGCGGCCACCACAGAGAAAGCCCTCTCTTTTGTTGCTACCTGCTGAGTCTCCATCAGAGTTAGCACTCAGGAAAGCCACAGAAGTTGAGCGTAGAGAAAACAGGTTCTCACCAGGAGGACCTAAAGGCCCCACATCTCCAGGAGGCCCTGGGCAAGAGAGGCCTGGAGGTCCAGGTTCACCTCGGTTGCCTTTTGGTCCAACTTCTCCTATGCACCCTGGAGGCCCCACTTCACTTGAACCTTTATGAGTAAAAAATTGCATAATATTAAGCTTTATCAAGATATTTAAACAGAATGGAAATTTAACAGAAGGCTTTCCTTCCCAGGTGGAACTATCCATTTCCCAACTCTTCCGGAAATTCATACAGAGGGCTAGTTTTGCATAAATATATAAGACATTTTCTCAGTCACAGAGCTGGTAGCTGGACCCACTAGCTGCCTTCCCCTGTTGCAAAGACTTCCCTGCATTGCCCACTAAATCAAAAGCCCACCTACCAACTGCAAAAGCCCCATGCCTGTTTGCTACTACCAAAGTTCACTCACTGGACATACATTTTCAAGCAGTTTTACCAAAATATAATGTGGTACCCAGATAACTATATAGGATTTTGTCAAATTCAGGGGTAAACAACTAGCCTGGGAGAAATAAACTTCCATGCCTTCCCCACTTCCCATAGCTGCCCCTCCAGCTGAACTGGTTTTGGCTTGGATCCCGGCTGTTATCTACATGGATGGGGGGCAGGGGCTCCACCATATTTTCTGGTCAGCAGCCCCCTGTGCCTTCTCAAAATAAAAGTCCATAGTCAAAACAGCAGCCAGTGAGATGCAAGGTGCAGCAACAAGGGAATATTGGGAATCTCCCACACGTGCTTGGAGTGCTTTCCTAGTACACACAAGCATTTCTGAATTCCAGCCTCTGTCTTTGGTCGGATCAAGCATGTCTGTCTGGAACTGCTTTGTAGCATTGCCCCCCCACACCCCCCACCCATTGCATCATTATTTCACTCAACAAAACTTTTAACAAAAAAGAAACTAGCCAGAACATTTATTACGTCAAAAATAGTTTTAAAATGTTCAGTCTAGTTTTTCATTAAATTAGGTTGACAGATGGAGCCACACTTCACAGGTTTCTTAGATTTAAAGGGTGGGATCCAAATCCAGGTGGCCTGGAAAAAGCAGACCTGCCTGTCACCTGGTCTCCACGGCAGGCCCCGCAGCCCTCTGAAAATCTTGCACAGTGAGTTAGGAGATGCAGCTGAATGGGAAGAGCTGGACGATCCCCACCTACCAGGTGTCACATCTTCCATGAGAGAACCTTGCTATGCTGTTGGAGAACCCTTGACAACTAATAAACCCATCATTTCATATTTAAACTTGGCATTTTAAAAAAATAAATGGTGCCATGTTATGGCTGGCTGCGGCAGCTGGGAGTCTGTCTAAATATGCATAGGATCATCTCCTCAAACTTAAATTTTCCTTCTTTACCTGGAGGTCCTGTTGAACCCTTTTGACCCTGCAGTCCATTCAGGCCATTCAATCCAGGCAACCCTGAAAGGCCTTTGAAATATTGCAGAAAAGAAAACAGGAGATTAAAATGTTTGTTTTGCACAACCCAGCAACCACCACTCAGATTCATGTTAGCAGCTTGTTCATCAGCATGTTTAACTGAAGAATTTATATGTCAGCATGTTTAGCCAAAATAGACTGTTCACAAAAGTGAAGAGTTGCTTTTCAAAAAAGAAAGGGAAGTCATCATTCCTTCTTTTTGGTTCATTGACAACAGATTTCCTGGCAAATTCATAAAGCAGTCCTAGCCCCTGTGGCAGTCTGTAGGGGTGGTGGTGGAGTGATAGGTTAGGACGATACAAAAATGCCCCTCTACTCATGAAGCAGTTTATCTGTCCTAGTATACCCCCTGGCCCTGTCCACCTATGGCTGCAGCAAGCTCTGTGTGCAGGGATCAATTACTGGCAATGTTCCTCCAAGTGGAAAGGCCTCAGATAAACCTGAGGGCTTAATTTATTGTCATCTATTTAATTTATGGGTCACCCTATAGCCAAATGAAAAGTGAAAATGAAACCAATGAAAAATCCATGTGAGGAAGCACATTAAAAGTCCAGTTTTCAAAAGCAGCAACAAAACTTCAGTATTTAAAAGAAATAAATAAACGAGCAACTAAAAACATGGAGAAGATGCTAAAATGCAGGATATAATGCAGCATAAAATACGTACATTAATAAACCAGTCAGCAATCAAAGTATTTTTACAAGTCTTGGAAGAATCAATAGGTTTTTATCTGACAATGAAACAAAGAAGGCACTGCCACATAGCTCTGGTGAGAGCCTTTCACAATTTGGAGGGCACTATACAAAAGTACCCACAATATCTCAATGTGTAGGGTAGGGGTACTTTGATCAGAGCCCTGGCTGACTATGTCAAGACACAGGCAGGAACATTAAGTAAGTTCCACCACAGATGGAAAGTCTTCCTGATCACCTGAATGTTCCACAATTGGCCTCGGTAACTACACCAGCCTGAAACAATTAATTTACCTCTTAGTGGTTTCAAAAGACAAAGAAAGAACCTCAGGGCAAACAGTGGAATATTGCTCTCCCTAACCTGCCACTGGAAGCTCCCATGGCTTGGGAAGTGGTAGTTCACCCACCATCTCATTCTCTCACACCTACACAGGATTACTTTGCCCCTGGTTTTTAGCTATGATCATTTAAAAATACTCCTGCAATATTTACTTTGTAATCTCCTTTATAGTACTTCAAACAGCTTTTAATAAAATAGGTTAGAAATGCATTCTCATATTCAAAGTTTTTTATCTCTTTAAGTGCAACATCTGAATATGAATAACTAGACAGATTTCTCTGTAATTGCTGTGCTTGTGATATTCTTTCATCCAGCTTGAGCCACAGGACCAAAGAAAACACTATTCTTGACATCAGATGGTTCTGTCATCTGCAGTCTATTGTTTATATTGTATGGCACGTATTTTGGAAACATGTAACATGAACAATATTTCCATGCGTAAGAATTAACTCTGTCTCTGGCATAGGTAAATATTAAGAGTTGTAGTCAATTAAATCCTATTTGCTGTTTAAATCTCTCTAGATCCTTCAACCATGAGAGATGCTTTTGTTTGCTTTGCTGTCTAGGCAACTTCTAAGCCTTTGCCAACAATCCATAACAACATTAACACTTAGGAGTCTTTATTTACAGCATTTACAATGTTACATTGCCAGATGTAGGCTAAATTGGCTGAAATGCAAGAGCGTGGTTATTACTCCATCTTATAGCATAAATCCGCAGCTAGCCTTATTTAAGTAGCAGTGACTTTTACAGCTCAAAGGTGATTCACAAGAATGAATCACATTAATCAATGTGATTAATGAATCACATTAATCACAACTATAGAGGCAGCAATTAATAATTAGTTAAGGGTTGGGTGAAAGGGACTACCCAATAATAATATTAAATACATCTGAAAAAATGTTTAAACAAGACCTCTGGATGTGAAATTAGGAGGAACTACAATGTTCAGATTTATTTCTTTGAAAGTGCTTAATTCTTTTAACACAGATCCAATTCCTTTATCTAATGTGTATTCAGTACTTAGGCAAAAGCCTGCACCAATTCCAGGAAGAGCTTTGGTTATTCACATGGGTTGCTGAATACCTCACAACTTATACCCTTGTGGAACTTTCACATTCATTATGATGCCCCATTTTCAGGAGCAACTCAGGATGGCATGGCCTGCATGGCAGCTGTGAGCCTGTTTTATAGATGTAGCCCAATGCACTGTGCAGGGCCTGTGCTACATGGGATGTTCTGTTACTATCTGAATGATGCTTATTTGTGGGTAGGTGAAGCTCCTTTGCTCCTGTGCACATGGTCACACTGCTCCCTGGCCAGGATTGGCTGTTGGTGGTATCTTCCCATGGGGTGGGGAAGATATACCATTAACATAGTATATCCCCAAAGTCTTATAGATTGCAAATATTTCTTAGGGATTTTCCTGACATGTCATCTCATCTAGCCCTGGCTGATCTCTAGTATAGGGAGATGACCGCGGCTGCTGAATCAAATGCTCCTAAAGGTCCTCCCCTCTCTCTCTTTGAGGAGCTGGGAACAATGAAATGCAAGAGAGAGAGAGAGAGAGAGAGAGAGAGAGAGAGAGAGAGAGAGGGAGGGAGGGAGGGAGGGAGGGAGGGAGGGAGGGAGGGAGACTAAAGTGCAAATGGTGAAAGAGGAATCCAACTGATCACAGGCTAGAGCCCATTTTAGAACACTGTAGTGGTGATAATAATGATGATCACTGCAGTGGTGATGACAGCAAAGAAACCTTACTTCTCTGCACTGATGTGCTTGCTTCGTGCCATCCAGTAATATTCCTCTGGATGGAGTAATGCCTTCCACAATGGACACAGGACAGCATTTTTCTTTAGGGGTCAAATTTCCTCAGGGGTAATCAGACAGAGGTCTCATACTAGCAGTGGGTAAAGTCTAAGTGGGAAGACCCCCTTATTTCCCTCTGCCCTCCTTTTTTCTCTCCCCTGCTCTTTCTGACACATCTTCCCTCCTTCCTCCGCTTTCTCACCCCACTAGCTTCTGGAAGAGCAGATGACAGCTCCTGCTAGCTGTCTGCACTGACTCGCCACAGAAAGCCTCTGAAATTTGCTCAAATCAGGCTCAGGGGGTCACAGTGTGTTCCACAGTCTGCCAAGGCAGGGAAATGATAGAACCCTCAGTGGCCCACTGTGACAATTTCATTTATTACCTTTCTATACCAGCCCATAGTCAAAGTTCTCTGGCCAGTTTACAATGATTAAAACCTTCAGAATACATGATAAATGACCCAAGCTACAAAGATAAAATATATATATAACATACCAAGAGACCCATGTCTAAAAACTATTTTAAGCAAAAAAAGAAACAAAAGCCTATTGAAAACCTCAGCATAGGCTGCCAAATACCTGAGAGAAGAAAATCTTACACTGGCGCCAAAAAGAGTAATTTTGGTGCCAGGCGGGCCTCACTGAATAATGATTTCATAATTAGGGGATCCCTACTGAGAAGGCCCTCTCCCTTGTGACCACTTTCGAAGCCTCCCTTGGAGGTGGCAGCTGAAGGAGGACATTATATGATGAATGAAGTGGTGGTACAGAAGCTCCATCAGATATTGCAGTCCTGAGCTCTGTCAAGACCAGCACCATGAGTCATGCCTAGAAGCATTTTGTTGATTTAAAAAACATTCACATCTATTTTGATTTGGACTCCACTTTTGAAACAAGGTCAAAGAACTTGTGAACTGTGCAGAGGGCTTTGACTATTAGGCAGTATGAAGATGTGATAAATAAAAATGGAGGATGTTGTAGTGTTGCCTGATCAAATTCTCATGGATACTTTTCAGACTGTTTATCTGAAAGACATTGGACTGCATGAAGAAGTGAGACAACCACATGCATGATTGACCTTTGCTGATCTTAACTGCTTAAAGCAGCAAGATCAGATGTATCAAAAGGAATTCTTGGAATGTGGTACCATGTAGTGGTCAGATTTTGGACTGGGATCTAGCAGATCCAGGTTCTAGTTCCCACTGAGTCACAAAGTAAACTGGGTGACTTTCAGCCAGCACTGACTCTCTCCATAAACTACCTCACTGCCTTGAGTTCCTTGGAGTTAAAAAGGGGCTATAAATATAATAAATGAATAAATGAAGGATCTTGGAGGCTGTCGAAGTCTCCTGTAGCAAATAAGTGGCTTCCAAAACTTTCACCAGATGCTCAGATGGCAGTGCCTGCTGGGAGTGCTGCTTATTAGCTTCTGATGATATGCAGCTGCAACCTTACCTGGAGAAGGCGGATTTAGCTTTAGTCATCCATATTTCAATTACAACTTGACAGGTTTGCTGTAAAGCATTGTACACAAGACTGCCTTTGGAGACAGTATGAAAGATTTGATTGGTCTCAGATGCATTGATTGTATCTTATTAAAGCTTTTAGAAATGGTTGTATTTGCATATTTCTAAATTATCAAAATCAATGTTCCTTTAAAAAAAAATATCGGTGCTGTACAGTGGGAATGTCTGTTACCCTCCAAACTTGCAGAATTATAGGCAACTTATGGAGGGCGCAGAGTCAAAAGTTGCCTCCTCGTCATTCCTTCAACTCAGCAAAGCAGTGAGACAGACAATTTGGGCCATTTACCTGTGCGCTTTGGAGGAGGAGGAAAGGAGGCTGAATCACTACCATGATACATTGCATCTTGGTGGTGCAAGTCCATCCTTTCTTGCCCCCTGGAACACTCCTTTCTGCACCCACTATGAGACGAGAGTGTGCCAAGTGTGGAGTCCTGACAGTGATGTTGCAGCTGTTTTTTGGTGTTGGAGTTGGGTCCTATGACCCTCAATACACTGTCTAGGGGCCATACGTTTGCTCAGTTAGTATGGTTTTATGCTTAAATTGTATTCTTTTAGTCAAAGAGCATAAAATATAATGATAATAATAATAATGACAATAGCAACAAATGATGATGATGATGTTGAGGTATAGATATTTGCATCTGAACGGTGATCTTGTGGTACTGTTATATATACAACAATATCTTTGTCTAATCAAACAAGTCAAACCATCTTTTATTGCTAATTGCAATCCCACATTTAAAGCATGCTAAATGTTTGGTACATCAGATTACACCATCAAAGTCAGTACCATGGTGGTTAACCTGGCCTGAAGCCATTTACACCATTCAAACCATTGGATTTTAGTCCTGTCACTTTGAATCGGGCCTGGACTTCAACCAGCAGCCAGTGTACTTAGAAGAGGGCTGGCATTGTGTGTTTTCATGAGCCAGTCCCCAGTAACACACTTGCTGCCCTGTTTTGGATCAGTTGACCAAAGGGCATTTTCAAAGTCATTCCCATACATAGTTATTTTTATAACTGTATACACAGTTATAGTCCCATATATAGTTACATAATTTCAGATATACAAGTCTGAATGTTCCTTCACTTTAAAAATTACTGTATAAGTTTTATAAGCATTTTATTAAGATTTTGAGATTTGAATCATCTCTATGATTGACTGCAACTTATGTGTCTATGTTATATATTGTGTGGTTCTGGGCCAAACAAGGATAGGATACGCATCCACAATAAACTCTCTCAATGTCTTTTAGGGGTGGTGTTTATCCATGCAGAGTCTGAAAATTTGCTCTCAAAGAAATAAAGGCACGCTCATAATTTGGTAAGCTATCCTTTCAAAATACAAATTTATGTCTTACACTTCTACTGTCCATGATATATGCCATCTTTAAGTCCACACAATTCACTGTCCTATGCCATAAAACATCAGAATGTCACGTTTACCTTTTCTACCTGGGCTGCCTGGTAATCCAGGCATACCTGGAGGTCCCAGAAGTCCATGGTCCCCTTGTACACCTGGAGCTCCTGGAAAGCCTGCCACTCCCTGAGCACCTACAGATGGAAGAGACACTTCCCATAATTAAACAGCAATTCCTACTCCTTGTCTAAGATGTTGTATGTCTCCATTTGCTTTTTTATTTCAAAACATAGTACAGGGGAGTACCTAGAAATTACGGAAAACTAAGACTGTGTCCATGCTGGACTGACTTTTGACCTGCCAGACATCAGTTTGCAAATGGTAGCAGCAGCATATCAAAGCTCAATCCAGGATGAACTCTTGGCATGCCTTCTTTGCCATATGTTGCTGATGTGATGTAGTAGAAGCTGATTAGTTGTCACATCTTAAAATGGTTCTTTGAATAAGGCCCCTCATGGCCTTCAAATTTCTTATTGTTTCATTGCTCCATTATTAATTGCCCTTCCTTCACTGACATCAAGCATTATTACCTGTAATAGCTTGTTTTATTTAATAGTACTTCAATGTTCCTTTCTTTAGTTGTACCTCACCTGGGAAGCCAGGTGTTCCTGGATATCCGGGTAATCCTTTCAGTCCCTGTCTTCCTGGTCCCCCTTGGACTCCTGGCATACCTTGGTCTCCTGGTAATCCATCAACTCCTTAAATAAGAAAGCATATTTTATTGAAAAGATGTGCAGCAGTGCACATTTCTATAGTGGCAAGTTCTATTCATACACGTTATTTAGCAAAGAATTTTTCATTTTCAGAAACATTTCAGCCTAGTATTTCAAGAAGCATTGTTCTGTGTGAGAAGCAGAGCTCTGGGTAACAGTCCCCTCAATGCCTATGCTACATTGCAGTATCAGCTCATGGGAGAATACAGCTTGAGTAATAATAGGCATGCATGTGGGCAGCAACAAAGTAAGCATAACTGAATATCCACAGCAGAAACAGTGCCAGGTTTAAGATGAGTCCTGCTATCCTGCATCATTGTTATCTGCCCAGCCCCATGCCCATACTGTGTAGCAAGAGTGGGCAGCAGTGATGGGGACAAATGGCTATACTAAAAAAGCTGCACATTACTCCTCAGGCCCACCTATACTGGGATGTGAAGATCTGAGCTGGATGGACACGGCCACTGCAGTCTTCAATTTCCCACAATATGCCTGGGCCCTAAAGTAGTATCAGAGATGGATACTACATTGGAATGCGTCCCTCTAACATGACCTCCTTGGGAAGTTCCTCTTAGGAGGAAGAACTTGCAACTCCAGAGCCAGACATCCTCATGGAACAGCTTGCCTCAGAGAACATGGTCTTGGTTCCTCAGGGATGGTGACTTCAGATCTGCATCCACAAGAAGCTCAAATTTCTTAAGCAGAAAGGGATGCTCATAGCCATCTAGCCCCTGAGTCATCCTCTCAAGAGTCAGGCTAGTGGGGGGGGGGGTCCTTTAAAAAGAAATGCTTGGCATTTAGGAAGTCTCCTCATGAGCGTGTAACATGATGAAACAGAGCCCTGAGTGAGTGAAAAATATGCTAAAAATGAACAAAGGCATTTTATTTAACTAACACATCTTTGTTGAGAAAACTGAAAGTATTATCACCTGGCAATCCTAGATCTCCTGAAGGACCTTTCTTACCAGGCTGGATTTGGTTAATGGCTGGGTCACCTCTGCTACCTGCAAACATTCAAAGTGGAGATTGCTTTTGTGAGGAAGAACTGCCCCTACTGGATTTGTCAACACCAACATCCACACTTGTTCTGCATCTGCAACCATTTGAAGTTTCTAACAGCTTCATTGGCTGTAATCTTGAAGTCATTTAAAATATATTAGGTCCTTTAAAAGATAACTTTTTAGTCAGAAGAGTAAGTTTCTGACTATCTGCAACCAAAAGACTGTTAAAACAGCTATCCATGTTTGTTGGATGGAATGATCAGAATGAAGAAAGGCAAGTGAGCTGTTAGTCATCCCTATGAACACCATTTACAAATTTGGATTCCTGTTTCAATTTAATTATTTAATTTTGCAAAAGAACACTCTCCTGCATAGATTCAATTTCTATGCATAGGATTGTGCTGTTAATCTAATCGCAATCTGCTTTAATCATAAAAACTTTCAATAACATTTCCTGATGTTTTATAATATTTCTCCTTAATTATGTACATCATCTAAACTTGGCTGTCTCATTATACATTTATTTTTCTAATGCATACACATAAACCTGAATAATTCTTATGAATTTGTTCAATGTATTGCCATTTTATCATTACCTTTAGATCCTTTTGCACCATTTAGTCCTGGGTTTCCTGGAATCCCTGATAATCCTTGTTCACCCTAATTAAAAGAAAATATGTGACCATTATTATACATCAAATTTATGCATAATCCTTCTCATTTTAGGAATTTTTATATGGAATGATCTCCCCACTGAGATCAGGAAGGATTCCAGTGTGGAGAGTTTCCATTAAAAACTTTAAGCTCAGTTGTTTATCCATGCTTCCCTACCTGCTAGCTTTGCAAACTATAGCTGATTATTTTATTATATTTTATTGCTGTATTGCCTTATTGTTTTAATGTTTGATTAAACATGCAAAGTGGAAAATGACAAGTTATCATCAGAATCTACAAGCTGATTCAAAGTAAAAATCAGCCTGTCTATCTAAGTCTACTAAACACATATTTCTTACCAATCTTTAAGACTAGATTTCCCCATAGAGTTAATTTTGCATATGAGAATAAGTCAAATTGCAATCAACATGTCAACGTGCACCACACCTCTCTAGATGCCATAACTCTAGAAAGCAGTTCTAGAACTCTAGAATCTGTTTTAGTATAGTGAGAAGCCAATGCAATCCATCTGGGTAGAGGAATCAAACCTGAAGATTCCAAACTGACCAGGAAGAGGAGTCTGGTCAAAGTAGAAAAGACAAGAATCAGATAAACCTGATGATATAATGAATGTGTGGGAAGCCAAATCTAATCTACAATCAAAAGTTTCATCCTTTTCAAGCATATTCATGACAGAATGAATTCTCTTTAAAATGTGTGGAAAAAAACATTAAGCATCTGAAAATACTTGCCAAGTATGAATGAAAGATTGCCATGTAAAACCTAAACAATCTGAGATATTACATTCATTTTAGGTATATTTATTCTACCTAATGATAAGGATACCCTTCTACCAATGTCCCATGAAATCTCCTTAATCAACAAACTCATAGTTAAAGATTTAGGATATATCTCAAGGGAAAAGTATTCCCATTATGTAATAACCTCAAGAAAGTCTAATATGCCAGACAGTTAATACTCAATGGGGCATATTTTCTCTAATAAATATCAGTTCAGATTTTTAGTTAACAGAATAGCCAGGTAAATATCTAGAATTATCATCAACATCAAAGCTGGGACAGGTGACAGGAGTTCCAAAATATAGAAAAGGTAGAGTTGTTTTGTCTGATTTCTTCTTCTCTCTCTTGATATGCAACCTGTGTTTTGAATCCCTGCCACTTGCTTTTGCCTTGGTTCTAATATTCATGGATTTAGAATATAGAATATAAACTTATATTTTTGCCGACAATTTTCTAGCATTTATTCAAATGAGATAAAATTTACAGCATTTGTGTCTCCAAACCTCTCCCAGTTTTAAAACTAAAAGACATTTGTGTTTTACAAGTCAAATCATAATCTTTGATAATGCAAAATGGTTTGCATGTAAAGAGCAACAATATAAACATAGTATTTAGAAATGACTTTAACTATTCCTAACCAGCTGCTCCCTCTTTCTGATCCTTCCTATAGAAACTATTGTTCCAGATTACTTGAACAGAGAGGGCCTACCTCAAAATGCCATGTTGCCAGGAGCAGAGCAAATGCTCCGGCCACCTTCAGCCATTTCACTGGGGCTTGCTCCTATTGTGCATAATGCTTCAGGCTAAATAACTTTACAGTTTGCTGCCCTTGTAAGGCACCCATCACATTTTGAATGAAGCAGCTTACTTACACTGCCAAAACATAGGGCTAACACTGTGGGACAGGTATTCCAGTATACAAACTACAGTTAAAATAGATGGTCCAAAACAGCACAGTAAGGCTGTTTTGAACAGAAGAGTGCACTAAGGTTAAATTGGAATCTAAAAATAAGTATAACTGTTAGCAAAACATAAGACTTTCAAGCCCGGTATTTTCAGCATACCTGGTCACCTTGTTGTCCTTGAAAACCTGTTATTCCTCTCAAACCTGGAGGCCCTGGGAAGCCCGGTAGCCCTGGAAAACCAACCTGCCCCACATCACCTGGTTCACCTTTTCGCATTCCTGGAAGGGCACTTCTTCCTGGTAATCCTGGGATTCCTCTGAATCCAGGGCTGCCCTTATCACCTAAAATCATTTCAAAGGCTTTTTATATATTGCTACATTTTTAAAGTACAATCTTTAAACAAACAGATGCAACTTTCCTTGAAACAAACAATATCAGAAAAGCTACAAAAGCTGAAATCAAAAGGAAACTGTGAGGATATTGTGCAGCAAAAATGTTTTGTTTCATGGCATGCAATGACAGCTTGAATAAAATAAAATATGCAGTCATGACTCACAAGGGCTTAAGTATTTTTTGTTTAGTTGAACTTTCAAGCAGGGTTTTTGTTGAAGTGCACTGGTACTGAAGTCATGCTGAAGTCTGTTCAGTAGCTAATGTGTATTAAATTTTGTAATACTCTGTATTTATATTGACCTCACTGAATACCAATGAGAAAAGCTGTACCAAATCTCCTGGAGTGTTGCTTATATGAAAAATGCACATACATCTCAAATAATAAAGTAATTGATTATTTAACAGTGGTTAGTAATTTACTGATCAATTCACTGCTAATTAACCAAAGTAAATGTTGGTCAGCCTTTAATTCCAGTAAACTTTTACTGGGAAAGGAATTTTAAAAACTCAGCTTAAGTTCAGAATTATCAGTAGGGACAGGAACCTGGATCTTCCAGGTCTGCAGTTCAGCACTCTAACCACATGTCACACTGACTCTCTCATTATTCACTCCTGTCTAACTTAAAAAAATAAAATCTTTGTTTACCCTGCATTCCTTGTAAGCCATTGTCACCAGCAAGGCCCGGCTCCCCTTTCTGTCCTTTCTCTGCCAACACAGTAATGCGGCCATCATCCCCTTGAGGTCCTGTTACACCTTAGAAGTACAACATATTGAATGTAAGCAGCTCATGACATCATAGCTTCAAAGTCACCCAACCAAGCCACTGGGATCCTGTCTAAAGCCTAAATCTTCACCACTTTGAACATATTTTAAATATTAGTTCGACCTTTCTAAGGATTCCTTTTAATTAGTTTCTCTTTCAGCATCCTGAAGAGAAGTGCTGATCAAAACAGCTGCAGGAGGAGTTTGCATCCCTGAATAATTCTGGGCCCCAGTGTAGTGAGGCTGCAATCGAAGGATGACTAACCACAGAGTCAATTCATCAGGCAAAATGTGGTGGCCATCTCAGGCAGCAGACAATGGAGGCAGGAGTGAGAGCATTTCCCTGAGCTCTGCCCTCTCATATCCACTCTCTCAAGTCAGGGCCCAGCAGCTGCAATACTTGCCTGTGGTTAACCTCCCAAGCTGCCAGTCTTACCTGGATGCCTTCTCCTAATATGTCACAAAGAGCACCATTTGCAAGGGGCCCTGACAACACCAACAGAGAAGCAAGCTGCCAAAGCCAAGCACACACATCCTGCTCCACTGCTGAGTTGTGGCATTTGAGATGGCAGCAAGCAGGTCTTTTCTTTATGTGTGTCAGAAGCACCACAAATATAATAAAATGGCCATAACATGAAATGAAAGCAGTAGCCTATATATAAAATGCATATGCATAAATACCCATAAGCCTGCAGTCTATGTATAAATCTGTATAAATTCCAATATGGAAAGTAAGTTCATATTAACAGATCAGATAATTTTCACCCAATATTGGGCAATATCAGGGGCACTTGGAGCAGCTAACATCAGATCCTCCATCGTGCAGGTTGACGGAAACAGGTATACTACCTGTTGAAAAACTGTTGTTAGTTGTGAAGTTGTGTCCGACCCATCGCGACCCCATGGACAACATTCCTCCAGGCCTTCCTGTCCTCCACCATCCCCCAGAATCCACTCAAGCTCACACCAGCTGCTTCAGTGACTCCATCTAGCCACCTCCTCCTCTGCCATCCCCTTCTTCTTTTGCCATCTATTGTTCCCAGCATTAGGCTCTTCTCCAGGGAGTCCTTCCTTCTCATTAGGTGGTCAAAGTATTTGAGTTTCATCTTCAGGAACTGGCCTTCTAAAGAGCAGTCAGGGTTGATCTCCTCTAGGACTGACCGGTTTGATTGCCTTGCACTCCAAGGGACTCGCAGGAGTCTCCACCAGCACCACAATTCAAAGGCCTTAATTCTTCGGCGCTCAGCCTTCCTTATGGTCCAACTTTCACAGCCATACATTGCAACTGGGAAAACCATAGCCTTGACTATACACACTTTTGTCGGCAGGGTGATGTCTCTGCTTTTTGGTATGCTATCTAGATTTGCCATAGCTTTCCTCCCCAGGAGCAAGCGTCTTTTAATTTCTTGGAGCCCAGGAAAATAAATATTAACAGCTACTAAAATCTGACTGGGAGACAGATCACACTATATGCCAATAAAATTAGTTCAGGAGGCAGTTACACATAAGTACAGGAATCACTACACATACCTTTGGAGCCCCTAACTCCATATTCTCCTGGAGGACCATGCTGACCTGTTTGTCCTTCTTCACCTTTCATACCAGGAGCTCCCATTTCTCCTTCATTTCCTGGGAGTCCTGGGAAACCTTGCATGCCTTGTAATCCTTTGCTCCCTGTAAAGAAATATTAGTGTACACTGCAATTGAATACTGATGGACTGAATTATTAGATTTATATCAAAGAGAGCGATGAACCTTAAACTGGGAATTAAAGGTCCTTTGTTTTAGTGGTCCTTCAATTTTTAGCTGTGAGAGCAAGCGAAAGCTTGACACTGGAGTTTCTAAAGCCTTAACACTAGAAAGAGAGTACACATGGTCATACTAATCATGAGTCCAAGTCCTGACTGGCCCACCTCCTGGCTTCTAAAAGTCAAAGAAATATGAAAACAGATACTGTAAGTGCTATAGAGATACATGAATTGAAATGTAATAAGGACAGTTTTGTTTACTTGAACCTATACCTTTTTGTCCTGGAAGGCCTGGTAATCCATTTTCTCCTAGAAGACCTGGATTTCCTCTTAAACCTGGACGCCCATTTGGCCCTTGTATTCCAGGAAGTCCTGGCATGCCTTTCATTCCAGCTGGACCTGGTGCACCCATATCGCCTTGTGGACCTTTGATGCCCCGTAACCCTGAGAAGGAAACATGCAGCAAACCATAGTGCCCAAATCTTTCAGAAGTCCATGCAAACTGGTGCTTTTCTGAAGACCTTCAATTTGCTCCCCTGTACTCATAATGCTTGGATATGACAGGACTGGATAAGGATATGAGACTTGTTTTGAAAGTTTGAAAAAACAGGGTTTTGTAAATAAAATGTTGCAAGTGTCCTCCCACTGATAACCTGATCTTCGCAAAACCCTTTCTGAAAGGGTTTCAGAAAGCCCTACTCTTCAGGGCTTTCTACAGTCCCAACCATATACACCAGGGGTCCTCAAACTTTTTCACCGGGGGGGGCCAGTTGAAAGGTGCCAGTGGTGCGTGCAGGCTGGTGTGGGGGCAGGGTGTGAGGGGAGACACAGGCAGGTACACACCACAAGGCAGATGAACGAGGCAGCAGCTTGCTCGCTTGGAGGTCGTTTTCTCCAAGTGATCAAACCGCTGCCTCCCTGCATGCAGGGCAAGGTGGGCAGTGGTGGGCATGCATGTGGGCGTGGCAGGTCCAAATGGGCACGGCGGGCCACATAAATGGGCATGGCAGGCCAGATCCAGCCCCTGGGCTGTAGTTTGAGGACCCATGATATACGCAGAGAGGTATCTATAACATGCTGGGCACCACTGCAGTTTTAACCAATGTACTTCTGCATGCAAGGCCAGTGCAAGGAAGCCCTTTAATTTCTTTTAAATGTAGCAATGGATTCCCATGTTATATCTGGACCTGCTGCTTGTTGTGAAGGACCACAAAGCAGAAGGCACCTCCATCCCCAAACTGCATATGCTCAGTTCCTTAAATCAGCACTAATAGGATACTAGACACCACCCTGAATTAAAAACAAATGAATACACATTTGAATTAGAAGACCCCATGAAAGTTTGTTTAGAATAAAATTCCACTGATTGCTGTTTGTGCTAAGAGTCACACCTGTGGGCAGATGACAGCTCTGGAGAACCCTGGCAGAGTCCACACATAGACTGACAATGGCCCTGGGACGCCCACACCAGGCAATTTGGAGTCACCCTTTCCCCCAATGCTTCGGAGAGGTGTAGACAACACAGTGGCCTCAAGATGTTTTGAGCTACAGCTTGTCTAATCCTCAACCATTGCCCATGCTGGCTGTGATCCAAAACCCCAGGAGAGCTCATCCTTCAGGCCCTGCCCTGGTACAAAGCTACATTGAAGACGTTATGGGAAATTTAAAATGGCAGCCCCAAGTTGCCCTCAACTTGCTGACTATAACACTGCAGTCACCACCACGACATGGTGCCAAGAACTTCTTGTTGACTCAACATGACAGGCACTATTTATTCACAGAAAACATATGGACATATTTGCTCCAGCCCCAGCACTAATAGATAAGTTTTTTAGTTATGATATGCTTACCCATCAAGCCTGGTGGTCCAAAAGAGCCTGGAGGTCCTGGTGGCCCCTGCAAAATTTTGTCACAAGCCGGTCCAGGAGAGCCAGGATCTCCCATGACACCGAAGTCACCTTTTCTTCCTCTAAGACCTTTAGCTCCTGGAAATCCTGGTATGCCAGGCTGACCTGCACGGATATTACATTGTAAGCCAAAAGCAAAAAAACCAAACGAAATGAAACAATAGCCTTTCCCAGAAATGTTTAAGAAAAAGATCCCACACAGCAGGTGCCATGTCCCTCTAGAAATATTCCATGCCACCTACAAGGCCTCTGGGTCCCCTCTGTTCCATTCCCCCATAATAATGAGCCAGTGGACACAAAATCTGTCAAAATGTTATGGTAGTCAACCATAGCAAGAAAGGAGAGAAAAGCAATCAGAGGGAAAGTGCGTGCATAGGGCGAGGCAGTGACATTGGGAAGTGTTTCCAAAATGTGGCTAGCCATAGACCTCACAACAGCCATTTTGCGGTGGCACTTGTATTACCTCACTCTGATTCCATGCCTGGAGATACCTTATTCCTTGTTCACCACATTAATTGGCATTATAGTCTTCTCTTCTTTCCTGAGTTTAAGAGGACATTTCTCACTTCCTTGTGCTCTATTGTGACACTATGACCAAATGCATCCTAGAGTGGCTTCATGTTCTGGCTTTGTACCACTTCTGCCCCCCACCCGAAATCTTTCATAATAGTGGTAATGCTATCAGCATGCTGAAATATACTGCAGAAGATCTATATAAATGCAGCTATGCCTCAAGGAATGCAGATTTGTTGATAATGTTATCTGCTGCTTTTTCTTATATGGTTCGTTCTCATTCTCGTTCTACCCCTCCCCCCCCCGGTTAAAGTTGTTGCTGTTGTTGTGGATTAGATTTTTAGCCCACCCATTAGCCAAAATGACTCTCTGGTGTTTAAAGTTGTATTTGCAGAAGTGGCTGTGCAGCCACTTTCAGGAAAGTGCCCCATCCCTATAGTGCCACCCAGTAACACTATGCACAAATAACATAATCGGCAGAGCTTTTTGTGTTGTTTGAGTTTGTGGACACCTTTGCATGTGGTCTTTTGCACCTTTCAACCACTTTTACTAGAAATAATTTATTCATTTATATTTTCATGCTGCCCCTCCCCCATGCCCAATCATAGTTCAGGGATCCAAAGCTGCTTATGGCCAGTCAATCATCAGGAACAAATCCAAAGAAATACAGAATGAATGTACATAAGTGTGCCCCATACCTTGAAGCCCAGCAAAACCTGGGTCACCTCTTATGCCTGGTAAACCTGGCAAGCCTGGAAGGCCTGTATCACCTGGGTCTCCAGGAGGACCATAACTGATGTCCCCTGCAACACCTTTTGGACCTTTAAGTCCCGGAGGGCCTGGCAACCCTGGAGCACCATCGATGCTTGGACCTCTTTCACCTCTTTCACCTGGATCACCAGTCTCACCCCTAAAACCTGTGAATAATGAAAATGAGATAACATGGAATTTCACCTGTTACTGATGTATGTGTAAATTAAGAATGTAAAAAGAGCCCTGCTGGATCAGACATCCAGTCTCCAGCTTCACACAGTGACCATCCAGATTCTTATGACAAGCCCATAGCAAAAAGTTAAAGGAATAGTTTGCCTCCATTGTTTGTCCCTGAACAATGGGATAAATGGAGAGGCAAACAGTGTATGAATGTGGAGGTTCAATTTTGCCTTCACAACTAACAGACCTATTCTCCATTAATGTGTCTAATCCCTGAGAATTTAATCTAAATAATGCAGAATATTAAGAACAATTTGAGTGGTTCCTAACAAAGAAGAAATTGCTAGCAAGCCTATGGACACCCTGCATTATTGTGTATTTACTAAGATCATTTCTCATAGAATCGTACAGTTGGAAGTGGCCCAGCAGGCCATTGGGTCCAACTGCTTTCTCAATGCAGGACTCAAGTCACCCATCCTGATTTCAACCCGGCCTGACTCTACTTAGCTTCCAAGGTTAGGCAAGATCAGACACTTCAGGCTATACGGAAGCTAAACAGGACAACTCCTCCACCCAAATAAATTAAATAAATTTGAATTACAAAATTGGTCAAAGTTCTGTGAATCTATATTCAAATTATACATTGAAAATGTAGAACATGCCAGATCTGACTTACAAATGGATTAATTTTGAGTTTTGAAAATTTTAACCAGATTTGTTGGCAGCTGAGCAGAGAACCTTATAGACAGAAAGCATGTGCTACAATTTCTCCCTAGAACTGATTTTAATTATAACTACTCTATCTGCAGACTCCTGAGAGTTCCTTGGACTGCAAAGAGATCAAACCCGTCAATCTTAAAGGAAATCAACACTGACTGCTCTTTAGAAGGCCAGATACTGAAGATGAAACTGAAATACTTTGGCCACCTAATGAGAAGGAACAACTCACTGGAGAAGTCCCTGATGCTGGGAATGATTGACGGCAAAAGGAGAAGGGAATGACAGAGGTTGAGATAGCTAGATGGAGTCCGTGGGGAAGTGGGTGTGAGCTTGGGTGAACTCTGAGGGATGGTGGAGGACAGGAGAGCCTGAAGGAATGTTGTCCATGGGGTCATGATGGACACAACTTTGTGACTAACAACAACAATTCTATCTGCAGTAAAGGTTTATGGTTTTCACAAAGTACTGTGGGAAGTAAATAATATTTGAGGGTTATATACACTGGTTCCTGTATTACAGTTCTTGAATGTCCATATTTGAGAAAAGTCCCCTACCCTCTTTTTACTTACCTTCTGGACCAGGGTTGCCAGATCTTCCCGGTCTGCCTTGTTGACCTTTGGGGCCATCAAAACCATTGGGACCACATTGCCCAGGTTCACCTTGTACTCCTTTTGGACCTGAATAGAAAGACAGAATACAGACTTATTTTATTTATTTATTTATTTATTTATTTATTAAAACATTTTTATGCCGCCCCATTCGCCAAAGCCTCGGGGCGGCTTACAACCATAAATTAAAAGTAATTATAATATAAATTACAATAAATATAAACATTAAATTAAAAATACAAAAATACAATATAAAATAAGCCGCCCTGGCCAGATAACATCTAGTAATACTAACAGTTAAAATGCCGCTTGAATAAAAAGGTCTTCGCCTGGCGCCGAAAAACAAATAACGGCGCCAGGCGGACCTCTCTGGGGAGCGTGTTCCATAACTTAGGCGCCACCGCAGAGAAAGCCCTCCTCCGAGTACCCAACCTCCTAATTTCTTTCACGGAGGGTTCCCGGAGAAGGGCCTCTTTCGCTGATCTCAGGGGGCGGCCGGGCATGTAAGCGCTCCTTCAGGTAACCAGGTAACCACTTGTGCATGATTTGGTACAGAATACTTATTTGTCTATAGAATAAATAAAAAAATTAGAAGGATCTATTTTAAAAATACACAGGTTGCATTAAGAAGTATTTGTGTGGATGCTGCTAATTCAATTCATCTTGTGACTAATTTCTTCAATTAGCTACCTTGTCACTTTGTCTGCACTTGTGGCAAGTAGATTTACTACACCCCCATCTACAGATCTGTGGCATTTTTTAAAAGTTAAATGACCAGAAATCTGAGCAATCCTCATTTAATGTTACAGGATTACACAATCAAATGGCATGAATCATCTTAAGTGTTAACTGCATCTGTCTCTTGCTGTGTTAAGAATTTGCAATTTTCCTGAAAAATATACATTCTGGATCCACAAAATAAGAAATGGAATGGCTGGTATAATGAACCATCCTTATGAAGCAGCAATGGGGAGCCTATGGTTTTCCAAGTGTTGATGGACTTCAGTGCCCATCAGCTTCAGCCAGTATGGGCAATGCTCTGGAATTATGGGAGCAGTAGTCCAACAAACTTTGGAGGGCCAATGGTTCCCCACCTCTGTCCTAAAGTAGCTGCAATGAAAACTCAGTAACATCTCTACACCTTCTTAGCATTTGAAAGCCATCCAAAAGTAGCAAAATTTGTAAAGGTCCTCACAACAAAATACTACTACTACTACTACGTTCATAATAAGAATTTTATGAAATCAAATATGGAGACATTTAAGTCAACCTTTGGGTGTGTGTGGAGAAAAAAATATAGCACCAAATCATAGTTTTGCTACAATATTTAGTGAAGCAGTACAGAATATATTATTTTGGTACAGCAACGTCAAAATGCTTCTGAAACTCTGGTTTAAAACAAAATTTAGTTGTTGTTTTAAATTCTCTTGTTATGATACCACAAGACTTGATTCCCACTGACACAGCCTTATAAAGTGACACAATTTAATTTTTCACTATTGGTGCAAATTAGAACATAGAATGTCAGGGAGTGATCTAGTTCAGCTTGAAATTCTTGGCTATTGTTGAGGATGATCTTGCCTTTGCCTCATTGTTCTAATATTGAGACTTCTTACCCCATACTTTATAAGTTTTGATTACAGTGGTCTGATTTACTTCTATATAATTTGAAGTCTGCTGCTTCTTTGCAAGGAATAAAACTTCACTTCTGTAGTTGTACCTGCTATGCCTTTTAAACCAGGTTCACCTGGATGCCCAGGATATCCTGTTGCATATGGACTAATGCCACCTAGAAGCAAAAAAGAAATGCAATTTCTAATATTTATGTGATTCTCCTAAGCAATTGACTCATCAGAAGTTCTATTAACTGACTGAAAACTAGTTGTAAACTTTCAGTGCCCTGTAATCATGACAGCAAAAAGATTTTTTTCTTGCAATTGTCCCAAAGAAAAATTAAGACTGCAATCCTAGGCACACATATTTGGGAGTATGTCCCTACTACAGATGGCTTGGAAAGGCCCCTTTAGCTAGACCATTTTACCAGGGTTCAAGGAAAGGATATCTACCTTTCTCAATCAGTTGTCTCTGTCAAAGCTTAAAGGCCAGGCCATTTGAATGACAGCATTGCAATTCAGATGCTCTGACTGAAGTCATAAAAGGTCAAGTGTCTTTTCTTAGCAAATCTATTGACTAGCAAATTGCTCAGGTGCCTAAAAATGAAGAAACTTCTAATTTCACATCAAAGCAAGGGATGAGAGATTACTGGATAGTCAGCAGTCAACAAGATATTCTTCTGGAATCTCCACCCAGGCAAGGAGATATATTCCACTGGGAAAGGAAGTTGGGGGTCTTTATCTCTAGCAGCACTAAGGGCAACTCTCCCAGGAAGTGGAAGAGCTTGAGGCAAGCATCCAAGGAGATTTCACCAAGGTTTTCCTCCAGTACAAGTGCTAGAGGTAGTTTTCCTCAAAATCGGGGGAAGACCTGACACAGGTACCAGGAGAACTTCTCCACCAAGACCATGGGTGCTCAAAGAACTAGGTAGACAGCTTAGCACAGGCAGTGCTAGGTAGACTGGATTTTCTGTTGTTGTTTGCCATTGAAGTCCCCCTTAGTGCTTTGAATCTGACAACACTTTTTCCTATTATTTATTTTTCATTAATCCCGTTACCCTGTTTTACTAAAACCCAGACTGTGTACTTTGGGGGTACAAAGTGGGAGGCTCACAAAGATGTTTTCCATATTATCACTCATACTGATGCTGAGTTGACAACCATATTACACAGAATGATCTGAGTAAAGCCTGTAACCTAACTGTGGTCCCCTAAAGGGTTTGCAAAGAAGCCCACATAAGACCCCAGTAGGATCCTTGGCCAGTTGTTCCCAAGGAGTCGAGTATGCTTGGGGACCAAGTTTATTTTACTTTCAGCAGTGGCAGTTGACGTGCTGCCCTAAGCCTTGCTCTTGAAAGGGTGCTTATGGGTGCCAGGTCACCACCCGCTGAATGGTCACACTGGTAAACACAGAGTAAACCTGCATATAATGTAGAGACGTTTTATTCTCACTAGGGCACTGTACAGAATACACCACCTCAATGAGCCATGTTTCTTTGACTGTTTTCCGTGTTAGCGACATTACCTTTCTGACCCTTTGGGCCAGGTGGTCCTCTCATACCAGGGTTTCCAGGATTTCCTGGTAGACCCTGGACACCTTGAGGGCCCTGAATTCCAAAACCTGGTGGTCCCATGGGCCCTCTTGAACCAGGAAGTCCAGGTGGCCCAGAGAATCCTTTATCACCTGGAATACCTCTTCCATCATCACCCTGCCAATAATTAATACAAATATAGGAAGTGATCAATAATTAAGCAGCACTGCATTCAAACAGATTCCAAGTCCTATCTAGATGCAGTCAACTCTCATGGAAATGCAGCCCTTGGGGAAACAACAGTTTTCCAGCTGATTCAGAGCACTGTTGCATTTGTGATAGTCCAGTGATGCAGGATAACTTCAACAATGACAAACTCAAAATAGTTCCTGTATCAGACTCAGCTCCGGAGGGAGGGAAAGAAGGCGATGTCAAGGCCTAAACAAGGCAACCCTTCATATGGATCACACCAGCAGGATCCAGTGGCGCTCAGACAACTGTGCAATCACAATAGATCAGAAAGTTTCTACTGTGGCTGGCGGTCACTTTTAACTGATACATGCCTATTGTTGTTAAAGGGCTTTTTTTCATCTAGTGGCTCTCTCTCTACTTTTTTTTCTTTTGTGGGCAAATTTGAGTGGTGGTGGTACAACATCCTCAATTTCTGCCTACAATTCCTTGGATTGCCTACAGGACAGAATCCTGACATTATAAGGAACTCAGCCCTATCCTAGCAGCTTCTTCTTAGTTCCTACAGATAAAAAAGGAATTTGGTCCACAGGCTGTTTAATATCACATGATATTTAATATCTATATGAAGTTACTGGGTCACATGCGAATGTGAACTGAGGTGCCATCAATATGGGGATGACCCCCAAGCTCTACCTCTCCATTTAATCAAGTAGATGGAAGGTAGTGCTAATGTGGAAGGCCTGAGTAGGGTAATGGACTGGATGAATACCAACAAACTAAACCTGAATTGAGACAAGATGAGTACTATAACAGGAGCTTCATCTGCTTTGTAAGTGGTGATCAAACTGTCCTTGAGAATGTTGCATGTCTCCTAAAAGATAAGGCATGCAGCTTGGAGGTTCTCCTGGATTTATTGTGGTTACCTGGATTCTGTGGCCCCTACGCAGCCTCTAGTGTATCGCTGGGTTGTTTGGCTTCCCAGCACCAAGGTCAGAAAATCACTTCTACCTCAGCACTGAGGATCTGTGTGCACAGTGCCCTTCTCCATCCTCACAGCAAGCATGAAAAGAAATGTGCTAACTGCCTCTTTGAAGGCAGAACCTCAGAAAAGGGGTTTAGGGGCTGGGGAAGAAACAAGATGGGTGCTACCAAGGTACAACATAGTCTCTCTTCCATAGTTTGATGGCTGAAATGAACCATGAGCTTGCCTGAAGAGCAGCAGAAGCATTGCCTAGGATGCCCACAATCCTCTATGTTCTCTGAGTATTATGAGTATCCCTGTAGGACTGTGTCCTTAAAGACCAAAACCATCCCTTTGAACAGTGTCAGTTATAGGTGAGCAAGCAAATTGGTCAGTGTGCTGGAAATCAAACTGAAGCTGAAGCCCGTTTTTTTTTTTTTTTGCTCTTTTCCAATCCTTTACAAACTAGAATATTTTTCTTCTTCCAGCAGTTCTTCCTGCTGAACTTCCAAATATGCACAAATGTACTCAAGATGAAACAGTTGTTCAGCTACTAGTTTGCTTCTTCATTTCTAGAAAATAAATGAGAATTTGATTTATAATGAAAGACAAAGAAGATGGTCAGACATACTTGAACCCCCTTTTCACCAGGCAATCCTGGGGCTCCATTCTTGCCAGGAATGCCATTTTTTCCAGGAAATCCAGGCTCTCCTTGGGCACCTCTTTGTCCTTTTATTCCTTTTAAAATAATGAAAAGATTACACTCCATATCTGAAGAATATATTTGCATGCTTTCTGTATGTGGCTTCTGGAATGCTTCAAATAAGACCATAAAGTTGGCTAAACTGATAATAGGGCTATATTGTGTTATATTTACAAAGGGCTATATTACAGTACCTAACATTTTATTTGTTTGTTTGTTTGTTTGTTTATGGATATTTCTAGCCTGCCCAATCACTTTTGTCTCTGGATGACTCACAGCAAAACATGTGGATAATAGACATATTTCTCACTAATAACTGTTCAAATATCATTTTTGAATGGCAAACATTTTATATTTGTACAAGATAATTATATGCAAGAACTATGAAATGTCTGTGCAATGATACCCTAGCAATGAGAAGAATGAGTACATGGCAACATTTTAAACCTATGGATGCTCTTATAATGAACTAAGATGAGAAGCAGAACAATGGAAAGATCTAGAGACATTTGTCAAAACAGAAGCAAATATCTTTGGACAGCAAGGGCAGTGAAAGGTTTAGACTTAGTAGTGTCTGGTTGCAGAGAGAGAAGTGTCTCTGCATGGGTAGAATGGAAAACACTCCAGTGCCTGGACCATGGTTTAGCTAGTGAATGAATGAATGAGATAATTTGTATGTTAGAAAAATTCTGTGATTCCGGCTTTCAACTCCCTGCCCCCCGTCCCCCGCCCACCACCACCACCACCACCACCACCACCATCATGCTGCCTAAAGCAAGTTGCTTCACCTTGCAGGCAGAACTGGTCCTGCCTTATTGCTTCCTTTTGCATTGTTTATTTTTGATTCCTTCCTGCTTTCAGATAAACAAATCAAGATCAAACCATAATTTCTTGGTTAAATATATATGCAAGGTGTGGTTTAAACAAACTTTTACAGAAGCATCAAAGCCAGGGAGAGGCATAATGGTTGCAGACATACATGACAAATATTTTCAGCTTTTGGGGGGTTTTTGGGGGGGTGAGGTGGGGTTGAGCTAAGATTACATCTGAACCAGAGCTTTTCCATTAATATGCTGTATGTCCTCAACACATTTTTCCTGTTTTTCTACTACACAATCTCTAGATTCACTGTCATAAGGAGAATAGCACAACCCCACATTTAAAAACCTGTTTTCTTTCAAATTATTTAAAACAAATAACAAACTTTGCTTGTTCTACTTGCCAGACAGAGAAGAGCAACTAGATGGTGACAATGTTGTTTATAACACTAAAAAGAACTGCAAGTAGGCAAAGATAACCACACTGTAAATTTCTCATATCAAATCAAACTCCCAGACTCCCTCCTTCCCTTCCTCAGCCATACTGTCTGTCTCTTCCACTCTTATTCCCCTCCTTTTCCCAGGTTAATCCATGGGTTGTTTTGTAACAAAGCTTCCTGTTCACTGGCACAATATCATGCAAAATTTGGAAATACTAGAACAAGCAGCCCTATATATCAAGAAAAATACTGTGGTCCCATATTTACCTTTGATCTTAACTCTAGCTGAGTCACCTTTATCTCCTTTTTCTCCCATCAGCCCAAATGAGCCTGGCATTCCCTTTAAAATTAAAGACATGAAAGTTAAGTTCCAGTAGTTCATCCCTCGAACTAATAGCAGAGACTGCCTCCTAGGAAATCTGTGCTTTTCAGGCTGACAACACTAGCCATGCAGGTGATATTCTGAGTTTCCAATCCTGCCTTGCCTGCAAACGCTCATGACTTGTTCTCATGACATGCTGATCTACCACACCACATGGAAAGTAATAGTGTCACCTGATGAGATAAAACTTCAATTACGGTTGTGGTGGGGAACTATATAAGATACATTAATTTACCTCTTGGATATTAGAATGTGGTATATTGTTTGCAGTTACTCACGAGGGAGCCTGGTTGTCCCATTGCACCAGGTAAGCCTGGATTGCCTCTTCTTCCAGGTTTTCCAGGTGATCCCATCTCTCCTTTTCTTCCAGGAACACCTGGTGGACCTCGTATGCCAGGTACCCCAGAGGGACCAGGACCACATGAGCAGTCTCCTGGACTGCCTGCATTGGCACAAAGAGCAAGTTTGAGCAAGTTACATGAAGCCAATTAGAAAGTAAATGAATAGTTAACTGCATCTTTTAGATATTCACGGTTAAATCACATGACATGCCAGGTGAAGTATTTGCTTGGTAGGAGATACTTGCCTTTCTCTCCTTTTCCACCTCTTTCTCCAGGTGGTCCCCTTTGGCCTTTAGTTCCAGGTGGTCCAGAGGATCCTCTCCCATTGCAAGCCACACCTTGATGTTTTACAAATGACACAGTTTATGATATACATTTTCCATATCTGTCTCCATCCATTAAGACATCTCAATTGGCTGAGTCATGTTCTGGAATTAGCTGCATAGCTGAAGGATCAGATAACTACAATAGCTGAGGCTGACTGGTTGGTGTCCCCTCCCCCTCCTAACCTAATATACAATTTGAGGCCATCTATCCAACCATTTATTTATTTACTTATGCATTTGCATGCCATATCATAGCCCAAGGACTCCCTGGGCAGCTCACAAGAAAACAGGAACAATAACGTGTCATGACCATAACAGCATAAAATGAAAACTATTTATTTTAATAGCTATTATAATCTATTATCATTTTATAGCTATTATCATCTATTTTCCCTGCAACTTGGGAGGAACACTTAATTATGTTCATCATGCAGTTTTGCAGTATAGGTACATAATCTCTCACTACAATTTTCAAGCAAATGTTGCTGCAAATGTAGAATTAATGCATTATACTGCACTAGAGGAAGCGGGGTTTTGAAAGGATGGAATAATTAGATGCCTTTTCTCAAACTGAGCTTAAATTACCTCTCCAATTTCTCCACACTATTTGTAGGCAGAACACCTGGGAGAACTATTACACCAGGTTTTTCCACAGACAGAAGAAATCAAGTTTCTTGAGGTTGGGGGCTTACTATTAGCAGTCTCAGTCTGTTTCCCGCTCTCTCTCAGCCTCTCTCAGCCACTGCAAGTAGCAGAAGCAGTGACTGCCACTATTTTGCATCCCCTAAACTGCCTCAAACCAAGCATCATTCTGCCTTTAGATTACCATGTGTAAAATAATTGCACCACTTATATATGATCCCTGATACTCCACAGTCCAGACAATATAAATGATATCGCATCCTAGTTAAATGCAAATCCTGTTGAGAATGTTAGTGGAAACGTGATCTGCTTTTAGCAGTCCCCTTGCCAATATGCTGGAAATTATTAACAACTACTATTCTCATGCAGTCCTTTAGATATTTTGCATTTCTTACCAGGTGCTCCAGGCAAGCCCTGGCTTCCTCGTATTCCTGGTAAACCTGGCACTCCTGGAGACCCCGGCTTTCCCGCAGCTGCTTCAGAGACACCAGGGACACCGGGGTCACCATGCAAGCCTTGAGGTCCTTGTACTCCTAACGTGCCTCTAGGACCAGGGAGACCTACAGAAGAAAGGGGGAAGAGTGACTTGTGGACCTTGCAACAGGAAGTGAAATGAAACTGGAATCTTCATTGTGAGTGTAGAGGGTGACATCTGAAATGCAAGGGGTTTTTTTGTTATGTTTTATTTAATATGGTTAATTTATCCATTGTTCTCATATCAACTATTTTAAATGAACACTCTGTAAGTATCACATAGTTCAGAAATATCATAGTTCAGTATCACATAGCTCAACTAAAATCTAAACAATTTCTCTTCACTTTCTGGGTGTGTAGTGGTTAAGAGCATGGGACTGGGACTCAGACGACCTGGGTTCTAGTCCCCGCTCAGCCATGGAGCCAACTGGGTGACTTTGGGCCAGTCACACTCTCTCAGCCCAACCTACCTCACAGGGTTGTTGTGGGGATAAGATGGAGGAGGAGAATGATGTAAGCTGCCTTGAGCCCTTTGTAGGGAAAAGGCAGGATATAAATCGATAAATAAATCGATAAAAAAATTGCTCCCTAAACTGAAATGCAAATGCTACTATACATTATTTTTACCTCTGTCATCCCAACCTTAGGGGAGGAAGTAAAGGTGATAAGATGACTTTTATCCCTTAAATAACACAAGTAAATGATTTCTTACTGGCTCCATCTTCTCCTTGCCTTCCTCTCGCACCGGCAGGGCCTCTCAGCCCATCGGCTCCCACACTTCCAGCTGGGCCATAGTCGCCAGGATCCCCTTGAAACCCTATAAGAAATTATTGAAAGTGTGTGTTTTTTCTAAGTTGAATGCTTTTTTTTAATCAAATAGACACTATTTCATGCTAGTGCGACCTTTTACTCCAGTCTGCGGTGTTCCTCGTGGTCCTGGTGCACCTGGCTTTCCACTCTCTCCAGGATCTCCCTGTAAAAATGATCAGATTTCTCACAATGTGTGGTGGAAAAAGAATAAATTATGGACCAGACTAAGCAGTAGAATAGTGTATGATTGTGTTCTCTACTCTCCTATGAGAAGGTGTGGCCCCCATTCGGATTGGAACTGTGGCACTTCAAAAGACTTGTTCCCCCAAATCCCTCCCCTCACCATCCCGGGATTAAAAGTAGCAGAAAAGTCTACACTGAGTTTTACTTCCACACCATCCCCAGGAGAAATTTCACTCTGAAAGTGGGTGAGAGGAAATGTAAACTTTCTTCTCTTGAAGCACCACAGTCCTGGACAAATGTCCCATGTGTCCCAGAGAGTACAATTACTATATGTGATGATCAAAATATTTCATTTACTGTTCTGACTCTGAAATATAATGGAGACCCTTTGTGCTGCTATTAAATAGCATGTATTCAGTTTAAACTTGATATAAACCCAAACATAAAATGACTTCTCTATTTGCCAGCTGACCTTAATGCCTGCAAAGCCATATTGTCCAGGAAATCCAGCAATTCCAGGTTCACCCTAGAGAAACAACACATATAAATGGCTTAATTCGCTTTACCTTAAGCCTTGATTGACAATATTTGTGGTGTCAGACACCGACTACAGCCACTTTGTATGTGAGGTGTAGGGCTACAGCTCCCATTCCCCTAACCAGCAGGTAGTCCTATGCATCTGGAGGGCTCCAGATTGAAGAAGGCTGATGTAGATGTCCAGACAATTTTACATTTTACTAAATAAATGAATTCTTTTACTCTATCAACTGATTAATCCATGAAGATAATTTTGTTCAAGAACCTTAATCACCGGCACTGTAGTTTTAAAATATTATACCTTCCTTCCTGGAGAACCTGGAGAACCGTAAGAACCAGGACTTCCCTACAGTCAAAAGAGAGACAAAAAGCTATAATACTGGATATTTTAATACTATTTAAGAATACAGTGGCTCAGATACATTCTTCCTTTGCTTGTGTAAGATGCCACCACTTGGCTAAGTCTCCTTTCCCCCATTTATTTATTTTATTAGATTTTTTTTTTTTTTTAGTCTACCCCATTAACCACAAGGCTCCCTGGGCATGTTACACTTGTCCACTAAGCCCCATCCTGTGTTGTTTGGAAAGGACTCCTGACCTTCAGGGGGTGCAGCATTTGCTGTGGGGAGCAGGTGATAGAAGAATCTCCTTTTAAGAGCTTCTTTTCACTGAGTGTTTGAACGACTGGACTTACTAGAAGTAAATTCAAATGAAATGTGTACATCGAATGTACATATGCATAATGATCCAACTCTAGCTAAAATGGGTTGCATTTAAACCCTTTTAAAAGAATGTGACAACTAACTTTTCCCATTAGTTTCAATGGGACTTAGCCATGGCTACTGCTAGCATTATGCGTGGATCCAGTGATTCTATGGTGTAATTCAGTTCCCAGTAGTAGTTCCAATCCAATGCTGTTTAGATGCACATAAAGACTTTTTTGTGGAAAAAAACATGAGAAGAAGCTGCTCCAATTGACTTCAATGTCAAGGAAAATTTCCCATACATCATGTTAAGGGATGTAATTTAATTTAAGTGCAATTTCTGCCACAGATCTATACTAAAAATGTTCTAAAAGATTTGGTGTATCTCTAATAAAACACTGATGTTATATTCTTTAATTACTAATGACTGGGAGACAATGAAAAATAAGAGGTAATTTGAAGAACACAATTAACAAGAATTCTACTTAGAACACTCAAGATGTTTTATAACAGAAAAACTATGATAACAACAAATGAGGCAATCAGTGTCTAGTGAAAGGCTTTGCCTAAGTGAGCTACACCTAAATATTAACATTCCAAACTCAGTCACTCCAAATCTAAGGTAGTAATTCAAATTCCTAGGATATATCTGTATATGTCACACAAAAATATTCTGTACAGTCATACAAAAATATTCTTGCAACTCATATAACAAAAATAATTTGAAACATTGCCCAATTCTTTTAAATTTTATTTATTTATTAGAACATTTCTATGCCACCCCTTGCCGAAGCCTCTGCAATCAATAAGAGAATACAATAATACACTGCAATCAATAAGAGAATACAAAGAAAATGTCTTAGAAGCCCAAAAGATCCTTTATATATTCAGATTAAATTATTCCAGGATCTGTGAATTTAGAATGTACAATTATATGACACATGAGCTACAGTTCAGCTTCATGCAGAGGGCAAAGTCAAAGCATGATATTTATCTCGAACAGCATGTGCCCACACATATATATGCACCAAATATTGCACAGCCTACCTATTTTGAAACTTAAGGAAGTCAAAACTTAAGGACCATCTGCTCTCATAAAAAGTCTAAAATTCTACCTGATGTGCATAGATTATTGGGCATTGCTAAGGTAGGCTGATGTTGTTATTTCTTAAAATAATATTTGAAATAGAGCTCCAACAGATTTTTGCAGAAACTGATACAATGAAGTATATAATTTATTTATATAAATTTAATTTATACTGTTCATTTATATTATTCTATGGAAGTTTATTTATGGATGTGAGCCACCCTGAGGCTTCAGCGAATGGGGTGGCATAGAAGTCTCCTAAATTAAATAAATAAATAAAACAGAAAGTAGAGTATAATATTATGTTGATAATATGAAATATTCTAGAATGGTCAAATAGCCCTTCTGTAAGTAACATGGTAGTGGAAATTGCATTTTTAAAATTCCTTACCAACATTCCAGGAAGACCAGGAATCCCCTTTTCACCCTTTTCTCCATTTCTGAATTCTCCCTGTTATTGTGTAAAACAAATCAGTTAAATAGCAGGAGGGCAGATAGACAGATAGAAGGATGGGACCCAAGTGCTGGCTTTGCCCTTGGCATCACCCAGCTCAGCTTCTCTTGCTCCTACCATCAGAAGGTGCCCAATTGTTGAGTACAGACACCTGAAGAGGAGCTGCTATGTGTGAGCAGCTGCATAGCACATTGCTAGAATACAGATGCTCACAGTCCTTTGGATGACAAGGTTCAAGGTTCTATCTAAGGAGGGTTGGCTGAAGAAATTCAGATAGTAAGAATGAAAGATCTGGGTAGAATCCTGTTGGGAGCTTATGCCATTTCTCTCCTTGTGCTGGAAATAGAACCCAGACTTTGGGTTCCCATCTGGAAATAGAGCCCAGACTTTGTAGAATCAAGACGTAATGCTCCCAGGAGCAACCAGAACTGAGCAAAAAATGCTCATTTTGGGAATGGAGTAAGTCAGTGGAGCTCGCATAAGCTAGCACAGGTGTGAAGGGCCTCATCCAGATCAGGCCTGAAGCAGTGACATATATTTAAACTCCCCTCTCCCATCCACCAGGTTCCCTATCTAATTTAGAGGGGCCATGTTTGCTTTTTTTACTTCTTAACACACACACAATGGCTAATAGTTCCATCCAGCTTAACCCTGCTAGTCTGCAGCTGTGTTCTAGCCCAGGACTGAGTAGCCAGAGACAGGTCTAAGAGAAGCACCACTCACTGTTTTGGGCCCAGGTATTTTTCTCCATTATCTAATTCACTGGCTTCCCCTGCCCAATTACATAAACCTCCCACCCCCAAGCAGTTTCCATGTAATGAGGGAATGCACAGCTAACCAGGAAAAGCTACTTCTCAGCATGAAACTTTACTTCCCAAGTTAGTCATGGGAATGAAAAGCTAAGATGTACACTATGAAGAGCATTCATATGTAAAGGGTGTGTCACTTACTTTTCGGCCAGGCAACCCTTTGGAGCCAATTGATCCAGGAATTCCTTTTACACCCTAAATATTAAATAAGTTTACGTAAAATACTCATTTGCTTTAAAATACTTGTTTACTTAAAATACTATTTTGTGTTGTCTTCCTTTTAGAAAAATTAAAACACAAAAGGGAGGCCTATCATTAATACATTTTTTTTGCAAATTTGCATGGAATTAGCAATTGTCTAAGTGAAGGAAAATATTGTCTTAACTATGGGTGCTGTGAAAGTGATGCACAACATAGAAGGATGAATTTGCATCATCCGTTTTGCACAGCATACTGCAAGCATGCTCTACTATTCTGTCATAGCTACAGCCACCTGTAGAATTAGGTATCGAGGCCAAGATCCCAGCTACTCAAGATGAAATTAAATTTCACACTGAAATTTACTGAAACTTCAAAATAGTTTATAATGTTTCACATATGGGACATTGCTGAACAACAGAGTCATAATTTGCATACCTTTTCTCCCTTTAATAGTTGAGAACCAGGAGGTCCAACTAATAATGGCTGCCCTGGCGATCCAGGCGGTCCTATATCACCCTAAAGGCCATCGAAAGATTAAGCTGAGTGAATCACATCATGAAGTTGTTGCACAGCACAAAATACACAGTTGAAGGCATGATCCCTGCAAACTCCTCCATAAGCCACTGCTTTTTTGTGCTTCTTCACATGTAAAATATACTCAAACTAAAAAGCTATAGTTACAACTTCTCATGCAGGTTTCATGATGAGAAACACTTTTGTGTGGGAATATGAAGCTGTGGGTGTCCATGAGAAATTAATACATTAATATGTTTCTTCCTAATTTTTTAGTATTGTGGTGCATTTTCGACTGTGTTTTAATGGGTTGTTGTAAATCACCCAGAGAGCATCGGTTCTTGGGTGGTACAGAAGTTAAATAAATAAAGATATAAAAGTTCCTCAGTACAACTGAGAACCAGCTTGTAGGGACTAGGACCACTTCTCATAGAATACAGCCTTCCAAGATTGTTGTCTCAGAGTGCAAATCAGAACTGAAAGAAGAGGCAGAATTTCAATTCTTGGCTGAAATGCTACAGCCAGCAAACCCAAAGAAACACTAAGTAAGAACAAGGCTACATCTGGTTCTGTGAGAACCGCTGTTGAACAGAAGGAGTTGGGGGTCGGGCCTACCATTATTGGTCCAATTACACAGCGCCAGATCAGATGGGCAAACCAAGGGAGGAGAACTCCCACCAACTGCTGCATAAGCAGGATGAACCATCCTGAAGGTAGAGCCGACTCCATTTGGTTCGGAAGAGAAGTGAGGAATTCCTTTTGAAATCAGCTTCTCATCATTAAGCCACATTCCCCTAATGGCCAGTATTCTGATCTCACCAGTGTCTTTTATTGATGACTTCTGCAATATGCCACTTTTATATCACAGAGTCAGTGTAGCTGGCCAGCTTTAATATAATATATTATGGTCATTTTTGACCTTCCTATTGTATTTACCTTTTGTTTTCAGCCACTCAGAGAGCTTCAGCTATTAGCTGGCACAGAAATAGAATTAACAACCATGATGACTTTAGTTATAAACCTCATGTCCTGATCTGTGTGGAGGGAAGGAGGGGGAACTCTGGCTCTTGACACTGTTCTACATTCCATATGCAGAACTGTTCTAACATGTTGCCCTCCAGGTGGTATTATGGGATGTATGGGCCAACATATCTGGCGGGTAACAGGTTACACAAAGTCTGGTCTAGAAATTGTCCAAAGCTCAGGGGAACAAGAACATTTAAAAGTTACTATTTCTTACTTAACAAGAAACTTTCGGGGTGGGGGAAGTGTATTAGGGACATCCATTTTTAATTTTACATGTTCAAGTCACTAAACCCAGATGCAACTTCTTTCCTTACCGGCTCCCCTTTCTGTCCTTCCACTCCAATACCTGGGTTTCCCTAATGAAATATTAATTTTTAGAAAGGAGAAAATAAGTAAAATTAGAGATTAAAAATAAGCATTCATTGGCTAATTCTTAAAATACGTTACTGTTTAAACATTGAGGACCTTTTCAATAAAGTCAGTGCAAAATGAAAAATGAAAAGACTATTCTCAAACACAAAAGAAAATATCAGTTTGAAAAATTCTACAGACATTGCAATGAAAAACATTTTTTTACCTGTTCACCTGGTAACCCAGGTCGACCTTGAGCACCCTTTGGGAAAAACAAGAAGTTAGATATACTCAATATCATTCAAACTGAGTAAGAAACAAAACTGCACACCAGCTTTAGGGTATTTCTGTGATCTTAACATTTATCCCTAACAATGCAATTGTTCAATTACTATATATCAGAGCTGAGCAATCTCTGGGTTCTCCAGGTGTTTTGGCCTACAACTCCTATCAATTTTATGGTGAGGGTCTATGAGAGTTGTAGACCAGAATATTTGGAAGGCCACGACTGTCACACCCATTATACACAGTACTTTTCCTCTCACTGTGACCAGAGAACTCTTCTAAGAACTTAAAGAGGCTATTCCTTTTCCTCTGGCAGAGTTCAGCATCAGGGGGGCACTCAGCAAGATCTCTCTGAGACTCAAAAGCAGGGGTCCTCAAACTTTTTCAACAGGGGGCCAGTTGGAAGGTGACAGTGGTGGGCGCAGGTGGGGTGGGGGGGGCACGGCAAAGCGAGCTGGGGCAGGCAGGAGGTGAGGCGAGGAGAGGTGGACACGGGTGCGCATGGCGAGGCAGCAGTGGGCATGCGAGGCAGTGGCTTGCTTGCTCAGAGATTGTTTTCTCCAAGCGAGTGCAAAACAATCTCCGCACGAGCAAGCCGCCACCTCCCTGTGCACACGGGGAGGCGGTGGCGGGCGGAGGCGGGTGTGTGTGCAGGCGCGTGCATGGCAAGTCCAAAACCTCTGAGGTGGGCCAGACAAATGGGCATGGCGGGCCGGATCAGGCCCATGGGCCATAGTTTGAGGCCATGCTCTAAAGCAACTGAGATTTATTCAACCTGGGAGCAGAACAGTATGTATGAAGTGCCAGAGAGCCATTGCTAACTCTTGGAAAATGGCAAGCCATTCATGATTATCTCTCTGTTTTGCCAGTGACTCATGATGTATGCAAACTATGTGAACATCAGCTCAAAGATATTCTCAGATATTCTCTTAAAGTGGAAGGGAGATTGCCTACCTCAGCTCATCTTGCATAGCAGTATAGTGAAACTCTGCTTAAGTTGCTTGGTAGTCACTATTTTAGAACTACAGAGAATTCCTTCACAAGAACAGACAATGAACGTTATCTGCTTTAAACTCCACCCAAGTGCATGTGCATATGCATGAATATGTAAGAACTTGAATGGCTATTGATTCTCTCATTTCCCACTCATATCCATGCACAGCAGTCTACCCCAGTCTGGACTACAATTGTGCTCAACTACAATTCTCAGTATTTAAATGTTTGTTTGTTATGGATGATAGTAGTAGTCTAACACATCGGCAAGCATGTGTTCAGGTTGGGGAAGGCTCATGTATGGTATACAGATGATCTTGTAACAGGCTCAAGAGTCACATTTGTGATGAACTAGCTAGAAAGCTCGCCCACTGTAACACACTGACAATGGGAAGATGAGACAAATATATATATGCATTATACCTGTATGCCTGGTTGGCCTGGAAATCCAGCTGGACCTCTTGGCCCCCTCTCTCCTCTAGGGCCCTGAGAACAGATGACACAATGCTTTATGTTGTTAATAATATCTTTTTTCCATTTTTATTCATTATTTTGTTTAGGCCCAAGACATACTTTTTGGTTGGTATTTCATGCAACAGTAGAGCCACCAGTTTCTCATCCCACTAATGACAGCCTTAACCATTTGGCCTTGGCTACTTTCTGCAGGTAGCAGTCCAGGAAAACACCCACAACAGCCAGATATCTTGTTTTCATTATGATTGCAATGAAATAATGATGGATTTCTTGCTGTCATGATATTCAAGCTAACTACCTATTGATGCAATTGAATAAAAATACGATGAAAGTAGCAGAGGTTCAAGCAGCCTTCCCCATGAAATGTTCACATTCACTGCAAAAAATAAAAATAAATAAATAAATGATGAGGAGAGGGAATTGACTGAAATGAGCCTCTAATTGTTTATATCATCCTGGAGGGGAAGATTAAGGCTGCATGTATGATGTACTTATGAAATCCTCTCCCAATATCATATGGGAATGTTTCAGGCTCAGGCGAGAGGAAAGAAAAAAAGCACATCTTTTCCCTTTCCCACTTTTCAGAAATTCTCCTCCCTGATAAATCTCAATAACTGGCTTCAAACTTGAACCCTTTGCAATAGATTGCACAGTAAGAGAAAGCTGGGCATTGCTGAAGTCTCTCTCCACCCCTGAAAACTGTGACGAGAATTACAAAACTCCTGTTCCAGATTGGTTTGAGAACTAAACGAGAACAATCCTGTTACCTAAGCTAGTGATACACTGCAACATTTTATTATAGGTCTCCATATTAACGTTGTTGAAGCTTCTCAACTTCTTCCAAAATCCACTGACTCATGGATGACCCACACATTACAATTGCCATGGGAAGGCTGTTTCAGATGGCAACTGCTGTACACAGCAGAGTATCACACGTCAGCACCAGACACAGATGAAGGCTTCTGGCAATGGCCTGGGCACAAAATGGTAAGCTATTGTGCATGTTAAGTCTACTGCATAGAGGAATGACTGGCTTCAGATCAGAAGAAAAAGGGTTTTAGGGTAACTGAAGTATTTAATAGTGCAACTTTTATGATACAGAGTGTTGTCAAAAACTAAGCAAAGCACATTGATAAAAAAGCTTACAGGCATGCCACGCTGTCCAGGATTTCCTCTTTCCCCCTGTAATCATAAACTATTTGTTAGATGAAAGTTCACACACTTATTTGCTATTACTATCATTATCGCAGTATGATGAAAAAGATTGTATGCTATGAAAAGAAGCTAGTGCACTTACAGTGCCTTGCAAAAGTATTCATCCTCTGTTGACTTTTGCACATTGTTGTGTTTTAAACTGGAATTGAAATAGATTGAATTGGCACTGCTACCATTTGATATACACAAGATACTTAGCACTGTGAAAGTGCAGAATATTTTGACTGTGGTACAAAAAGGAAGTAAACAAAAAATGAACTGGCACCTGTTGTTTGCCTACATATGTTAACACACCTTTCCTGTGACATTTTTATTCATATATTTCTCTTAGTATTCATATACTGCCCCATTCCCATAGACTCTGGGCAATTTACAAGACATTAAACCAACAATGAGTAATATTGACTAATACAACATATTAAATAAAATTGACATGAGAACTAATCTGAGAAAGCCTGTCGGAGGAAATACATTTTTAATATCATCTTAAAGGTGGGAATTTGGGAAATCAGGTGCACCTCTCCTGGCAGACCATTCCACAGCTTAGAGGCAACCACTGAAAAAGTGTTCTGGGTAGTTGACATTGATCTTACAGAAGCAGACTTCAGAAGATTATCCACAGAGGACCTAAATAAAACATACCTAAATAAGTCTGTTGCGAACCACTGACTCCAGATGACGCACGGTAAGTAGTCCGAGTCTATCTGTATACAATTTCAGTGGTACATGATCTCAGATTATGTTTTGGAAGGTTCCCGAGTTTGTTGGAGATCATCGAGATAAAGTTGTGCAGAAGTACCAATCAAGCTTGAGTTATAAAAAAAATCTCAGTCTGCAGTATTAATAGTTCCCAGAGCACTGTTAAATCAATCACTACAAAATGGAAGAATGTGGCTTAGTTGTTATCTTGCCTAGAGAAGGCTGCCTGCCAAAACTCAGCGCCTGGGTAAGGAGCTCATCAGACAGTTACACACCATCCAGGCTGTAACACAACAACATATGTTACAGCAAAATGTTACAAAATGTGGAAAGTCAAAGGAAGCTGAGGCACTATATCTAAGGCTAAGGTAATCATTTATGCTGAGAATATAGAAATGAAATAATAATAATTTAATTGTATAAACACATTTTAATTACTTTATTTCATTCTATTTGCTTGTGGTTGCATTTCTCTTAATTTAAAAGCAATAAAAATGCTTGTGGTTGCATTTCTCTTCATTTAAGAGAAAAAATTCAGAGTCTACATTAAATAAAAAATGTGGTTGAACTCATGGTTCACAAAACAACCTTCCTTCTTATTTTTTTTTTCCGAGAACCAATTACACAGAGTTTATGTCTAGGCACAACAAACATCTATGTGAATTGGACATGTTATTTAGAGTGAAATCCAATCCCAATGCCAGGACTCTCTCTGATTATGGACATCTTATGCAGGGCAGAAGGAATGCAAAGACAAGGTTCACCTTCAGGTTTTCCTGTCCTGCAAAACACTTGGACAGCTGATTTTAGCCATCTATCATACCCCAGAATGTGAGGAAGGTGTCATCATGACACTTCATATCGTGTTGGTGCCTGTCTCCTCTCCTCTGCTACCCCTAAACCCTGTCTGAAGCTACCTTTGCAGCTTTGGAGATACGCAAAACATGCTGGCCACAAAGGTGTTTGAAGACCCAGCTATGAGGTCCATGTGTCTTTCCAACCTTGCAGCTGGATCTCTGAAAAATCATGTGGCTGCTAGATGTTGTCTAGACAGCCACAGAACCACACTGTTAATAACATTTATACAGTATTTAAGCATCTGTTTATTAAAGAACAACACATTGTTTGGAGATTAGTGGGTTACACTTACCAACACCCCTTTAACAGAATCAGAAATGTATATGGAATTTCCCTTTTCACCTTTTTGCCCAGGCATACCCTATAAACAGATTTTTAGAACACGAGATCAGTTACAGAATCAAACAATAATTTTACTTGTGAAATATATGCATTATTAAAGCATTCTGATTTTAGTGACCCATCAGGAGCTGGGAGCAGATTATATTACTGATCCCCAACCCCTGCAAGTGGAAAATGCCACAATAAGCCCATGTTTCACTTGACAGTGGCACCCCCCCCCCACTCAAAAATACTGGATCACTCCACCCATGTCCAGAGGTGAAGACTAAATAGAGAATATGCCCTGCCTCAGGCATTGCTACAATGACAAATTTGCACAGCCTCATGGTAGTCACAGGGGTCATGAAATCTCAGACCAGCCATCTCAGTGTGAATGATGAAGTTTCCCAGGACCAGCACCTGGCTTCCTCTAACACCACCCTCAAGACCACCTGATAGCTCTGTGAGAAAAGCAACAGACATCCCTGAGCAGACATCAGGCCAGAGGTAAAAGTAGAAGGGAGAAAAAGGCTTACTCGGGATAGGGTTAGACCTTGGCAAGCCACTGGAGGACCAGAGGTGAAAGCAGAATCAGGAGCAGGCAAGGGTCAGGTATCTGCAAAGGCACAGTGGGACCAGAAGCAAAGTCAGGAGTGGGCAAGGATCAGAAACTGCCAAAGGCATAGCAGAACCAGAGGGAGAAGCAAGTGAGAGTGAATGAATGAGAACATTGCAGAATTGAAGGCAGAAGCCAAGCTAGAAACTTCAAAATGCCACAACTAAATGTCATGTTGCTGCAGCAAAACTCAACTAGACTGGAAAGGTTCCCAGCTGGTCTACATGATTTAGTGAAATAATATTCCTTGTGAGGGAGATGATACTCTTATGAACCAGAGTGACTCCTCACTTCCCTGATCTTCTAACTTGGGTTGATACTGTACTGAATACCCACTAGGAAAAGATGAGTCAATTGCAGAGTTTCCAGAAACAAGCATTTCCACCCAGTCCTAGTTCCAAAGGTAAGAGATAAATCTCCATTGCACAAGTGGTGGGTGTCACTCGCAGAATGGAACTGGCATAGCTCGTACTTCAAGTGTAATGACACACCTGAATGCAGCCCATTGATTTTAGTGAATCTGTTCTAAGTATGACAAAATCAGTATCCAAATCCATACTTCCAAGAAGGTAATTTGACTGCTCAACTTACCAGTGAGCCTCTTGGTCCAGTTTGCCCAGTTTCTCCAGGAAACCCTGGATCTCCCCTTGAGCCATTGCACCCATCCAAGCCAGGCTTGCCTCTGAGTCCTTCTGGTCCTGGTAACCCCTACAAAGGATCCAAACGCACATTCATATTAAAATGTGAGAAGAGCTACTTAAATAAACACAAACTCCTGAGCCAGTATGGCAAAACATGCATGTTGGTTTTGCCAGTTGCTGCATATGTTTGCTAAAAATCATTCTCTACTATGATTTCAATTTATGTGTTGCAATAAGTTCAGCAGGAGGACCACCATCATAAACCTGAGAAGTCATTATATAAATATACTAGATATATAAATGCCTATACATATATCTATATATTCCTCCCAATTTTTAATCCCAAAATTAATCCATTTATCTCAATGGTATAATATTCATTCCATGATTTACAAGTCAGAATTGGTATATAATGAAAAGCTCCCTTTATCATGAAACTGATGAACTGCCAACCTCACAGACAGGAAGGAGACTTGGGAAATACTGTACTTATTTCCAAATGTGTGAAACAGAAGGACTGTTTTTGAAACAAAGTGCACACAGAGGGACATATTAAACCTAGAAGTAGTTTATTTGGATCCCGTGACTGAGATTTATTTTTTAATTTACCAGCTTGGAAGGGGAGGGCACCTTAAACTAGCAGTGTACCATAGGATTAAAAAAAAAATTCTCCCTGTTCCATTTTGCAACAGAAATTTCTTGTCCTTAAAAGTACTATTTACCCCAAGCACTGCAAATCACTACAGAAAAAAACAGAAGTTTCAAGTTTGGAGGGAACACTGCATAAGGCAAAGCGTTTAAATCTCCTCCCCCACAGTCCCAATCTGGATCAAGATTCCCCACGGCTGCTTTGACTTTCAAAATTAAAGAGGAGACTGACAATGATGTGATTAAATTTAAGACTAGCATTACTTCTGGACTGAGACAAAGATTTACTTTACAGAGTGAGCTCCAATGGGTATGGAGCCTTCACCTGCATGAATTCATTTCCCTGGAAAAGGCAGCTACCTATGTGTGCATCAGACCTACAGTCTCACACTCCACAGAAATAAAGAGGGCACACTGCAACCAGTAGAGTTCTGTGTGGCATATCAGAGCTCCTGCTGGTACACCTAGATGAGTACTTGGGGCTACAACAGGTTACAAATGGAAGGTGACTTTATCTGGACCCGCTATAAATTTCCATGAATTACATGATAAAAACCTAAATTGGAAGCATCCTCTGTCTGACTATGAATTTAAGAACACATCATCCTTTACTGTTTTCAAATTGCTTTACGATTTTATTCAGTAAAAAGAACAGAAAGGGAACTATTCATTCAGTAAAGATAGCAGTTTATGTAGGATGATATATTTATTTATTTACAATTCTCCAAACTATCCTTCATCCAAAAATGTATTCTAGGGAAATGCACCAACATATAAAAGCACAGCATTGCAGGCACCATGTTAAAAATGTACAATCAGACATCATAACAATGAAAACTATGTGGCAGTGAGTAATGAAACAATGCAATCAAGCTGGGCTAATAACATTTGACTATGTACCACAAATTGTAATGTCAATTCCAGTTGAACTTCCCTAGGATAAGCACTCCATAGAAGAGGCCCTTCTCTCTGTGCATGTATAACACACCTTGTTCACTTATGGTAGCTGGACAAGGGGCTCATTTGACCATCTTATCGCAAAGGCATAACAGCTGGCATAACATCTCTATACATCCTTAAAGATACCTGTATCAGTAGCATACTTACAGGCACCCCATCTAAACCTGAAAATCCTGGAACTCCAGTAGAACCCTGAAGAAATTAAATGTTAAAGAAAATTAAATTATGTATTAAGGTACTTAACAGTAGGTGGGAAAAGTGCTATACTTATTGTCACATCAATAAAAGAGGAGGTATATAAAACGCTCCAGTGTTTTCTTATTACTTATTCTCTGGAATCAATAGGGATGTGATATAGTAGGAGAACTCAAGTTCTGCCTGCACACAGTTCCAGTTTCAGTCCCCAGCATACTGAGATAGAAGGATTTCAGAGAGTAGGAGTAAGATCTCTGAGATTTGGGGAACTACTGTCAGTAAAAGGAGGCATTATCAGGCTAGAAGAGCAGAAGGCTCGACTCAACATAAACCAGCTTTCTATCAGTACAGTGCAGTTGTTGATTCTAAACTACATATCACAGGATGTTTGCTCCTCTTGTGCACAGGTACTCTGTCATTTCCCTTACTTCCCTTCTCAGAACTGCAAGTTATGGGACATCTCACTTTTCTCTTGAAAAGTCAAGCATGTGTTCTTCTAATATTTTTCTAGAAATATTTAATGTCTCAAGTAATAGTGTAACAGGGATTTCTAAGATATCTCTGCATAGGAAAAATTCAATTTTGTTCTTATGTTCTTATAGTGGGATTAGACACATTATCAGTAGCTTTGCTACTTCCAGTGTCAGAGGCAGCATGTCTCTGTATACCAGTTGCTGAGCAGCATGAACAGAAGGGTGCAAGTGCACTCATGTCCTACTTTGGCCACTAGATGACCATAATGATGGAGCAGATGGACCCTTGGTCCAATACAACATGGCTCTTCTTGGATTCTTATGACCACTGAGCAGATATGCATAGAACTGCCCTGTAAGCACCACTGGATTCAGAAGGACCTAGCTACAGTCCATAAGCCAATGGGACTTATTTCTGAGGAGACACATACACTGAGGAGCATATTGTCCTAAGTGGTCTAAACAGCTCTTTGATTTGATCTAGCCTGGCTCTGCTGCTGTTCCTATAACATTAAAAATTACAATAAACTACTACTTTTGAGCATGATTATTACCTACCATATTGCCTCTTTCTCCAGCTGGCCCAGGAAAACCAGTATCACCTCTCTGGCCTTTTTCTCCTGGCAAACCAGTTGGTCCTACAGGACCCAAAGTACCAATTGCACCCTGAGCCCCCACCTGGCCAGGTTGGCCCTGGAAAGAAAGAATTCAGATTTAGCCATTTGTGAAGCAGCAGCAAATACTATGGAACATTTATTCCTATGTATGATTCTAGCGTCTGCTTTTAACATACCACATTGTACTGAATATACTACACTGGGCCACTAATTCAGCCATAAAAGACCATCACACTAGATGCCTATGAAACACGTTAACTAAACAACAAGTTATGGATATACAAAGCATAGCACTGAAGCCACAGCCTCACCATATTGAAAGGTGACATATCTTAAATGCAGCCACTTGGGGGCAGCAAATAATTTCAGATTATAAACTTCTTTTACAGCAACTCTATTTACATAAGACAATGAAGTAAAGATTAGCAAATACTGACATATGCAAGCCTGTATCTCAGAGCTTTCCTGATTAGATTTCTTTTCCTGGTGACAAATGTGAATTAAAATGAGATTTGATCTAACCGTGATTGCAGGATTACAAACAGAGATGCAAAACTTGTCAGAGTCTATGGCTTGTTCACTTGCAATGAATCAGAATAAGAACTGACCATGCACAGTGCTCCTAGCTGTTTTCATTAAGAAAAATACCCCATGTTCACACAGGCATTTCAAGGATCCTCTTGTTTTTGCTCTTATCAAAACTCCCTAGTCTTTTGCCAATACTGATTATGATTAATCTATGGGTATCATTATGGAAGCCAAGGGTGTGTTTTGTATCATCTAGAGTTTTGTGTTTGGATGTGCACAAAATTGCTGAAGTGATGTTCACCTCTCTTCTCAGCAAGGACGCTCTAGGTGTGATCTTGGGTAAGTCTCAGCCCAACTGCATGGTTGCTATGAGTTGAAGGCATCACCTGAAAACACCCCTTTCCAACTGAAAGAGTAAGAATCCTTTCTGGAAGGCTGTCTCTCTTGGACTGCAACACTAAAGCATGCTTTTAAGAACCTCACCATTAGGCAACAGTTGGCCAATCAGCTGGTCTGGGATACCACAAAAGGGCTGCAAATCACTATTTAGTTTATGCATCATTGTTGTATTCTTAATGGCAGGGTGACACTTGCGGACTGTTTCTGTTCTGTCTCAGGTGCCAAAAATGGCTACCAGCCATTTGGGTGCCAAGTGATGCTCCACCCTAGGTTGCAAAATGACTTGGCAAGCCCTGGACAAAGCCTTTGTATCACATATGCAATCCAGAGAGAGACAGAGAGTTTCCAGTTCTAAAATAAAGATTATCCACCCTTTGATCAATGGTTTCCTTTGCTTGCAAGTTAAAGTGTGACCTTTTATATTTCTGTCCCACTGACCTTGATTAAAACTTCAGTAAGGCCATTAGGTGTTGGACATAATAGCTCTCTGGGGTGATAACAGGGCTTATTATGGATATAGTAGCTCTTCAGGGCTATAATGGGGCTTAGTAGTGTTTCAGAGGCCAGGTTCAGCTCATGAACTGCCATTTGCCCATCCCTAATTTAGATTGTCACCAGAAAAGGGAGAAGTAACAGAACACACTAACTAAATCCAGAATTCACAATGAGTTTGACAGTTGACTGATTAAACTTAGGCACACCATGTGAAGCCAGTGCATTGCAGGTCTTTCTTTCAGCTCAAAGACCAATTATGAGTGGAAGCTTTGTTAAGACCACGTTGATACCATCCATAATATCCATTATTTGTGCCCATCAAATGTGTCTGCTGCAATGTTCCAGTCTCAGGGCAGCTGTCAAAATAAAGGGGATGAAGGAAGCCATGCTTAATGTGGAAATGACAAATTAGTTCAGTTAAAACAGACTGAATGCTATGCCTGGCATCTGCTAGCTGATGCTAATAAATTCTACTAGCTTGCTAATTGTCTAGGTCAGGAACTCTCGCAGTGCCAGGACTTGCCAGTGTTATTTTAGCACATCCTGAACTTGACTGACTGTAGGAGGTTGATTCTCAACCAAAGAAAACAGCTTAACTTGAAAATGAGGGTGATGGTTCTTATTAAAGAAAATATGATTCCTTAAACCTATTTTTAACTACCACTGTACATCAACTAAGTGTGTACAGCTCATTTTCCATGACTGCAATTATGACAAAACTCTGTGGTTCTCATCTATTAATAGTTGTATAAATCATTTGAGTAGAAGAAGAACAGAAGAAGTAGAAGAAGCAGAAGCAGAATAGTAGAAGAAGAATCATTTCAGTTTGAGTAGAAGTCCTGGAACATAGACCACCAGGTAGATTTTATGAAAGAATACCCTTCTGCTGGAACTTCAGATTTCCTTAATTTAAGTAACAAATATTACATGAAATAGGCCACTTTTTGTTCAAAACTTGTAGTATCAGATATAAGTTATGATGGCCCTTATTTCTCCCCTAAGAAGTGTTAAGTAATCCCTTTCAGAGTCCTCATTCCACCTTCTTTACTGGATGTAGGAAGAAAGGATTAGAAACATGTTGTGCTATGACCTGGTATTCCTGGCTAGATGCCTTTCTAGCAGCTGCTGGTCATAACCATTTCATGTTGCCGCCAGGCTTTGAAATATGTGGCAAGCAGTACTTGCTCAAGAGGATTGTTAAAAGCCAGCAATATCCTCCCGAGCCCTTTTCAGCCAGAGCATTGTAAGAATCAGTAAGGCCATGACTATTTTACCTTCTTAAGTAAGGACATGTCTGCCACGGTACTTTTACACAAGATAATTGAATATCTGCCTTGCAGTGACCGGCAATACGTATCATCACTTCCGTTTGATGAAGGACTGCTAGGTTCTGCAGTCAAGCATTGAACGAGGAACCTTAGAATTTCCTGTGATGATCTGAGCTCCAATAAAAAGAAGAGGTGAGCTGCATGTTCATGAGTTCCAATTTTCATGTTAAAGCGTGCATGCTCTAGCATGGACACTCTCTTGTTAAACAGTTAGATGCCCATGTGGGTAAAAGGGGCTTTCGGTCCAGATGCCCTGAACCCCCTTCCCTTTTTTCCATGCAGCTTGTGAGAAGGAAGGGGAGTGGAGAGTCTTGCTAGGGATGCCCCACCTGATGGGGTCTTGTCCCTTCAGCAGCCCAGGAGTTCACCACAGACAGGTATGTGGTGCATAGTTGGGCCCTTCCTCATGAGGAAGTGATGTGGCATTCCATGCTGGACCCGGATGCCCAGGATGATGCTTGCTTTCATGCCACTTTCCACAGGTCCAGGGCCACCTTTGAGATCATTGCTTCTGAAATTGGGTTGACAATCTAATGGCAAGACATAGTAATTTATATTAAAATTACTATTATGAATAATTTATATTATTAAATTTTTTTGTAAGCCGTTCTGAAGCTTGTGCAAAGGACGAGGTAAAAAATGTTTTAAATAAATAAATAAATAGTAATGAAAGGTTGCCCTTGTGAAATCTTCCAGGAGATGTTGTCTGTGATTGAGGTGAGGGATCGATACACAAGAACTTGTAAGGCTTTCACAAGTCAAGGTTCCTTCTGGTGGGGAGGGATGCCGGACTCCATGCATGGGTGCATTTTGTCTTCCCACCCCAGGCCAGGGGCAAGCAGTTCTGCAATCAAAAGCATTTCTACAGTATGGTACTGCAGGTGGCAGCAGACTCCAAGGGGAGATTTTTAAGAATGTTTGTGGAGGTGACCAGGTAGAGACATGACACAGCCATCTTCTGGAATTCATTCTTAGCAGACAAACTGGAGAAGTAATGATCTTCCAAAGACCTTGTGCTAGTGAACAGTATATCCATCTGGCCCCTGATGGTGGGTTCTGTATAGCTGTCATGGTCAATGGCACCCTACCACCTCCCCACAACATCTGGGCAGAAGAACTCCAACTACCACCACAGACAAGCACTCCCTCTACACCCTCTTGGATGCAATGGTGGCATGCTGCACTGATCCTTTGCCCTGTGATGAACTCAGGAATTACATAGTCCTAATCAATAAGACTTCATGGGTTTTGCTAGAAAAAACAGACATTGTCAGGGGACAGTTTAAAGCATATTTTAAGAACTGGAAAAGATTTTGGCCTATCATAAAACAAAAGCAGAAAAAATCTTAAAACACTGTTTCAGCTTAATTGTAAAGAAGGATACTGTAAATGCATATACAGAGCAAGTTTGTTTATAACAACAGTTGATAATATTATTTGTCATTTCCTCTGTAAGCATATATCCAGAAATAAGTGTATGTATGTAATGCCTTTTAATGATTAATTTACAGCGGATATTAGCTTAACATGCAGTTTCATAATATGACAGTGCCCATGTAAGAACTGTGTTGAATATTAGGTACTGCACAATTATATGCTGGGCATAGTGATCCAGTGGCCACTGGACAGCATATGCAGATAATACTCATTCATTCATTGGTTCCACTCTTGCTTTAGAAAAGAGTTCCCATATCAGAGCTGGGACTCCGTGCTCAGAACACATCCCCACCCCCACCCCGCAGCTGACATGGTCACAAAAGTGACGTCAGGGAAAGGGGTTAGGAATGGGGGAAGGAAAGGGACCAGTGCCTCCAAGAGAGGGTGCATTCTGCTGGCACCTCAGCCCCCTTCCTTCCTACTCGAAGTGCTGCACTCAGACCACTGAAATCAGTTTTGCAGGGCCCCCACACGTCGGATGTCCATAACCTTCCAAATTCATATGTTTACAGCCAGACTCACTGGACCTTACTTGCATTTTTCTTTCACTCGAGTTTTCTAAAAGAGAACTAAAGAGTGCTGTTCATCACTATTATTACATAAGGCACAAAGGAGGAGAAACCGCAGCAGCAACAGAAGGAGGAGAAAGTAGTAATCGCTGAAAGTAGTAATCGCTGAAGAGCACAGCTGATGGTATTCAAGTAGTGACTGCAGAGCCATCTGCCAGGTGTGCTTTAAACTGGATTCCTGCTCTGAGCTGGGGGTTGAACTTGATGACTTAAATGTCCCTTCCCAGTTCTGACTCTATGATAGATTTTACCTCATTATTCCCAATTAAATGAGGAAATGGAGCTTAAAACTAGTTGCCTTGAGTATAACAATTAACTTGTGTCTGCCCTGGTGAAATAGAGCCCAGAGCAGACTGAGAAGATATCAGTCGATGGTGAAGGAAACAGAGCTCAAGGTAAAGGAAAGATTTTCAGTACCCCGGACAGAGCCCAGGAAGCCAAGGACTTGTTCTTAGCCCTTTTCTGATCCTTGGCTCTGTCTTAGAAGCTTCAATTCCTTGCTGAGAAGTGAAGAGCTCTAAAAGGGCATGACAGCAGATGTGATTTGATATAGTAATAGTCATGGATGCTTCTGATCTTTTTTCATCCACATTGGTTAAGTTCCCAATTACCTATCTTTTTATTTGAAATAGAATTGATGCATTAAAAAGTATCCATTGGCTGTTTCTATGTCCAATTTTTGCACAGAGTGTTCAGTTTACAGCTTGTTTCAGTTTCAATCCCTTCAGTTGTCTCTCTACCATCTCTACCACTAATCTGATTCTTGACTGATATCCTGATTTATTGACTGTGGTTTGCACAAAACAGATTTTACAGTATTCAGAAACAATAGACAACTATGTCATCTTCAGGAGTGAACAGAATCTTTAATACCAACCCCACCCCACCCCTTTTAATACCATGAACAGTGAAAGGGGAGAAGGAAAGAGATTAACTTCTATATCTGAATTGGGCCATAATATGTGACACCCTGAAGAAATTGGATTGAAATCTTCTGTTTTATTGGATTGCCACCCACAATTTACTGGAAACAAATAACCATTTTATGGGAATAAAAATTGTTCATTTCCTTCTGCAGCCAAAATAAATGACTTCCAGAAAAGTTTTACTTACAATGGACTTTGCTTTGAACATGTGACACAATCGCTTAGGAGAAGTCAAACTGGGTCATATTATGAATGGAGGCTTGGTTCTGTGATCTACTTAACTCTACCAGCAAAGCCTAAAGTAATGAATGGGATAAAACCTGAAAGGCCAGAACAGGACATACTGTTGTGTAGGTGTGTGTGTGTGTGTGTGTGTGTGTGACCAATTTAAATTTTTTAAAGCACTCAGAAGCAATATAGCTGCATATTTGGAGTAGGTAACAAAAAGAGATAGTTTTATGAAACTATTTACTGAAGCATAACTCTTATCTCCTAATGAAAAAGATAAGTAATTACAGATAATGAAAAAGATAAGTACATTATTCATTAATAAAAAGATGTACATGATTTATTGTTTATAATAATTTGAAACCTTAGATTCTATGATATATAGGCCCAGTTTAAATATCTCGGGGCCCAACAGTGAAATCATTATTTGATCACTGGGAACATTCTCCACACTCAAGTTGTCTACTTTCTCTTGTCCTCTTCCTTCTCCTTAGGGTTCACATGCTCCTTTTCTCTTGCATGGTCAACACCATGCTATGCTTTAGTGTAGCCTGAATCAGCATAATTATTGTTAGTGTTAGGGTTTATTCTGAAACAAGAAATTCATCCCAGAATTATATTACAGTGATGCTGAGTCAGATACCATTATCAAGCAGGGTTCTCACCAAAATGTCACTTCCCTAATCAGGAGAGTTTTATACAGTAGTACCTTGGCTCACAAACGCCTCAGTTCATGACCAAATCTGGTCACAAACAGAAATTTCTGAAAATTTTTGTCTCAGGTCGCAAACTCCCCATCAGGTGACAACTGCAATTGAGCCCATCTCCCCCACCCTCCCCGTGCGCCTGCGATCACCCCATCATGCTGTGGGGGGGGAGAGGGCTGCACTCATGCTTGTTGGGGAAGGGCCGCAATCTTTGTTGTTCTTTGTCACTTTGCTTCAGATTTTTGTTATTAAAAAAACATAGTTAGAGAATAGATTAACCTTATTTATATTGAACCTTATGGGGAAATTTGACTTGGCTCATGACCAATTTGGGTCACGACCAGAGTCCTGGAATGAATTAAGTTTGTGAGCCGAGGTACCACTGTATATTGTGGATTGTCACAGTGAAAACAAGTTTCATTAAGTGGCAACACTAGTAGGATATTATTGTAGAAATATTACTTATAGGTGCCCCTTAATGGTATGCCTTTTTCTGAGTGAACTATATATTCTTGGATTCTGAGCATTGTTATACAGATGCTGTTTTTATTAAATACCTATCTCCTCTTTGGAATTTCATACAGATAGCACTCAAACCAACTTCACTTCATTACAGGTAGCAATAACAAAAATTAACTGCTTAGATCTGTTAACAAACAAAAAATAATTTCCACCAGCATGTCAAGTGCTCTAGTTACAGGTTTACAGTTGCCATCCTGGAACACAGATATTTGAACAGCAGAAAATCCAGACTTTCTGTCCATCACATGCGGGCGGCAATCCTTGCTGTACCTATCTGTAAATTCCACTGAAATCATATGGACTTTTTATATGCAGATATATTGGGAGATATATCCAGGGCACTGATGTTGTTGCACTAGGAGCACTTTAAATGATTGCTGGTAGTATTACAATTTTTCAGACTCAGTACAAGTTTTAACCTCTAAAGGCTCAATCCTAGCTATGTTTAGTCAGAAAAAAGTCCTACCCTGGTGCTGACTGGGAAATGCTGGCAGTTATAGAACCTATTTTCTGTACAAAGACACATAGTATTGTGCCCTAAAACTCTAAACAGCCAGAAACAAGGAAATATCAAGCATTATTTCCTTGCATATGAATATGCTCAGGAAACTGCTTTTAGGACACCTTTCTTTGCCATCAAATGTTTGGCAAGTGGGTATTAATCTGAGTTGTGGTACCCCATTTGTAGAATGACCTCCTGTTCATTTTTTTATTTTTATAGAAGCACTGGAAACAGTTATATTACAGTGGGCATTCTTGGGTTAATGTCTCTGAACTTGTTTACCTCATAGCCACTTCCACTGTTGCTATCTCAGTTAGGTGTATGTTTTTTTCTTTTAATGTGTTGTTTAAACTTGTAAGCTACTTCCAGTCCAGGTTAATGTAAAAAGCAGCATATAAATCATACACATAAAAATAAAATCGAACACTTACTCTTGAACCTTTTTCAGGGAAGCATTGACAAACTGAGCAGTCTCGTCCACCGCAATGGGAGATGTATGCATATCTACCCTAAGAAGAAACAGAAGTTAGTCTTCTCATTTTTAATTATTTCCTCATTTCAAGTCCTGTTGGACCCAGCTTTGCTAAAGATGCAGTGTAATCCTATGCAAATTACTACTGTAACTCCATGCATGCCTACTCAGAAATAAGTCCTGCTATGTTCTATATGCCGTCTTTCTAGGAATGCATGCATAGACTACCACTAACATGTTCCATTGCAAAATGCTACCTTTGAGTATCTGGGAACTTTACTAAGCCCAGAATGCTGCAAAAACAGTTGTTAACAAGGGCCACATACAAGAAGCACATGATGCTTGTTGCAACAGCTGCATGGCTTCTAATTTATTTCTGGGTACAATTCTGTTAGCTGGCAATGACCTTTAAAGCATGGAACGGCTTTGCATATCTGAAGGACCGCCTTCTACGCACAGGCCTGCCTTTCTGTTGAACTTATTTTCCTTTCTTATGTTCCAACAGCCCCACAGAGACACTTTGTTAATCCTAAAGAGAGGATGTTTTCAATGGTTGCAGCTCAGCACTAGAAGTCGCCTCAGAAAAAGTCCTTGCTGTACTTCATTACTGAACTTACAGAAGCTGCTGAAGATCTTCCTTTTCAAAAAGGCATTTACTGTGCATTTTATTTGATGCTTTCTGTCTCTAGTTTTTGAATATTTACATATTTGGATTGCTATTGCATTTTTTTCTGCTGTTTTTGTGGTTTAAGGTTTAATGGAACTTGGGCGGGGGGTGTTTAGTGCTCATTTTTTAATTTCAGATCAGTAACTCACACCCATGTCCATGAGCTTTATGAAACTTCTGTGCTACCTAGAACCAATAGCTGTTGGATTGTGACACTTATACAGAATCCACCAGCAGTTGTGTGGCTGCTCAGATCCTATTCTGATGACCTCTGTTGGCTTCAACTATTATTAATACCAAATTCATTTATCCAAATGGCTCGTTAGAACTGTTACCATTACCCAGCAATTTCCTTTTAGAACCAATGCTGAAACTTTGTAGATTACATTGAAACAGTGCTAGCTCCAGTTTTTTGAAGGGCCTTGGATAAGAAACCTTCAGTGCATCATTCCCTCAGTGAGGCTACCTTCTCATCCCCATTGTCCTGCTCTTGCTCCATATCCTTTTCTCATAATTGTTACTGCTTCTTGCTTGCCAGGCAGAAAGATAGCCAGCAAATATGCAGTGGCATCTGTTGCTCCTCCTTCCTTCCACCCCTCTTAGCTGGGCCAGGTTGGGAGGGATGTGAACAAGCAGGTTGCGAAGGTGAAGAGGATTAGCAGCTTGAGATGCATCTTGTCACTGGTTCCTCGCTGCAGTGTGGGGCTTAGGCAATTGTCCCAGTGATTCCTACCCTTGATCCTGGCCCTGAATGAAATACACGTTTAAATAAAAATAATCCTAAACACACTGACTTAGAGGCTGATTCTATTTAATAGGCTGCCAATCATGTATTCACAGTGATTCCAAGGATAGGAAAACATCAGAATATTACATATTTTTAAAATATTTGGAGCGCTGAAAAACTCTGAGTTGAAGCTTTACTCTAATGTATTATCAAGAAGAAGAGCTCTTTCCAGATGGTATTTCTGAAATATATTTGCTGTTTATTTGACCCTAAGCAAAAGTGAGTGTGCAAAATCTAGAACAGGATAGCCAGCTTTGCTTTCTGGCCAGAATCCTGTGCCTTAAACAGCTTCACAAGAAGAGGAAATCAGCACATGAAATTTCTCTCTTCACTGTGTCTCCATGAAAGGGAAAGTGTCATCTACTTAATTTATGCTTGTAATTCAGCTGTTGAAAAGTACTGGAGCCCTGCCAGAAAAAAGAAGCTGCTGATAGTCCTTCTTCCCAAACAAATTCCCAGCTTCCTAAGTTGAGAAAATATACTTCAAGAATTTAAAATTGCCACCTTTAGGGTGATCAACATAAAACCTGGCATTTTAAGGGCAGAAAGTGATGCTGACATGGGATGGATGATATAGCAACATGCCTTTAAGGCAGATGACAGAGGTTTCCAGGAGATAATATGGGATCTTTTCTGCTAATGTGGTATTACAAACTATACTGTGGGGCTGAAGTGAAACTTATTCAGTGTTGCATAAATAAATTTTAGTATGACCATTGTCATAATGGTCACCTTTCTTTTAAGAAAGCATATATCTATTTTACAAAGTTTCTTGAGCTTAAATTTTATGCCATCATGTGCCTAATAGAGCAATGCCATGTACAAGCCACAGGAATAACTGAAAGTATAATTTATTTTACTTTGGATTGAACGGCTGTGATTTTGTGAGTTCGGTTCTCTCAGTAACTGAAACTTATATTTCAGTTTTTCATGTAAAATTCTGCTTAGATTTTGTTTAATAACATGAACTAAACCACTTTTTTCCTTATATAAAATATTCTCAAGACATTTAATATTCTTGACCTTCAACACACAGGCACAGGTATTCTCTGCTCTTTCTTTTCCTTTCTATTTTCTTTTCCTGTATCCTGAGATAGGCTTCTCATGGGAACATTAATCTTTACTTCATTAGTTTCTCTTGCTTGTTGTAAGCATGATTTTATGGCAATATCAAAAAAATTCTTGCTTTTGCTAATAAAACTACATTTCTCTATCATTCAGTGTTATTATTCAGTGTTTAGCCTTGGGTTGAAGATTAAAATGCCAGAATAGTCAAAATATAAACAACATAATTCATGAACTTTCATCAGACAGTAGCTTAGCATTCTTACAGAAGCTGTGGTTTTGCAGCTGCATCTGTGAAGCCATCAGCTTGTTAGCTCACCATGTTTTAGGAAGGTGTGTAATGGCAAACAAGCTTCCTCAAACAGTTTGCTCTGCATCACTAATTTTTCTCTGCAATGTGCAGCTATAGAACAATACAAGGTCACAGTTTCCATGGAACTACAGTCAGATCTGCATGAACTGAATATGTGCCTCAGAACATGGTCCAGAATCTCTTGAAATGTGCTATATTTCCATGACAGACATGCAAACACGCCTGAGCACATGAATGTACAGCAAAGGACTTCCTAAAGACCAAAAGTTCTAACTTAAAAAGGGGAAGCCATTACTATTTCCATTGGTTTAGTTTTGTAGTTAACATATTGGCATTTTTAGGGTTTCAAATGTATAGTGCTGTTAAATAGAAACAATTAATACAACGAGTCCTACAAAATCTCCATGCTGGCTGAGGAATGTTGGGAATAGTAGGACACTTTTCTGCATAGGACTCTACCATATGAAATTTTGGACACCTCACCTGCAACCAGCCACAGAACATTCTCCAAATCAGCAGGTGTTTTCTTGTGTCAAATGCTATGAATAGTTTTGCTTACAACAATAGTAGGAACATAGAACATGCAGAAGGCAATTTTTGTGGGGATAACAACTGCAGGGGGAAGAGTTGAGCCTCAACACCCCACACACTGCAGCCCCACTGAAAATTGCCATGTGTCCCCTCAATTTTAAACTTCAAATGTGATTGTGAAATCTGGTAGTAAACTATTATCGGTTGTGGTCTGTGGTTGATTAATCATTTCTAACTTGCAGTTATAGATTTGTAACAAAAACTTATAGATGTTTATTTAGAGGTGAATTGCATTACATTCATCAGTAAAAGCACATATAAATCCTCTCAAGGCTCATTTTACAAATTACTCCAACATATTCAGGTCTACAGACATGTTCATTGTTGTTCTACTGGAATGAATCAAAGAGCTTAACATAATTTATTTATTGGTCCAACATGCTGGTGTGAAGACCCCAAATTGTGTATAAAAAAGATTTCAAATGCTTCCTTCTTAAAAATTAGAAAAGAGGGAAATATGTAACAGGTGAGAGATCAGCAGTGGAAATATTTGCATTCATACAACTTACCCCATAAATGGATTGGATTGAAGAAACAATTATCATCAGCCACCTAGTGGTTAGGAAGATCTAAGTTAATTTATTATAGTCAGCCCTCAATTTATTAGAAAGCAAAGCAGTATAAAATGCACTATTCAAAATATAAAGGGAAACCACCAACAAGTTTATGTATGATGAAATGATAGCCAACATTTGTGTAATTTAATAAATGCCACAATCTGGTGGTAACTCCAATCATATTTATACTCGGTATTTGCTGCTCCTGTCTGCGCTTCTTACATTATAAATCCACAGCAAGGATAGAAATGAATATTGCCATTGCTTATAATATCAGCTGCAGGAGTAAAGACAAAAGCAAACAAAATGCAGCCTAGACTTCACTCATCATTTTCTCCATATTTCTCTACCACCAGCTAGATCTGTAAAATTTCTGGAAATTTTGAAGCCATGGAAACAAATTCTCAGGGATTTTTGGAGGAAGGGATGGAAAAAATGGGGTGGGAGAAAGCAATACTTCTCTTTTTAGCACTCATTATAAACTTCTTTTGACAACTTCCCCAATCTGATGACCTCTAAATATTCATAACCCCAGCTCCAATCAGCTTCAGGCAGCATGGCCAATGCCCAGGAATACTGGGTTCTGTAGTTCAAAGCATTTAAAGGGACAAGAAAGGCTGCTTCAGGAAAATTAAACAACTTTTATTTATATTAAGTTATGTAAAATGATTTTATGTATGTTATTGTGTTTTATCTTATGACTGTGAGCCACCCAGAGGTGCTGTGGCACAATTGGGTGGCATACAAATGTAAAAAAATAAAATTAAATATACAGAATAAATTTATAATGTTGGTTATAAGAAATTTATAACTTTTAGAGCTTTAAAATGTAAACTTAGTAAATGGGTATTTATTGTATGAATAAAGTATGCTTTTAAATTTTATATACCAAATGTAGCAATTGTATGAACAAATTATAGTATACACCACATATTCTGGTTCCTATTTCATTTCTGAATAGAAGTAACTTGAATATGTAGTCCCTGGAACTTTTGAATTATCCTAGAAGCCAGAGGAAGCAAAACTAACTGGAAGCAGTGGAATGCTGGTGTCAGCATCTGATCCTGCTTGAAAGGAATTTAAGGACATTCCTAAAACTCCTTCTGTGACTGGGGTAGTTTAGGGAAGGTTGATCTAAAGGAAAAGCTACTAAGAATTTAAGCTGGAAAAGATTCACCTGCACTCATGAACACAGTGTTCTCCAAATCAGCAAGTGCTTTCTCGAGTCAAATGCTATGAATAGTTTTGTTTACAACAATACTAGGGACATAAAATATAAAAAAGCAGAATTTAAAACATACTCTAGTCTACCCAACAAAGTTAATTTCCAAAGACCAAACCAGACATTACTCCAATGGGATGCTTGATGCCAATGGGAATTTCCACCAAGCTTCATAGCTATGCCAGAGAATGTAACTTTCATAAGGATGACAACTGCAGAGGGAAGAGTTCTAAGCCCGGTTCTCTTCCCCCTCTCCTGATTTTCCAGGTTTCCCCCCCACCCCCAGGCCATCACATCTCTACCACCAGCAAGGGGGTAATAAAGCAAAAAGGTATTCTTGTTCTAATTAAAATTTATTTGGAGCTTCTTCCTTGATCATTCCATCAGGTAATCTCATTTCAAAACTTTGCAAGGATAAGCTTGAATTCACAAAAGCATAATCAGACTTCAGCTCATGGAATGGCGCTCCCCCCCAGCAAAGCCCTCTATGGCCTACCAAAACTTATTCACAATGTTTAAGAATGTCATCTGGAATTATTAGAGTTTCATTACACTTATAGCCTACCTTTCTTCCTCTTATTCCCAAGGTGAATAAAATTTCCCCATCTCTATTTTATTCTTCCATGAACCACCCTTTGAGTAGGTTAGGCTGAGAGTCCATGACTGACATGAAGTTACTCAGTGGCCTTCATGACTGAGAGGAGCCTAAAAGCCAGATCTATCAAGCCCCGGTCCAACACTCTAACCACTATGCCACACTGGATCTCAATAGCGAGTGGCATGGATGAAGAGCAAACTACAGTTAGAAATCAAGGATATGCTTCTGTTAACAGAAGTGCCCATTGTGCCAGTGTATCCTTGGTCTACTCTCTGAGTTATCTGTCATATCAGTTCTTTCTGTGTCCCATATAATTCAACACACATCTTTTTCTTAATACTTTAAGGTCTCATTTGCACAGGTGGGTAACCTATGGCCTTCCAGATATTGCTGGATTACAGCTCTTTTCCCCACATCCCTCATTATTGGCCATGCTGGCTGGGGCTACTGGAAAATGTAGTTCAACAATACCTTAAGAGCCACAGCAGGTTGCCCACAGTGATCTATGGTATTGTCATACTCAAACATTTTTAATTGTTCCAAGAAATAGGTGGCCATGTGGGGCCGTGTGGAGACAGAGAAGTACTTCCAAAAATAAGTGACCATGAGCATTCCTGGATCCAAAGTTGCTCCCCATTTTTTTTGTCTGTAGAGACCCAAACATGTCCAGGACAAACATAGGTGAGAAGAAGGCTTCATGAATTTCCCTTCTCTATCCCCAGTTGCTCTCTCTGTCTCTTCTATGTTCTCCAAGCAAGACTGTTCGGAACGATGTTCAGAGCAGCTGGGCAAAACAAGGAAAAATGCCTTCCAGGTCTTGATCTTATACAGCATGGATCATTTTGAACCTCTCTCAACCTGAGAGCTGACTTCCATTTTAGATCTGAATTCCATTTTAGATCAGCTTTTAAGGGTTGCATTATTCCAGTGGTGCATAGGGTCAAAGGCAAGGAGGCTGAATCAAAGGTGAAGAGATGGAGCCAAAAGTATTTCAGCTTCAAGTTCTTTCTGCTGATCTTCAAGCCTTAAGACAGGAGGCATGGGGGGAACTGTACAAATGCAGAGAAATCACCAAATAATGGGTGGGCAAGGGAAACTGGGAGGGCACAGAGAGGGGCAGGGCCACTTGGGGAAACTTGGAGGGCCAGAGTAGATTTGGTCCCTGGGCCAGAGTGCAGCAGTGCCTAGTAAAAATTACACTGAACACTAGTGGGATGTCCTCCCCCACCAACATAAACCAAGTGCAGGGAGTGAGTAGGGGAAGGCTCTGGGATTCGGAGGAAGAGAATAGCTATGCCTTCAGTGGAAAGAGAGTTAGAACATGAGGGGAGGAAAAGAGAATTCTCTATCTCCTTGCCCATCAAATTTGGCTCGTATATACAGCTAGGTGGCAATTAATTTGAGTATAAATAATGCAATATTCAATTTAGTGTGAATCGCAGAGTGACACCAGGTTGTGTTTAATGTGAGCCAAAATTCTGTTAATGAGAGGCTAGTGCATGCACATTTGAGGTCACCGGGATACCATTAGGATTTTAGATAGTGCCACTTCACTGTCACACTACCAGCCTCTGAATTCAATGGTTTGTTTAGCCTAGTTCCTGCCCCATCCTTTTCATAGACATAAGAAAATGTAGGAAAACCGCCATTTCATACATGTGCAGTTATGGAGAAGCTTGTGATAAGGAAGTAGCAGCCAAACAGAGAGGCAGACACCAAGGAAGCCAGTTTTATCCTTTTAACAGTTCACCTCATGGATAAGTGGACCATTAAAGCAACAGTATTTTAACTGCATTGATTTATAGTTGACCGTATGCCAGGCCATGCAAAAACTGCATCAGTGTTATATTACACTGTGCAAAGCATTTAGTTCAGCTGAGTGTATAACAGCAATGTTCTCAATAAATTGAAATTATATTCTTATCATTTATAAATGATGTTATTTATAAATGAAATTATTGTTGTAATAATTTATGAAAGTATGTTTAATTTTTTCATTGCCTATTTCCTGGAATCAATAACCATATAGTGCAAATCTGAATAATGCAACCATTTCATGGGATTCATTCTCCACACTAATTGAGACCTTCCTGTATTTGTGGGCATGCATATGCCAATATCAGAACTTTATATCAGTTGAACACAGGTAGGAGGGCGCTGCTTGTGGGTTGTCTGTAGGCAGCCACTTGACCACCATGTGACCAGGAAGCTGGACCAGCAGGGCTCTTCTTATGCTTTTATCATGATAGCCTTTTGCTCCATGAATGTATCTATTCCCCTTATAAGAATATGTTAAGTAGCATATTGCAAAGGAAGTCTAACACAATCACATTGACTTCCAGTTTGATTTCCTGGCCTTTGTGTTGCCTTTCCTAACCTGTGGTATGTTCTATTTCAGCTTCTATTATTGTGATTTGGAGTAACCTCCAAATATTTCGAAAAGATTTAACCCTCCTGATTCCCCCTTTCAACTTCCTTTTTTCTTCTTTGCAGTCAAATGTGCCTGCGTTGGACTTTCTTGGCAATTTTCCACTTAAATATAGTATAGTATATATAACTGTATAGCAAATATAGCATAGTATATATTAAATCTAATATATTTAGTAATCTAATATATCACTGATTCCAGTTTGTTCAACAATGCTCACATCTCACACTATGCCCTCAGCGGTACCATTTAAGGATTTAGGTCTGGAATCATCTCCCCTCTGGCCAGTTCCATGACCAACTGTTCTAGGACACACTTGTTCAGAGCATTAAGAAAGTTAACCTCCTTGTCATGGCTAGAACATGAATGTATCCACTCAGTGTGGGGGTACTTTAAGTCACCCATTACTACGACACTTTCTCAGACGGACGCCTCCCTGATTTCATGTTTCCAAGCTCACACTGAGCAGTCTGGTTGGGGAGACAATGACATGTGCCTGCCTAGTACTAAATTACATTTGCAGCCTGGTATTGTCACCCACGGTGCTTCTCTGGAGGATACTGCCCCTTTTAGGTTTTCTAGCCTCCTTGACACTATGCCCTCTCTGACATACAGAAGAACACCTTCTTCACACCCACCCCATTCTTCTTATCAAGGTATATAGAGATCCCATTGGTTCTCTCTTTTCTGACTGGTTTTTGTTATGCCATCTACAGTTAGGTTATCCTTTAAAGCCAGTCATTCCAACTTTCTCTCCTTGGTTCTAAGACTTCTAGCAACAGCATAAAAGTCCCTGCCCAGCTGTCTCTCAGGTCTGCATCTTCTGCCATGGCCCTTAAAACTTGACTGGTGATTCTGTTTCACCAGATGCTAATGACCTATTCCCTCCCTGTCTCCATTTGGGCATTTGGAAACATTTTCACCTTTATCCTCTAGAGATCATTCAACCTGAACTGGATGCTTCCTAGATCCCAACAGTCAGTTAGAAAGAGCAGAGCAACTTTCCCCAGGGGTCAGTTTAAAAGCTGCTCTGCCATCTTTTTATGTTAAGCCCTAGCAATCTTATTCCATTATGATTCAAGTCAGGTCCCTGCCACTTGGAACAGGTTCAATTTTCCTCAAAATATTTTCCAATGCTGAAGGAAAGCAACACCACCTGAAAGACACTTCAAACAGCATTTATACAGCCTATATATTTTGTAGACTGCCCCCACCTCAGCCTTCCATTCTGAAGATAAGTATTTCATTTGACTAATAAAGATGGAATTTTATAAAACTTACCATGCATTTCTGAAAAGTGTGATCCATTTTAAAGAATGCATTATGGATGCAGTTCGTGTTAACACATTTGAATTCAAGCCTTCACTATTTGATATTTAATTATTGTGACTGGGCTTAACTGCATGTACATGTCTCGAAGTCATGTTCAGCATTCTTCTTCTGCCTTCTTCATCTGTTCATCAAGAAAGTATACAAGTGACTCATCTTCACATGCATATTTTTAAAAGGAAGCTTAAGGTGAAATGTGTTGAAAAAATATTAGCACACTTGGTTACTGCTAAAGGCCAATGCACCAAGCCTCAAGTTCACCGAGAAACACAATTATACCTGCCAGACCTCTTTATGTTTTAGTCTTGCAAAACATACCACATTCATGGAAGATGAGACTATCACTCCCTTTTGACTGTGATGGGTGCTTTTCCTCTCCAGTATCTGAGGCAAGTTTGATTTTAAGTAATAGCTGCTGGGAAGCACGAGCAGGAGGGGATTCTTGCTTGTGAACTTCCCCTAAACTCTCACTGGCAGGGTGGCACAAGCACCAAAGACTATTTTTGCATCTTCAATCTCTTTGGCAGCAGTTATTATTTGAGAGACCTCTGAGCCCATTTAACCTGCTCAGGCAAGGGGACAACAGCTGAGGCTGTTGGATCCCGTAGATTCAGGGTCTCTTCCCCTCCTCACCCCGGTATGCCCCCAGCACACACATTTCCACCCTTTCTGATCAGAGTTCCAGTATCCAGAGAGGGAGCCACCACCGAGTTTTCTGTACTAACTGGAAGGTGCTTCAGGATTAGGGTCAAATTTCCTCCTGAAAGGTCAGAGCTCTCACTTCAGCCTCCAAAGAGAAGATTCATCACACCATCTAGGCACCATAAGATCCCTTTCCTAAAGAGATGCTCACTGTATTCAGAAGCCCCAAGGAAGTAAACTACTATCATGAAACACTGGCTGTCCCAGCTGTTGCCAGGATGCACCTCAATAAACAACACCCTGTCCGTTGAGCCTCAAAGCATGCTATTAATGCCAAGCCATGCTAATGCTGTTCATTCTCATCTTACTGGATTTCTGGGGGGGGAAGGGGGGGTGACATGTCCAAAAGATATTGATGGTGCTAAAATAATACTGAAAACACATCCTCTATCAAGACTATCTTATAGCCTTAATAATAAATGAACAGGAGAACTACCAGCAAACTTATAAAGCACAAACTTACAAATCATTCCTAAATGGGAGCGTAATTCCATTTTTCAAGCTTGATCTTCAGGAAGTAACACCATCTTTTCCTGGATCAGTTAATGCAAAAAGCCTTACAGACAAGATAGCAGGATTGACTTACTGCACCTGCTGTCATAGCTCAGGCTGTTGTAAGGACGGAAGTAACAGAGTAACTCAATGGCAGGGTAACTTAAGGCCAAATCCTTCTTCTATTGTGGTCAGTGCCAGTAATCAACTAACTTCCAAGAGTAGGTATCAAGCAACAGCCAATGAGACTCTCACTGCCCATAGTAAATTCTACTTTATCTCAGGCTGGCAGCTGTAGAAGTTAAAATTATAGTCCAAAGAGACTAGTTTTCTAGTAGCAAATCCTGGGAACTTGTGTGTATTACCAGGTTACATTAGTGTGCTGAAGAGCTCCATAGACCTTATATGTAGGCTTATATGTAGTTAATTGATCTAATGTACATCTTTGCACTGTGGCTGTGTGGAAATATTCACATTGTAGGATTTTCAGACAAACAATTGGTAGCAGTTCTGAAGAAGGATTTGGACTTAAAAAATCTGTATACATCAACTCACATGAGACACTACTATTTATCTGCTGAAACAAACAGCAAGATACATGTTGTGTTGTCTATAACATGGCAGATAGCAATTTTGAAGTAGAAAAATTTCTAACAGGATTGCTATGTAAGGAAAAAAGGTTAAAGCTGCTCCTCAGATGGCCGTGGTTCTGGTTATTCCCCCCATCCAACTAAACACTGCTATAAAAACGTACAAACAAACAAAAACAAAACAAAACAAAATGCATCAAATGTGATTGCACATTTAACAAAACATGTAGTTTGACCCTAAGTGACCTTGCTCGGGGTAAACTGCTTCCAAATTACTAATCTGATCTTTTAAGATCTGCAGAGGACCGTGTCAATGGATGCATTCCTATTTGTACAATAACCTTAAGAATGCATCATTCCCTCATGTCCTCAAAGTGAGGACTTGGATCAAACCTGTCTGCTCAACATAAGTTGTTTGTCACCCTTAAACACTGACGTAGTTCAACAACAATTAGTGCACATGCTAGGACATACGGCATGTTTCACATCCAAACACATTTCCTATATTACCTGAAGGAACATAAAGCATGCTAGAACGCAGCATTGCCCCTGCGTGCTTCATGGGCCAGAACCTGCACACTGCTGAAAATTCCAGGAAACAGCTCCTGCCAGGTGGCTGAAGCAGGAAAGGCTCTAGGCAACAGCTACTACTCCTGGCGACATGAAGACCAACTGGTGAAGACCCAGTCGGCCACCCAGCCCTACTTGGTAAGGAAGCAGGCGAACGCTCTGAGGCCCCCCACGCTGCTCCTCAGCAACATCTGGCTGCAGGGCTCGTTACTGTCTGAAGCCGGTGAAAGCATCAGGTCAACAGGTGCTCTTCAGACTTTAGGACTACAGGTCCCGGAATCCCTGGCCTCTGGCCACACTGGCCGAGGCCCATGGGAACTGCAGTCCACGACATTTCGCGGGGGGCACCAGGTTGCCTCCGCCCGCCCCCGGGCGGGCCTCGAGCCCCTCAGCCAAGCTTTCCGTCCCGCGACACCTGCCCAGCCCAGGTGCGGACGGAGGGAAAGCCGGGCGGGTCTCCCCGCCGGAGGGTGGCCGCCACCGCTGCTGCCGGGCGCTCCTCGCGCCCCCAGGAGCCTCGCCGGCTCTCCCCCCGCGCCTCCCCTGCCCCGCCAGCCGGCCGTACCTGGCGCCGAGCCGCTCGCTCTCCGCGCTGCCCCGCGCGCTCGCCCTCCGCCGCTGCTTTCGCTCCGGCCGCGCGGCGCCTTCCCCCCGGCTGGCCCCGCCCCGGGCTACCCCAGGGGCTTCGCGCACCCAGTCAGACCGCTCCGCTGGGGTGTTGTTTTTGGTGGGGGGAACAAATTGAGCCGAAGAAGCGCGAGCGCAGCGCCTCTGGGAGTCGCCTGCGGAGGAGGAGGAGGAAGAGGAGGAGGAGGGACCTGCCTGGCCAGGGGGAAAATAGGTCCGGCATCGAGTGGCGGGCGGCGCGGGAGGCATGAAGGGGTCCGAGCTGCGCCCCAGCTCCTGGCGCCTCACGCTGCTGCTCTGCACTCACCTGGCGGCTTTGCACGGACAGGAGCAGGACGGCTTCTCCATTGCGGTTGCGGCAAAGGTGAGTACAGGTCATGCCGGGGCTCGGTCCTGCCCGGACGTCACAGGGCGGCGCCCCTCCCGTCGCGGCTCTTGCGGGGCTCTGTGCTTTCCCCGGCAGGCAGGCAGGCGCGCTCTGGCCCCTGCGGAGATGGCTCTTTGGCCCTCGTGCGTGGCCGGCCTCCCGCTCTGCCAAAGGGTCCAAGGGCCAGCGCTGAGGCAGCCCCGCCGTCAAAGCAGTCGGCTGAGAGCCCTCTCCCCAGTCTCATAGGAATGGAAGGCCGGCCGGGTGGGGTCCTCCTTGAGCGGTTCCTGGAGTACCACAGTTCCTTCTCTGAGTCTCCCCGGCCCCGTTGTTGCCTCTCACATCAAATCTGCCAGAGCTGCAGGTTCTTGCTTTGAGCTTTGAGTTGGCTTGTGCCTCTCTCCCCACCCCCAAAGCTCGGTATAACCTGGGACGGTGGCGTGGCTCTCTTGCTTCTTAGCCTCCTCAGCCGTACAATCCCCTACAGGCATCTGTCTGGTGTGAGTCTACTTTTGCTTGTCCTGTAGATTGCAGTTCACAGGTGGATTTAGGTGGGACTGATGGGCAACATGTTTGTTTACCTGTGCATTCGAACAGATGGCTTTTTCCTCTCTTTTGCTTTTATTGGTCTCTCTCAGACATTTGTTAAGAAAGTATTAAACATAGAAACAGGCCCTGGGTATTGGGGGGAAATTAACAGATTGGAGCTGAATTACATGCACAACACTTTGAATTATCGGTTTCCAGCCCACTTGCTTTGTGGCTTCCAGAGATCAGAAGCTCAGTGAATCCAATGCTGCCACCAAAATCCAGTTGCAGACATGTCTGGTGCCTGTTTAGAATGAGTGTATGCATCTTTGGCGTGTAAACTTCACTGGAGTTGGAGCTTGGACATGGGGAGCCAATCTGGATCACAGTGTGGCACAAGACACAGCATAGCACAAACTGAAAGCAGGAATGATAAGGCTGCCATATGAAGAGGGCTGCTGGATGAGACCAAGAGTCCAGCATCTTCTTTCAAGCAGTGCCTGACTCATGTTAAGCAGGGCAAGAGAGTAACAGCTCTGTCTCATTGTCTGCCCTTCCCCCTTACCAAAGATACGAGAGTCTCTAAATTTGCAGGTTCCATTTTAAAACCACGTGTGTCACCCCTGACAACCTATTTTCTAATGATGTGTCTATCCCCTTGTACACTGAATCATGCCACTGGCCATCATGTATATTAAGGCAGCAAATCCTAATAATCATTCATGTATTTGTGTACTTATTTATTTACTAGATATATATCCTGCATTTTTCCTTCCAAAGAACCCAAGGTAGCTTACACAATTCTCCTCTTATCCCCAGAACAACATGGAAGTAGGTTGGGCTGAGAGTCTGTGACTGGCCCAAAGTCACCCAGTTGGCTCCATGGCTGAGAAGGGACTAGAACCCAGAATGCCTGAGCCTCAGTCCCATGCTCTTAACCACTACACCACACATAATAATGTATTATCTGTTATGCATTTTGTAAATAAGTCTTTTCTTCTGTGGTATCCTAAATCTCCTGCCATCAATGTCAATGGTCACCCTGCATGGCAATGTTACAAAAGAAGAGACATCTGTCTATCACCACATATAACTATATAAACCCTTATTGTGCTTT